TTCCTTTTTGGAAGGCAAGAGGGGCCTAGCCCTCATGGACCCCGCCCAGTTGCACTCCTGGCCCTTTTTTTAATATATATCTGAATAAGGTGTAAAGCATTATTCCGCGCGTTAAATGGGCATTTAATTAACCGAATTAACCCGGAACCGGTGTAATGATAAAAACAAGCATATGTCGTCTTCATTTAAAAATTCGTAAATTTCGAGAAAAAAAATAAAAATGTTCTCAACTTATTTTTTTTCTCGATTTAATTCAATAATAGTAATAAGTAAATATTATTTTTTTTGTGAAAAATATTTAAGATGTTCATAATGAACTTGTTTGTCTGTATTTTGTGTCTGTCTGTTTGTGCATATTTCTACCTGTCTAGTGTATAGTGTGAAGTGTCTGGGGCTGCCTACAAGCCAGACCAGATTCGAAACTTTCACAATCAGAAATTCGGACATTCGCAGAATTTATTTAGCATTTCGCGTAGTTATCAATATTTTTCATAAGTAATTGTGATAAAGACGCGATGTTAAGTGACGACATTAGGTCTGTTTTTTGATATAAAATCGTTCTCTAGGAATATACCCACTAGTAGCCACCCCGTTTAATTCAAAGTTGTTAATGTTCTCTTGATGTCTGAAGTATTTTTTAAGAAGTCGAAAATAAGTATTAAGTACTTCAGAAGACTTCTGTTTAGAATGGGCGAGGAAGTGGTAAGATCAGAAGTTGATGATACATGGGAAACCAGAGATGATGCTCAAGATGAATTGGAAGTTCTAAAAAAACATGAAGAACATGTAGAACATGTTGATAATGATCAAAATGAACCTGAGATAAAAACAAATATTAATTTTGAAGCTTCACTGAAACATCAAAGCAGGGAAAATGTTTGCAAACCTGAAGAAGTTTCATCTAATCAAAAACCCACCGTGGCGGAGATTATTAAGGACAATAGGGAAAGAGATGAAAGCAACTGGGAAGTTTTTACAGTTTCTTCTCCTAAGAATAAGATGATGTTTAACTTATGGCTCGCTGGCAACAGACCTTCAGTTATAAGAAGTAATGCGTTTGGATGGATTTGTATTATACTAGATTCAGATTATCAATCCAAATATTATCAAATATGTTTTAGAATATTGGATGCAAGGGAGTACTGGAAATATATGCCTAACAAAAACCAAAATAGTTTGGTGGATGTTGCAAGAAGGTTTAAAGTAACCTTGGGAAAATGGATGGTCCAGGTACCTTCTGAGAAAGTAGATGAGGTATGGGGTCTCATAGCCACTGCTATATTCAACGAAGATTTTGGGTCAGCAGTGTTGAGTGCAAAAGTATCTCCTAAGGGTGATGAGAATAGTGTCGAAGATCCTAACATGCATGTGATTTGTGTCTACACATCAGACTTTACAAATATGGAGGAGGTTGTGAAAGTTGAGAATGTTCTTAGAAACTTAGGAATAAGAAGGGACTTGAATTACAAACCAGACTTATATACTTCTTTAGGAATTTACAGAGGAAACCCATATAAAATTCGTCCTAGTGTTTATTCTTCTAAAATGAGTTTTCAAGCCTCAATTTTTAAGAACTTGATAACTGGGGAATCTATGAGAACTTCAATTAAAGCAGAAAGATGCATAGATGCATGGACACCAAGATCAAGAGCTAAACAAAGTTCTGGCAGCTCTGTCAAAGGGATCGCAATGAGTCCTCAAGAAATTGAAAATTCACAAAATTCTACAGAATCAAGGAGTATTGCAAATTCACAGACCTCTGTGAGAACAAAGACCTCTGTGAATCCACAAATCACGGAGACTTCAAAAAGCACAGGGAATTTACAGGCCATGGTGAATTCACAGATTACTAAGACCTCAAAGAGCATGATGAATTCACAGATTACTAAGGCTTCAAAGAGCAATATTGGGAACATTCCAGACACGAGTTCTGTAAATACACAAAGCACTGTGCATTCTAATAGCACTGAGACCCCGGAGAGCACTGTGAATTCTAATATCACAGAGAGTACTGTGTTCTCTAATATCACAGAGAGTACTGTGTACTCTAATAGCACTGAAACCCCAGAGAGCACTCTACATTCTAATAGCACTGAGACCCCAGAGAGCACTGTGCATTCTCTTATCACTGAGACCCCGGAGAGCACTGTGAATTCTAATATCACCAGAGAGCACTGTGCATTATAATAGCACTGAGACTCCAGAGAGCACTGTGCATTCTAATATCACAGAGAGTACTGTGCATTCTGATAGCACTGAGACACCAGAAAGCACTGTGCATTATAATAGCACTGAGACCCCAGAGAGAACTGTGAATTCTAATATCACAGAGAGCTCTGTGCATTCTAATAGTACTGAGACCCCAAAGAGCACTGTGCATTCTAATATCACAGAGAGTACTGCGAATTCTAATAGCACTGAGACACCAGAGAGCACTGTGCATTATAATAGCACTGAGACCCCAGAGAGCACTGAGATGAATGAGAAAGAAGTAAGGGAATCGAATGCAGAATGCAGAGAGACGGTAATGCAGAGGGAGGATGAAGATAGATGGTATGGAGGACGTTGGCATGCATCAAGTGGGTGGCATGCTGAAACTAAGAATTCTGCAGAATTTTGGGATGCATACAGGGAGTAGTGATGTGCCTTCAGTTGGGTCGTTTCGGGCTCGTTTTTTGCAGAAATTTTCTTTCAGACTTAAATTGTAATTGTGTAATAGGAACAAATATTTTATAAATGTTTTTTTTTCTTTGGGATAAGATATTGCAAAGCAAACTTTAACAAAGTAAAGTTTAAAATCGCGCAAGTTCCAACATAGGCGAAAAACGTCGAAATTTTTTTTCTTTAAGATTTAAACTTTTTTCCAGATTTTTTTTGAAGGTTTCACGGGCAACGCTGGGCAGTCCAGCTAGTTTGAATAATTCTAAATCATTTAAAATATCAACCTTTAATCTCTGAAATTGGTTAAATTGGGATAAGGATTATATTTAAATTGTCCAATAGTAACAATCCAATAATTGAAAACATCAGCGATACAAGCAAAGAATTATTGTTTCCGTTTTTTTGACATAACTAAAATGTTTAACAGTTTTTCACTTTTTATCACTTTATAACACTTAACTTGGAAATATTGTAAAAAAATATATATTTAGAAATATTATTTTTCAGACAATTGAGGATGGGAGAAGGGTGTGGCTAGGATAACTTTAAGTAAGTCATTCTTTTATTCTGCATGTACATTGTACAATTCTAATCTAGGGCTAAATATTTTCTTTTTATTCTGCATGTACAATTCTAATCCAGAGATAAATATTTTCTTTTATTCTGCATGTACAATTCTAATCTAGAGATAAATATTTTCTTTTTATTCTGCATGTACAATTCTAATCTAGGGCTAAATATTTTCTTTTTATTCTGCATGTACAATTCTAATCCAGGGCTAAATATTTTCTTTTTATTCTGCATGTACAATTCTAATCCAGGGCTAAATATTTTCTTTTTATTCTGCATGTACAATTCTAATCCAGGGCTAAATATTTTCTTTTTATTCTGCATGTACAATTCTAATCCAGGGCTAAATATTTTCTTTTTATTCTGCATGTACAATTCTAATCCAGGGCTAAATATTTTCTTTTTATTCTGCATGTACAATTCTAATCCAGGGCTAAATATTTTCTTTTTATTCTGCATGTACAATTCTAATCCAGGGCTAAATATTTTCTTTTTATTCTGCATGTACAATTCTAATCCAGGGCTAAATATTTTCTTTTTATTCTGCATGTACAATTCTAATCCAGGGCTAAATATTTTCTTTTTATTCTGCATGTACAATTCTAATCCAGGGCTAAATATTTTCTTTTTATTCTGCATGTACAATTCTAATCCAGGGCTAAATATNATTTGAAAAATTAGTTCGATGTGAAATTTTTCCAAGGACAAAATGATATATTCAGGGATAATTATATCACGTGAAAAATATTTTTATAAAATTTCTGTTTGATTTGAAAAACTTTTTACTCACACGATTTAAAGCTTAGGATAGTAATTTTTTATCATTTCCTTTTATTCCCTGTTGCCTCCCTTTTACTCCCCTTCCCCCATCTTCTTACTTCTACGCCCCTTCCCCCATCTTCTTACACCCCCTCCCCCCTTTCACCGGAACGTCACTGTAGCGATGTAACTAACACTTTTTGTAATGATGGATTTGGCACGATTTCCTTTCATTTAAATTTCACTTTTAATGTCGGAGATCCTACGTTTATTTATCATCATATTTTTATATTTTTTAAAACAAATAAAATGGGTTTTATATTTTACCCCTTGTATGATGAAGTTCAAGACGTAATTTGAAAGTCATATTTTAATGTTTCTTAATTTTTTATTGTATAACCCCTTACCCCTCCCCCTTTTTAATTATTGAATTTTTATTAAATGACTTTAATATTAAAATGAGTAAAAGTTAAGTCCTGTTCTCCAATGCTAAAAGTGAGGAAATAATTATGTAATATATCAAAACTTTTTTTAATGACGTAAGCCAGAATATCTAATCATAAAATCACATTAATTATTAAAATTAAAATCTTTTTTATTTGACTAGAATTGTAACCGAGGGATGCGTGAGTAGGGGTTAGTTAAGGTCAGTTTTCACGAAATCAAACCAACTGATCACTTGCCACCAACTCTAATGTTCTGATCTTTATATCTTTGCAACCAGAGGTCGAAACAAGTGTAGAGTATTGGTAATCTTGAACGCTTGATCTCGATATCCAATGTGGGCACTTTAAAGGTAAATGTTTGATCCCTCAATCGAAGTTATCCACTAGATGTTGAAGAAGAATTAAATCAGTCCGTAGATCTGTATAAGACAGTGATCAATCCTAAATCCTGAGATTCAGAACACACAAGTTCTGACCTCTGATGGTGTAAATTTTTGCTGTTTCAAACTTAGACGAGAAGAACTCATAGTCTAGGTTTCGGACACCAGGTTGCAAAGAAATATAGATTAGAAAATTAGAGTTTGAGGGAATTAATCAGTTCCTTTGTTCTCATTTATAAATAAATCTCTTCTCTTTTTTTCCATTTTATCCCGCACTTCTCTTTTACAGTCAGTCCACTCATGGTATACTTTAAAAAGGACTGTTTAACTGAACCTTTAAACATTGAAGAGAGTCATTCCTGATTTACAAGTTTACCCTTTAAACCTTTGTCAATTAAAATCACAATTAGATCAAATTGTTTAGAGTTTTCTACTTTTTTGTCCTTTGCATTTTTTCTTACGTTCTTTCCACCATTTCTTCTCTTCTACTTTTTTCTTTTTTTCTTCGTTATGTTTCTATATTTCTTTCTTTCTGTTTTCCTATTATGGTGGATTATTTTTTAAAAACAGTAAATATGACTGCATGCCCTAATATTCTGACAGACCTTAAATCTTCAAAACAAGAATAATATATCGATAATAATATATATATATTATTTATATGTGTATGTATATATATATACACATGTACATACACATATTAATAAATAATTTTGGGCCACACATACCCCTTGCGATGAAAATGTTTATTTTTTTCTTCTTCCTGTTTCTTTTGGAATAAGTTATTACCATGTATCATTAACTGAACCTTTAAACATTGAAGAGAGTCATTCCTGATTTACAAGTTTACCCTTTAAACCTTTGTCAATTAAAATCACAATTAGATCAAATTGTTTAGAGTTTTCTACTTTTTTGTTCTTTGCATTTTTTCTTACGTTCTTTCCACCATTTCTTCTCTTCTACTTTTTTCTTTTTTTCTTCGTTATGTTTCTATATTTCTTTCTTTCTGTTTTCCTATTATGGTGGATTATTTTTTAAAAACAGTAAATATGACTGCATGCCCTAATATTCTGACAGACCTTAAATCTTCAAAACAAGAATAATATATCGATAATAATATATATATATTATTTATATGTGTATGTATATATATATACACATGTACATACACATATTAATAAATAATTTTGGGCCACACATACCCCTTGCGATGAAAATGTTTATTTTTTTCTTCTTCCTGTTTCTTTTGGAATAAGTTATTACCATGTATCTCTGTTATTACAAGAGTTATAACAAACTCCAGAAGACAAGTGAGGTCCTCTCTGTAAAAAAAAACCTAAAAATTTAATGTTTAGAAGTATGGGTATGAGGTTAGTAGGGAAGGACAGCTTGGTGGTGGTGAGCTACGACTTCGAGTACACCACCGAGGAGGGAAACAGGGTTTGGATGAAGGAGGGGGAGGTTCTCCTGCTCATCAATAAAACAAACGCCGACTGGTGGCAGGTTAGCTTTTTTAATAATATTTTTTAATTGTCTGGTTTTTGCCTTATCTAATGCCTTAATGTCTGAACTGATTGGGCTAACTTTTTTTGTGGTATCTCAAATGACTTCAAGGAAAGTTTATGGCCGGTAGAAATTAAAAAAACTGTGGTAAGAAACTGTTGTATTTTAAATTTTCTGTAAATCTCAATTTAAACCTTCTAATCCACGAAATTTTGAGTTTGTAAAAATTCGACTTGAAAATAAACTTCAATGACTAAAATTACTAAAATGGTTACTAGGAAAAACCTTTCTATCTTCTATATAATAAAACAAGACATTCGTGTGTATGTCACCAATAGCCGGCCAGACGGCTATTGCGATTGGGATGAAATCTTTTGTGGACACTTGAGGGGTGGCCTTGTTTAAGGCTAAAAAATTCGATTTAAAAAAACTTTTTATTCAAAATTTTGTTTTTCCACGGGCAACGCCGGGCCCTTCAGCTAGTATAATATATAAGACGAGTATTTCTATATTTCTTTTAAAACATCCAAATCCGATCGTTTTGACCCCCTTGATGTCATAATTTCAAAAGAACCTGTCAAATCATTCGTTGGAATGTTTAGAAAGATAAAAATTTCCCTGTATGATAATTGAAGGACTGCAGTATGGTTTTGGTGAATTATATTGGCGTACAAAGCCTAGGGGTGTCAGAAATGATTTTTTTTGCAACTTTTAATGACAACTGTATAATCAAAATATTAGAAATTTTAACAATGGCTGTCAGCGATACGAGATAATTAGTTTTTTTCTGCCCTGTACCTTTCCTTCCGGTCTTTGTTTTACAGGGAGTCCGGGAATAATGCATTGATACAACAGGGTGTCACAGAAAACTACCCGAAAAAAAACTGTCAGTGTTGAAATGTTAAGCTAGTTTAGATACCACTTTGTTTATTGTGCACCCTATTCATTAAAGCATTAAATAATTCCGTATGAAGAACTTTATTGTACTAACCTAACTTCCGTCTCAAAACATGATTTAGAAAATTTCGCAAAATTCCCAAGATTTGGTTTGGTTTGGTTTTAACCAGTTAATCAAACTCGTAGAAACTCCCGTGATGTTGAATGGTTTGGTTTGGATTGTGTGGGAAAATTTGGACGAAAACTTCCGTAAGTTCCCGGTCAAGGCATTATTACAGGGGTTATTCAATTCTACAATGTGTATACCATGTGTTAGCCATTTTAAAAAAAAACCTAACATTTGAAAATCATTTAGTTTTCTTCTCTTTTTTAAACCTTTTCCTTTTTTACTTCTGCACGTTTTATTTTGTGACCCAAGGATATATTTTATGTCAATTTTATGGAGATCTTAAGTTTTCTGCATTGTGGAATTCGGGTAATAAAGTGTTTTAACGCCTGGAAAATATTTATTTTTATAATTTTGAATAATGTACAAGAGATTTGAACGATAGAAATTTCCTCCATCTGGCATTTTATTAATTCATTCATTTTTAAGTTTTTAACTCGTGAAATTGTGAGAAGAAAATGCCATAACCATTTATAATCTGTTTAATCAACAAGAAAGATCCGGTAAGAAATGGCTGAAGGGGTTTGCTGGGGCTCTTATGAAAAATAGCAATTCATATATCTGGAAAGCTAATTTTCATTCGGTCATATTCACTCTTAGATATGGGATTTTTTTTAAAGAAAACAGTTTTATTAAAAGTATTATAAATAAGTCGGTTTTTCACATTTACAAACATTTGAACAAAAATGTAATTTTATTCTTTTTTAGATGTGACTATTTTGCTTAATCAGCAAAGTGGTAAAATTGTTATTTATAAATTATAATTCTTGGTCTTGGGGACTACTTTGATTTCAGAATATTGCGACAATTTTTATCAAATTATTTAAAATTACGATCAAAAATCTATTAAAAGAGAATTTTAAAAGGCTTCATTATTTTTGTTTTATGTGGGAATACACCTTTAAGCTTGGAATTACCATGAAATAATAATAATGACCTAAATTTGTTATTTTAATATTTTATTGAAAATTAAGTTCAAACGTTTAATTTTTATTTCTAAATTTTAGACGATATTTATTGTTGATAAATCTTATGAAAAAAATTTATGTCATATCATAACTGAGATATTATTATGCAATGAAATTAGATCACTAGCAGCGGTAAAAAATGATCCGACGATTTATGAATTTTTCAATGTTTACACCATAGATTAACAACAATACAGATATCTATCTATCTATCTATCTATCCATCCATCCTGCCATCAATCTATGTATATTTTTTATCTATCTATCTCGCCTTGGTCTTGCTGACGCTGTATTAACACTAGTACACAGAAATGATCTCAGTTGTGCTTGTGCCGTCAACAAGGAATATTGTGCTAGGTACGCTTTTACGCACAATGATAAATTGTTCAAAAACCACAAACTCTCTCATTTACACACTCGCTATCTCAATAATTGTATGACCGGAAGTGATCATATAGTTTGTATTTTATTGGATTTTGTGAATACAATTTATTTTTAAAGAATTTTCTTCTTTATTTCTTGAAATTTGTAACAAAGACTTTTTCTTTGCATTATTTCAATTTCAATGTTGTAAAAGCTGAACTCACTTCATTCTTGATTAAGTATATTTATTTCAAGTTTAGTGGGTGGATAGTAGAACTCCCCTGACAGCAGGATTTTATTTGATTTGAGTTTGTTCTTTTATGGATTTTGTGATCATATTTGATTTTTAAGAATTTCCACTCCGAATCTTTTTTATTTCCTGAAAATTGTGACAAAGACTTTTCTTTGCATTATTTACACCCCTTCCCTTCCCTTAAACCCTTTTCTCTCCTTTCTCTCCTTTCTCTCCTTTCTCTTCTTTTCTCAACCACTTTTACCCTCTCCTTCCCCCACCCATTTTCATCCTTAATCTTTTAGCACCCCCCCTCTCCCTCCCCCCCAACTCAACCAATTACTTAGTTGCAGGAGGGGAGGAAGGCCAACCACAACAATTTCTCATCCGAGCCACAATATTTTTTCGTCCGAACCACCTCGAAATTCTCGACCTGTCCACTGATGCAGATCCTTATTTGTAGAACATCGTTTATGGAGCGGAGCATAATTTGTTTTCACAAAGTTTAAAATGTTTGAGAAAATTCATAATTTTATTTTTGCTCCAACGTCGCCAGATTTCCAAAAAAAATATTTTTATCTGCAAGGGTTGGACATTAAAAAAAATACATTAGAACGACGAGGATTTCGAGGTGGTTCAGACGAGAAAATTAGGAGAATGTGGCTCGGACTAAATGTTGTTGTGGTTGGCTTTCCTCCCCTCGTTGCATCTTAATGATTTGTGTGGCGAGAAATCACCCCCTTCTTCTAAGNGGGGGGGGGGGGTACCATTAGTATAACCCTGCATTTTCTTCACGGCAACTACTTTTTCGTAATTATCATATAAAGAAGATTGAAATTGCACAGATTCACACAAATTTGTCTGTTAAAATTGGTGCACTTTCAAAAATGTTTTCATTTTTTTCGAGAAATTTGTTCAATCTCAAAGGACTGGGAATAAGCCTCGACTGTAATCAAAAGATTTGCCATAATAGATTTGGGTCGGATCAGTTCACCCTTTTTGGATACAAATTTACAAAAAAGCAATAATATTTTTTTCCCAATTAATAATCTTAAAAATTGAAAATGTGGGGAAAAAAATTATATTTATACTTAATATCTCACAAAAGGTGACCTCTCTTATCTGTTTTAAATAGAGGAATCAAACTTAAGTAAATCTTTTAAGACTCTGGAATTCCGAAAAGAATATAAAATGGAATATTATCAAAATTCTTTTCAGGTCATTCGGCGAGGTGACCGGCGCCCATTCTACGCTCCAGCGCGCTACGTCGCCGAATTTAGTCAGGACAGCGGAGAGTGGGATTCTGCATTCTCCGGAGAAGGGGTTCATTACAGACCTGATAACGGAGAACCTCTTCCTGGCAGGGGGGATCAGGTACATGGATAGGGGCTAATATCGGGACTGGGATAGGGGCTAGTATAGGGACAGGGACAAATGACAGGGACAGGAACGAAAAACATGGGACTGGGACGAAGACAACGACAGGAACAGAAGACGAAAAAAGACTTGTGTTGGGGCTGTGACTAAGAAAAGGGACTGGGACTGAGAGCACCGATTTAAATGGCATAAGCCACTAAGATTACTGGAAACAAAAACTGGGACTTGGGCAGGAAAATGGACCAGGACGGAAAACGGAACTATGACAGAGTGGGACCAGGGCGGGAAATAGGATTAGGACAAGTAATGGGACTTGGACAGGGAATGAAACTAGGACAGGAACTGTGAGCAGGACAGGGAATGGGAATGGGAGCAGGACAGGAAATTGGACTAGGACAGGGAATGGTACTAGGACAGTGAATGGTACTAGGACAGGGAATGGTACTAGGACAGGGAATGGAACTAGGACAGGAAATGTGAGCAGGACAGGGAATGGGAGCAGGACAGGGAATGGGGATAGGACTGGGAATGGAACTAGGACAGGGAATGNTGAGATCTCTATGTGGAGAACAAGCTATATTTAATCTGGAGATTAAGAAAAAGTTTGGATTAAGCATTAATCCTGATATCCACCATTCTAAAGTTTTCAGCTCAGAACAGTTAATAGGACCAAGACAGGTAATGGGACCAGGAAAGAGAATGGAACCAGGAAAAAACAGGGAGTTGAAATAATTATTTTTTAACAAAATTTACGATTCAGGACAAAAAATCCCACTTCTCCACATTTCTGGGAGGAAGTAATAAAAGATCAAGCTACGCTGCTCCTCAACAATCCCATCATGGTCCTCCATCATCAGATTTCCTCTTTGGGGCTCCTAGGTAATATTTTCGCTATTCAAGGGACTGTACACGGAATTTCAAGTCTCATTTACAATACAGAGTGCCATGTCCAATTTACAACGTTACCCTTTAAAATTTGGTCTGATCAGGAATGAATAAGATATCCATTTTTTCTGTTAAAAACGGATTTTTTTTTCAATTATTTTAAAATGACTGGAGTATTTCTGCCAGAGAAGTAATGGAAATTATACATTTTTCAACCACATCTTCCACTTCAGATAAAAGGGACTGTATAGGAAAAATGAAAGTGGGTATATGCTAAGCATTTTAGGAGTTGATCGAGACCCATGAGAGTACTATCTGAAGTTCCTGTCTCCAGAAATTGTGTCAAACTTCTACGAAAATCTTTGCAAATAAAACTTGATTATAAAGAGTAGGGTTAAAACGATTATATTCAGCAAATACGAAACCAATCTGAAAACTGTGTCAAATTTATATAAAAATCTTTGCATATTCCGCAAATATGGCACTACGGTATGCCGAGTCCATTAGCATCTGATTCAATCAGGGTTCAGTCATGTGTTTGTTGTCTATTCTGAACCAATAGAAATATCTATCTCATTTCTCGAATTAGAGTTATGAATCCTTCATTCGGCACTATCAGTAAATGGAAATATTTACTTCTACTGAAACTATAGTGACACAACCAATCTGAAAACGACGATATCCCAGAGGAGTCTAAGTAACTTAGGGTTGCTCCTAGTATTATTTGAATGTAAAATTTTTTCACTTATATATATATAGATATAATTGATAATATAATTATTTAGTATGCATCACGTGACCAGAACTCCCACTAATGGTAGTGCAATATTATTGTCACGTGTCTCCGTCTGTATCACGTAACCAGTATACTGCACTACAATTTGTGGGAGTTTTGGTCACGTGATACGGACGTATAAATAATATCAATGATATTTATTAAAAATTATAAATTTTTAAATTAAAAAAATAATAGGAGCAAACCTAAGTTACTTAGGCTCTTCTGGGATATCGTTGTTTTCAGATTGGTTGCGTATTTGCTGAATATAATCTATTTAAACCTACTGTTTTTGTACAACATTTTATATAGATAGATTTTCGTATAAATTTGACACAGTTGTATATCAATTTCTGGAGACAGGAACATCAGATAGAAGTCTTATGGGTCTCGATCAACTCCTAAAATGCTTAGGTTTCAGCCTATAATTTTTCCTTTACAGTCTCTTTAAGGTTTCAAGACTACTGTTTTGAATCGGGCATTCAACTCTTTAATGAAAGAACAATTACAATTACGACGACAGTCCCTTTAAAGGTTTTTTTTATGAACAAATTACATCAGATCTTGTTTAGATTTTTTAAAAATCCGATTTCTTTGAATTTTATTTTTTACGATCTTCAAAAATGTGAAAGTTTTTATATTCATAGAAAATGCACAATTTACCTTCAAAAACACAAAAATGGTTGTGGGCGTTTATATGCGAAAGTGTATTGGGGGGAGGGGAGGGGGTAAGGGAGAGTGGGGAGAGGAGGTGGAATATAAACCCTTGTCAAATCCTAGACTAAAACAAACCAGAAGCCCGGATTTACAAAATTATCCTGAAATACGCAATTACGCATGACAGCTTCATTGTTAGGAATAGAACCTACGCAAAATTCTGGTAAAAATACAGATTAAAAACTTAAATTTTCAGTAGTAGCCGGACTAAGTCTTAATCATAAAAATAGAAAGTTTAATGTTAAAGTATTGTGATAGAGGGCTTTCAGCAGTATTTCATCTTGCAAAAGCAATAAAATAATTTAATGCTTTAAGCTTAACAGAACTGAAGGCTTACTGCAAACTCTAGTGTTCTAATTCTTTTATCTTTGCAACCTAATGGTTTAAATTTAGACTTTTAGATCCAAAAGAATTTATAATTTGAAACATTAAGGGTATTCGACATCAGGTTGCAAGAATAAAAGGATTAGAAAAAAAATTTGAAAGTATTTTTATCTTTATGATTTTTACTATTTTGTTGGCATAATAATTGGTTTAACTAATAAAAAGATACTTCTGTATTTTTCTTTTCTTAAAAAGAGATCAATTTTTTTTTTGAATAGGGACTTATTATTCTTGAAGAAAATAAAGGAAGTAACATTAATATAAACTGGGAAATTTAAAGAAAATATTCAATGGAGAATTAAAATGAGGACATCTGATTCTAATTCTTTAATATGTCTTTTTAAAAATAGATATTTAAAACAATTAAGTAAGAATAGCGTTGAGATCTCTCAGTTAAGCGTGGTTAATCATTTTAATCAAGTTTTAAATTAGTGATACAAACAATCAAGTTTTTAATTTAATTAAACCGCGGTCATTAATTTATTCAAGAACTATATTTCAAGGCTAAAATATTATATTTAATGTTGCAATTTTAATATTAGGGGAATTAACATAACTAATTTTTATCATTTTATCTATTTTTCCTGGGGAGGAGGTGAATTAAAGAATTAACTGAAAGCTTAGTTTTAAAGTGACCTTCCATGCAAATATGACAACGCCCAATTTACAATGGTAGCGTTGAAATCTTTTTCTGATCATTAAAGTGGAAGATACAGTCATTTTTTACTAGGTTTAAAAGTGTTTAATTCTTAAAATGAAATTTCTTTTTGCAATTGAAACCACAATTCTAATCAATAGTGTACAAAATTATAAACATTGATATTTTTTCTTGAACAGGCAAAGCTTTTAATAGTACTGAAGTGAATCAGGCATTGCCAGTCTGACATGAAGCATTAAAACCCCTGGAATATTAAAATTTAGCTGATCAAGGGAGGAGGGGAGGGGGGGGGGGTTGAGCTCACATAGCCCTCCATTAGTACGCCTCTTCTTTTTATTTCCCATACTAATTTTTCTGCTCCAGGTTCCAGGAAAGGTACCGGAGTAACTCTATGGACTCTATCCTTGTAGCCGATCTCAACCGTCAGATCTTCATCCCTAAACAATACATCCAGCAGCCGGCCAACCTACACCTGGAGAAACGTCCAACCTTTGATAATATTGATAAACGTGCCTCCTGGTCCCAGGACAAATCCCAGTATATTCAACACGGCGGACGCATAGTTCATCCTGTTTACACAAACCATACTCTAGCTCCGGTTCTTCATGCACCAGGTCTACCACTCCAGGTTCTCCATGGAGCAGCCAAGAAACCGGTTCCTCTTCCCCGGAGTAAGATCCCTGTCCCGACAAAATCTTCGACGATGGATAGAATAGTTCAACCGGAGCTCAGAACTTTCAAACGATCCAAGACTGATTTGAGTTTAGGTTTGTAAAAAAAAATTTTTATTAAAAACTTGTAAAGCGAATCTCCATTTATAGAATAGCATGTCCCAATCAAAATAAAGTCCATTGTGTCCCTAACTTTTGCCTGAATAAGGCTTGTGGTGATATCCATATTTTTCCGACTAAAAGTTAACTGACATTGTTCCGGCTCTCAATATATTCGGCCGGAAAAATTAGTTATTTTCTATCATCTATGTTAACGAAAAGGTTTAAAGGGTTCTGTTTTAATCAGGACATGCAACTCTATAAATGATGGGTCAATTAAAAATAAGTCTTCATTTCCGTTAAAAAAATTCAATTAACAGTAAAATTTCTAAAATAAACATTTGCTAAAAATCGGTTTATGCCGAGTACCTACTGGGTTAAAAATATAAGAAAACCTTTTATTTCTGGTTAAGATTACATTATTTTAATTACAGAAGTCATATGTTTTTGGTTTACTTCAAGGGTAATAATTTTGGATTTAGGTATGTTGAGTAATTACAAGCAGAGTAGAGCCGTGCACGGTATGCTCCCTTCCTCTGAACCCTCCAACCGTAATCTTAAACCTCCCGGTCGCCGACCTTCAACCAGTAGATCGGCCGCCCGGCCGGCAGCTATTCGAGAAGAACATGACAGAATCTCTCTTCAATCCTCAGTCAATTCAGATCTAAAAATAAAAGAATCTCTTCAAAACTTAGAAAAGGGAGGTCGGCGGAAAAGTAAACCTGATTCTAAGGGTCCAGTCGTCCAAGGGGACAAGAAGGAAGTGTCCCCTAAGACTCCCCCTAAACCTGTAATTAAGGAGAAACCCTGCGTGCCTGTTATCAAAGCAAACTTGAGCAGTGTGAATTCTGCTGATAAGGAGTTGCGAAGAATAAACAGGGCGCAGTCAGAGAATGATTTGATCAATCCAGTTCCATTCTACAAACACAATACAGACACACAAACTATAGGTAAACAATCAAGTTCCATTCTACAAACACAATACAAAGTACAGACACACAAACTATATAGGTAAACAGTCAAGTTCCATTCTACAAACACAATACAGACACACAAACTATAGGTAAACAATCAAGTTCCATTTTACAAACACAATACAGACACACAAACTGTAGGTTAACAATCAAGTTCCATTCTACAAACACAATACAGACACACAAACTATAGGGAAACAATCAAGTTCCATTCTACAAACACAATACAGACACACAAACTATAAGTAACAAAATTAACCAAAACGATTGAATGGTTCCTAAAGGGACTAAAGATTTAATACCATGTTACCCTTCATTTGTTTGTGACTTATAGCCACTTTTCAATGATTTTCGGAAAATTGCTGCTGAGACATGGAAGAAAAATTCCAGAATTTAGCACAATTTAATGAAAAACTATTTTTTTCCCCTGATTTTTCCACAGATAAGGTTTAAGGATACCATTGAGAATCGAACATGCCAGTTTAAGTGAGGGGTCACTTGAAATTAAGTCTAAACTGGTTTTTAATCCTAAAGCTCATATTTGATAAGGAATTTTTTTTCAGATTCAGAGGATGAACTTAAAATAAGTTTGAAAGTTGAAGGATTTGATCGTAAAAGTGAAGATCGGTTGCAACATTCAGATCAAGATAAATCTGATCGAAATAGCCAAGATCGATCGTATAGAACCAGCCAGGAGCGATCAGAGATTTTCACCAAAGAGCGATCCGAACGGCTAAGCCAGGATCGAGATGATCGGCGGAATAATACAGAAGCATTACGAAGTGGTCGAAACTATCCAGAAAGATCCGGCAAAAAAGAGTTTGAGAAGACTGCTGTAAAAGTTCATAACGATTCTCTGCTTTTTGGTCACGAGCTTTCAGAGCAGGACAACTACAATCCGCCGCCAGATCAAACCTTTTTAAACCTCGCGGATCAAAAAAGACGAATAAATGACACAAGACAAAATCAAACAGGACGAACAAAACAAGATGATCGAACTCGTCGGGATTGTAATACTGATCAAGTGAACAATGATCGACAAGAACGGTCGAACCGTGATAAATCTGAATTATCCCGACCACGTGTTGATCTTGATCATCAACCCCGACGTGATCTTGAAGAAGGTGTCGAGGGGAAGGAAAATCTTGCTCCCCAAGAATCCTCACATAAACCAAACAACAAATTTAAACCACGAAAAGAAACGAATGAAAAGTTTCTTGACATGGAACCGTTACCTGAACCGCCGCCAACTCCGCCTCGACACAAAGATACTCCGCCGTCAGTGGTTAAAAACCCTCCTTCCTCTAAGACCTCAAGCTCTCCGATCAACATTCCGGAGAACCCGTCCCAGCCCCTTGTTATCTCGACGGAGCCAATGTCCACTTCTAGCAGTGTTATCAATAAATCTGAGGACAAATCAAATTGCTCTTCATCTTTTGATAGTTTAGGTCAGTTTTTACATTAAATCAAGTGAAATTTAAAAGTTAAAACTACCAGGTTTTTTATCATTTCTCCTTTCCCCCCCCTCCCTTCCCCTTCCTCTCGAAAATCATTTTTTCTAAGCTGTCAAATATGGAAAAAAATAATCGATTTTAGGGTTAGATAGATAGGTTGGAATAAGCTTTCCTCTTGATGTCAATTTTTCATCGACATTTAACATTATAACTTTATAATTGTTAAAAATACATACGCTTGATAAAAAAAAGGCAAATTTACTTAAAATGAGAAAGTTGTAATTTAAAAAAAATACTTTTTTTGAGTAAATGTTCAACAAAGCAGATTTTAATTAATTTTCAAAAATTATTGTTTTTCCAAGTCCTTGAAATGTATTGTTTTATAGATGGCAGCTTGGATTCGTCTGGTTGGCCGGAGGGCGGAGACTGGTTGGGGGCGGAGCCTAATCGTGGCTCCCGCGGCAGTTTAAAATCCCCGAACAACTCGACCTGCTCCCGGGCCCCGGTATCCCCGGTACCCGGCTCCACCCCTCTCCGCCACCTGTTCACGGACTGGGACGAGTACCAGGATACCTCCGGAAGGAAGTTCTACTACAACCTCAAGACCGGAGAGAAGAGTTTTAAACCTCCGAGACGGATAAGAGGATCCAGCGAGGGATACAGTGCTCCCACTAGTCCGGATCCATTTACTGAGAATGGGGATTCAGGTATTTATTAAAGTATTCATAAGTTGGGTCTGAGATTGAGCCTCAAACCTGTGTCTAAGGAATTAGGACTTCAGCCAAAGCTTTAAAAACGCGGTCTCAGAAGGAAATAATATCATAAGTGGCAAAATTTTTTACAAAATATGTAAAAATGTTCCCAAAGAAAATTCCAAAAAGTTTTCTAACGGTGATTAGCTAAATAAAGTAAATGAAAAATTTTGATTTGAAAGGTGTTACCAATATCCCAAGTTAATTTTTGCATTTAAAATTCTATTTTTTGTATTATTTACATGATTACAATTCCAGCTTTTGAAATGAGTCCTGGACTATCCGAGTCCGAATGCAGAAGCGTAGAGGACGACCAGTCGAGAACAGAAAATAGTCTGGAGGACGAGAAGGAGGACGTGGTTGAGGACGTGGTAGACTCTCCTCCTCCTAGTGGATACGAAATAAAGACAGATTCAGAGTCGGGAGAAAAATATTATGTCAACATTTTTACAGGTTTTAACTTCAACTACTTTCTTCAAAAAGACAGTTGCTGGAGATATTTAATACTTATCAACAGAAATTTGGTTCCCCGTTGGAAAAGGCATTGCATTTCATGGTATTATTCCGTTTTAAAGGGTCAAATGATATATTTATTTGAAGGTGAGGGGGGAGGGATGGATTTTCCCCCTACCCTCTTGTGTAAAGTAGACGCCATTGATTGATGACACTATAAATTTATTTAAAAATCATTTGTTTCCCCCAATTTAGCGAACAAACTCTTTAAAAAAACATACATAACTTTTGGGGTGGAAAATTATTCAAGAAAGTATATAGCACTGTCAGGCGAATAATTGATTGATTGATTCGATTCATTGATTGGATTCATTGATTGGATTCATTGATTGGATTCATTGATTGGATTCATTGATTGAATGATTGTTGTGAAGGTGTATCCTGGTACTCTGCAGCGGATAAGAGTGGACGGGTATATTACTACGAGGAGAACGGGAATGAATCATGTTGGGAACTTCCGAATGTTTCACAAACTTTCCAGGTAGGAAATTAAAGGGATTGTTTAACTTTTTCAAAATAAACTTAAAGGGACTGTCAGCATAGTTTCAAGTCACATTTCATACAAGATAGCAATGCTCGATTCGGAACTGTACCCTTGAAACCTTAATTTGAGCAAAAATGTGGAAAAATTAAATTTCTCCAGTTTTTCTTATAATGAAAAAATGCGTATGTACCTTCTGGAGAGAAATCGCAAAAAAAATTACATTTGAATAAACAAAATTATGGATATCTAATTCATGCTTGATCAGGCAAAGCTTTCAAGGATACCCTTGTAAATCTTTGAGGGTTACTTAACATTACCCCTACACTCCCTCCTTTTTTTTTATTTTTTTTAGTACAAGTCAGCATATCTACCGCTCAAAAAAAGTAGTGGAACAATCTTTAACAAGAAATCTTCTGAACGCATTATTATCTATAAACGTACACAATTAAAATAGGAAATTTTAAAGTTTGCAGGTTAAACATGAATCTTGGGAATTGTCGATATTTTCTCTAAAACTCCTTGCTCAAGATGTTTACGATGTGTCCACTATTTTCAAAATATCTCATTTCGTAAATATTTTTCAATGATAATCAAGCCACAGTTATTAAATTCTTATTCTGATTATCAAATTGATGTTTAACCAAACCAAATCCTAATTCTGATATATTTTATGTTCATTTTTCAGGATCACAGTGTGAACCCAAGTCCTGTACCGGATTCGGAAAAGCAAGTTAATTCCTCCCGGCATAAACTTCCAACAGGATACGAGAGGTCGGTTTCTGTCCCGGCCTCGGAACCTCGTCGAGACCACGACACGGCCTCCAAGACTGAAAGCTTAAGACAAAAGTTCTACCCCTCGGTTCAAATAGGAGACGTGAGTATAGTTGTGCTGAAGCAAGGAACTGTATTCAAGACCCGGCTTGAGGAGAGAGGGAAGAAGTATAGAAAGAACTGGTCAGCTTCTAACCTCGTTCTAACCGATACATTCCTTCTCTTCTACAAGGATGCTAAAGCTTTTGCTAATCTACAGGCAGGGGGGAGCAATAAACCTGATCAGTGTATTGATCTCAAAGGAGCACAGATAGAGTGGTGCAACAGTGATAAATCCAAGCGGTTAAACGTGTTTGAGATCTGCACTCTGCTGGAGCAGAAGATTCTACTCCAGGACGACGACTTCACGGTGGCGAATGACTGGTTCTCCAGGATTGAGAACGTGATCGTGACTCTCTCTCAGAAAGAGTTGGTGGTGAGAAACCATCAGAGTTCGCTAGATCTAGTAGAGAACTCGGAACCTGAGTCTGCCTCCTCTACCCTACAGAGTAAGAAAAAGGTCGGACGGACGAAGTCCCTGAAGTTAAAACTTTTGACCTCAAGTGAGGAACTTTCAAATGCTGCAGGTCCTGATTCACCCTCCGTCCTAAGTGTTCCTTTAGTTAAAGAAAAGTCAAGAATCCGCGAAAAACTTCGCAAATTTTTCTTGCGGCGACCCGGGGTGGAAGATCTAATGAAGCGCGGTATTATGAAAAATGAGCCGGTTTTCGGCAGCACGCTTACTCTGCTGGCCCGTCAGGATCATAGTGATGTACCAATATTTGTTAAAAAGTGCGTTCAAGTGATTGAAAGTAAGCCCGAGTATCTATCTACAGACGGTGTGTACCGTCAATCTGGAAATCTTTCAACCGTTCAGCGATTACGATTACAGATCGATCATGGGAATCCTAACGTTCTCGAGATGGTAGATGATATTCATGTTCTCACCGGGGCTCTCAAACTCTTCTTCCGTGAGTTAAAGGAGCCCTTGATCCCCTGGGAGTTGGTGGACAAGCTCATCAATGTCTGCAATCTACCGAGTAAGAAGGGTAAGGCCAAGGGACTGAAAGAAATTGTATCTCGACTCTCTCCTCCTCATCACGCAACCCTGATAGCACTGCTTAGACACCTTGAAAAAGTTACAGGTTACAAGGAAGTGAATCGGATGGCGGTTTCGAACCTGGCGATCGTATTCGGTCCGACACTTATGTGGCCCCCGGCAAACCTAACTAATACCAACATGGCGCTAAATATGATGCAGCAGAATATGATTGTAGAGGCCCTGATCACAAACCTAAGTCTCATTTGTTGAAAATGAAACCAGAATTTTCAATATTTTTGAACTTTAATAATTTATTTCAATTAAATTTTAAAATAATTTTAAATTTCAATATGATATCAGATGGAAACATTTTGAAACTTCTATATTTCTTGTTTTCATTCTTTCTTCTTGATCGTCCATTCCTCGTTCATCCTTCAATCATACTTTGGCTAATTTTGAAAATAAAAATAAATCAATTTTCAATATAATTAGTAACAAATTATCACATCAATATATTTTTTTTAATATTTATATGTTGTTTCAAATTCAGTAAATTGGTCTTTATTTATATGTTAGATTTATTATCAACTAACACTTAAAAACATATCTAATATTTATATGTTGTTTCAAATTCAGTAAATTGGTCTTTATTTATATGTTAGATTTATTATCAACTAACACTTAAAAACATATCTAATGTTCATATTGGTGGATTTTTGCAGATTTTTTAACAACGTTCTTCCTTTCATTATGTAAATTCGTCAGACCTAATCTTAAGCTTTTTAAATATTCATTCAGAACGGAAATATTTCCGATAAATATATTATTATTAAGTTTGTTGATATGATTCCTTTTTTCCACTTAATAAGTTATATAGTAAGTTGTCAAATTTTTATGTTTTGAAGAAAAAAATGTTGAAAGTAAAAAGTAAAATCTTTAATAGTTTTGTATCCAATAACAGTACTCTTTTCAATAACATTTTTTTAAAGTTCTCTTTGATTATTAATTTGTACAATAACGTTTAAATTATTGATTATTTATTATTTATTCTTATATTTGAATGAAACCGTTTCCATGCCATTTAACCTAAAAAGTTGCCTTAAGATTGCTTAAAGGGACTCTGTCGAGATAATTTCAGGGGACCCTCCGGTTAAAGAGATAAATGCCCCTAAAAACACGGTCCCTTTAATCAGAGCGATTACTGAATTTATCAAATTGTTAATATTACAATATTTACCATATAAAGTTTCTTATATTGTTTCAAAAATTCTACTTATATTTATTAAAACTATTTTTGTATTTATAAACTATGAGTATTTAAAAAAACTTATCTTCTTAGCTCTCGGCATGACTAATTCTTCAGATATTTTTTGAACATTATTATAAATTTGTGTAAATGAAAGATGATGTAGAAATGTATGTATGTATATTATTCAAACGGAAAGACATGAAAGATTATTTTTGAAATGCAAGACTGTTAGAATTAAAACGATATTTTTTTCAGCGTTAAAAAACAAGAACTTCTCCAAATTATATAAATATCATTAATAGAAAAATAATATCGAGAAAGAAAAAATTGATGGAAGAACCAAATTAATTAGTTTGTATTTCTCTGATGCTAGTATATTTTGTATTGAATGATCATTTTAACTTGTATTTATGCTTAAAGGTATTGTCTTTGTAATTTAAAGTTACCTTCCATTTTTATATAAGCAAAACTGATTCACAACTCTACCCTTTTAACCATGATTTAGGTACAACTAAAAAATAACGTCGTTTTAAAGCCTGACGGTGTTTTATTCTGACAATTTTCTCTCGTGTTTCTTTATTAAGAATTCACAGTTTAAAATTACAAATTTTCAGTGAAAGGATAATGAATATCTCTTGTATTCAAAGTTTTTAAGAGTACTGTGGCTAATCGGCCATTCAACTCTGTAAACTGTTAAATAAGGGTCATTTTAAATTCCATCGTCAATCTCTTTAAATCAACTGAATGTGAATGCGTGTACTTCGTGCCTTTTACTCTGATAAACCTCATGTACTTAGTTAGTGTACACTGTACACTACTTAATTCCCGCATGTACCAACAGCTGTGATAGAGTACATCTTTCCAATATTATGTAATGTATAGATCCAAAAATGTAAACAAAATTTTAACCTAGAGCTCTGCTTATTTTTCAATAAATTACCAAATGTTTGTCAAGATTTTGATTAATTAGTTCGTTTTTGTTTTTTTCTTCGTGTTTTTCTGTTTCTCTATTTTGTTTTCCTTGATTCTGGTTGTCAAAACTCTTCTTTCTGCTTATATCTGTTTTATATCTGTTATTTTATCTTTTTAATATCTATTTGGTATCTGTTAATACGTCTGTTATATATCTGTTTTTTTATCCTTTTAATAATTGTTTAATATCCGTTTTTTTATCTATTTAATATTTGTTTGATATCTATTTAATATCTGTAAAAATATCTGTTATATATCTGTTTTATATCTGTTTTTTATCGTTTTAATATCTGTTTAATATCTGTAAATACATCTGTTATATATCTGTTATATATCTGTTTTATATCTGTTATATATCTGTTTTATATCTGTTTTATATTTGTTTGATATCTGTTCAATATCTGATTAATATCTGTCATACATCTGTTATATCTCTGTTTTTTTTTCTTTTTAACAAAAAGATAATTCTTAATAAATATTGTATATCTGCTATACATCTGCTTTTTATCTTAATCTTAATAACTATTGTATATCTGCTATACATCTGCTTTTTATCTTTTTAATATCTGTTTAATATCTGATTAATATCTGGTTATACATCTGGTATATATTTTTTTTATTTCTGTTTTTTATCTGTTTTATATGTGTTACATCTGTTATGTATCTGGTTTTTTTTATCTTTTTAATAACTGTTTTATTTCCGTTTTATATCTGTTAAATATCTGTTATACATCTGTTTTATATCTGTTCTATATCTGTTTTATATCTGTTTTATATCTGTTTTATAACACTTTTAGTAGGTTCCCTTACCCCTTTGTGACAATGAACACTCAGCCATCCATTATTTGAAATATTTCATTATCTCTTCCATAATGTTCACGTGTTTAGTTTAAAATCCTTAAACATAAAACATAAAGATTTCTTTGAGTCAATGTGGCTACTGGGTAAGCGCTATACCAATCAGAAGTGTTAATTTCTGTTCTTAGATATATTCTAAGTCCCGAGTTGCTTTATTCTGTCATGTCAGATGATTTTTTCCTGATTCTGAAAACAAAACTCGGTCTTCAGAGATAGGGTGTCAATGAAGTCCTATGTGTATAACCCTGTATTTCGTAAACGTGGTCCGCATTTGATGAAAACTCCTTTTGTACAGCCTATTTTGCGTTGGGGGTTGTCTATAAGGGAATCTATCTACCCCATTTATTCCAGTCTTTTTTTTCTTTCATTCTTACATTCTTGATTCCCTGCCCTGCATCAATGTCCTTTCAAGTCGTTGTCAAAATATCATATTTATTACTACCACGTCTCCTCTCACCAAAATTCCTTGGAAGGGAGAGCTGTATTTATTATCTACTAGCTGAAGGGCCCGGCGTTGCCCGTGGAAAAATAGAAATGAAAATCAAAAAATATTTTCGATTTTTTAAGCAAATAACACCCCCCGGCCATTCATGAGTGTCCACAAAAAATGTAAGCCCAATCGGTCCTGCCATTTGCCCGTGGAAAAAAATTTCAAATTTTTTATAGCCTGTAACACTCCTCGGCCGCCCATAAGTGTTATAAAAAATTTCAGCCCAATTGGTCCAGCCGTTTGGCCGGCCATACACAACATATATACGAATGTCTTGTTTTATTATATAGATTGTGATAATATTGTATCCTTTAAAAACAAAACAAATATTTTCTGCAAAGTATAACAAAAATGTGCTAAAACTAAAAATTACGCGACACATGATATAACTACAATTTAAAAGGCATATTCAAGTATGCAAAAACCAAGTTAAAGAGAAGCTGAAAATGTGCAAATTTGTCATAAAAAAGGTGTTTTTCAAGTTATGGTTCCTAATGTAAGAAGGTTTACAAAGAGCTCTGAAATTACTTATTTTCCTAAATTGCGTTTACAGTTTATCTAAGTTTAAAACAAATATTTGAATAATATTTCCAGGGGGAAAAAAATGTTTCGCTCAAATGAGTAAAAATTGTTAAATGACGAAACAAACCACTTGTAATTAAAAATGTTGAAAAAAATACCCACCTTTTTAATGTAATGTTTTAAAAAATATCCACCTTTTTAATGTAATGTTTTAAAAAATATCCACCTTTTTAATGTAATGTTTTAAAAAATACCCACCTTTTTAATGTAATGTTTTAAAAAATACCCACCTTTTTAATGTAATGTTTTAAAAAATACCCACCTTTTTAATGTAATGTTTTAAAAAATATCCACCTTTTTAATGTAATGTTTTAAAAAATACCCACCTTTTTTAATGTAATGTTTTAAAAGATATCCACCTTTTTAATGTAATGTTTTAAAAAAGTATTAGAGAGAGATAACAGATTTTTTAGATATTTGTTTACACGATAAAGATTATATATACTTTATCATTAAGTTTCTTAGGTCAGTCAATACTTTTAAATTTTACCATTCATCATCTACAGCTTTGATTATTTTTATCTTAATGCAAGGAGTAAAAGTTTAACAAATTGGTAAAAATTATCCGATATTGATTCTATACATGGCATCCATCTAAACATCACAGTGCAACGACGACTTGAAAATCGTCTTTTATCTTTAAAAACTTATCGACATTTAATCGTCAATCGTGAATCTACAATCAAATATGATTCATTTAAGAAAAAAGACGCGAAAATACCCCTGGTCCTGTTCTTTTGGTGTTTTCAACATTTTCGTCCAGATTTTAAGAATTTTCAGAATTTTATAACTTTGGTTGATTGATTTTAACAATGACTCAACCTCAAGGTAAAGAGATTACTCCTGTTGGTTCAAGGGTGTCTCAGATATCATTTCTTATCAATGGAGTCAGCCATTCTATTTCAGGTAAACTTCTGTAAAGGTGTGACCAATATTTGTGACGGAAATAAAGACGACATTTATGTACAGCCGTATGTGTATGCGATGTTTTTGTAAGGAAAATAGTTCACGATCGAAATGTGTTTGCATGTTCATTGGACTATTTAGAATCAGTACTTGAGTAGAAATATGTTTGCATGTTCATTGGACTATTTTGAATCAGTACTTGAGTCGAAATATGTTCATGCATGTTCATTGGACTATTTAGAATCAGTACTTGAGTCGAAATATGTTTGCATGTTCATTGGACTATTTAGAATCAGTACTTGAGTTTTACAGCCGTCTTCTTATTCTACAATTTGTGTACCCCACTTTATGATATATGTAATTTTGAACATTTTCTAGCATTTAGATAAAATTTATTATTTTTATTGAAGTTGAAGATTTTGGACCTTCGGTATCTCTGGCAAAGTACATAAGAGAGGTTGCTCTACTTACTGGTACCAAGGTAAAAACTAGATTTGGAACACAGCTTTGCCTCCAAACTTACCTTTTCACAGTAAAGTCAATCCACTCACTCATAAAACTTTTAAACGAATGAAAACTCACGTGGTTCTACCGAGTTCCCTAATCAAAATTTGAGGCAATGAAATTAAGGGCTTAATGAAATTTGATCGAACAAGACACAAACAGTAATTATTTATATTTATATTTAAATATATATATATATATGCTTAAACATTAAGAATACAACTTGTTAATTGCAATGCAACCAACTTACTTATTCCCACTTCTAATAGATCAAATACTTAAGTACAGGGTGTCCCACGAAACATGACAGTTGGTAAATAGTTTTGAATGTCGTCTTCTATACACTGTATACGATATTAAAGGCTGCTTGCAGTTTATTTCGTTTAAAAAATCTTTTGCTCAAATATATTTTACTATAATTTGATTCCTATATAATATTTTTATTATTGTCTTTGGTATTAAACAACTTAACAAATTATGGAAGAAGACATTCTAAACCATTTACCAACTGTCATGTTTCGTGGGAAACCCTGTATATCAAGAAGTGGGACAAATTTTTTTTCGAGTTATTTATGAATGGAGAGTTGAAACTCTAGATTAAGAAGCTATCTAATCTCCACTTGTGTTCAGGTGTCCTGTAACGAAGGTGGGTGTGGAGCATGCATTGTAACAGTTCAGAAATCTACTAATGATAAACCAAGATCTCTAAACTCGGTGATATAACTTTTAAGATATTTTTTTTTTAATTACACTGGAAAAGATTCCCTAACATTTTGTTTCTAAGATTGAAATCACTTTTAAAGTATTTCAAAATAATGAACTTTATGTTTGAAATAAAATCAAATTTTTTTACGACTTTGTGACTTCGTCGCGCCTCTTTATTTTATTTTACGCACAACTATGGGACAGGACATTTTTTCGGAATTCTCAATTTATCTCTAGAATAAGAGGCCGTTATGATTGAAAGATTTCAATCTAACGTGAATTTTTCTGAAGTTTGACGAGTTCGACGTGATTGTTAGGGATAGAAATATTTGTAAAATATCCTTTACATTCTGTTCAAAATTTTCGTAATTTTGAACAGCTTTCTGTGGCTCAATATTTTTTACAGCTTTTCATCAAGTAATACAATAATAATAACAATCTTGTGTTTTCAGTGTTTGACTCCGGTCCTGCTTTGTGAAGGATGGTCGATTACAACTATTGAAGGACTTGGAGATAAAACAAATGGATATCATCCTATACAAGTATAGATTCTACATTGGTTCATTGTTTTTTACAAAATATAATTTTTTGGGCTATTTTTAATAAAGAATTATTTAGATTCGCAACGATTTGCAAAGGACCTAAGCAATGATTTTTAATCCCTATATATCTTTGCAACCTGATGTTCAAGACCTTCGGTGAAATCTGTTTAGTTATAAGTCTAAAATTTATTTATTCGGTGTCCAAATTTAATGAATTTGAGCGGCGTCTTAACTCCGCCAAAAACCGGTTTCAATTGAGCGCCGGCTTAAATCTTGAAACAACGAATACGATTTTAAGTGGAACCAACTGTATTTGAGCCGCCGCTCAAATTCTTTAAAGTCGGCCTCAGGACGCAAAGTTAAGCGTATTATAAAATTAGAGTTTGTGGAAAGAACTATTTCTTTTTAGCACTATTTAGCATTTTTGCGCAAAAAGATGATTTTAGTGCAATTTAGTGCAAATTGTGCTTATCTCATAATATTTCCTAGAAATTTAACTTTAAATTGATTAGCAATTTAATGCAAAAAATGTACAAAATATCTCACAATGCTGCGCAAATATCAAACATATTGCGCAAAAGCGGAATATTTGAGAGTGGTTGCGCAAAGTGCTGTTGTTTGTGTGTGGGGAGGGGGGGGGGGGAAACAATTTGCGTATGCAAGCAAAATTTTGCGTTTCTTTCAACAAAAATTGCGCAAATGTTTTGTTAAGGTTCGCATAGTTCAATGTTTTCAATGAAACAAAATGCTTCTGAACATTTCATCAAAAATGCATGATGAGAGGAGCGTAAAAAAAACAAAAAATGTCTAAATTTCTGCTTTTCAAGTCCAAGCTGGCGGCTGAAGGTGGAAGCCAGTGTGGATACTGTTCCCCTGGTATGGTTATGCAGATGCATTCTTGGATACAGGAACATCCAAACTCAACTCACCTTGAGTTAGACAATATCCTAGATGGAAATATTTGCAGGTAGCACTAAATTTTCTAAGCATATTCATGCACATCACTTTTTTCAGAAAAATTAATACTTAAAAATTCATTTTATCTCTTGTGTCATTTATTGTAGATGTACAGGGTATAGGCCAATTCTGGAGGCTTTTAAATCCTTTGCTGGCAATGTAACCGATATTGAAGAATTAAAAATATGCAAGAGCACAGGGAAAGCTTGTCCTAGAACAGGATCTTGTGGAAAAACCTCTCTATCCTTGTCTGAAGGATCTAAACTAAATGAATCATTTGAGTGGTATAGGCCAACTAAGTTGTCTGAACTACTTGATGTTCTAAAGAAATTGACTTCGGACACAAAATACAGGTAAACAATGCAATTTGATATTTCTGCTCAAACTTACCAGTGGCCGAATTTAAAGAATTTGAGCGGCGGTTTAAATTTAAGCCGCGGTTTAAATATGGTTGGTTCCACTTAAAATTGTATCAAATGTTTCAAGATTTAAGCCGGCGCTAAATTTAAACCGGGTTTTGGCGGATTTTAGCGGATTTAAACCGCGGCTCAAATTCTTTAAATTCCATCTCAGTATACTTTAGAATTATTTCTGGCAATACTGGAAGTGGTGTGTATAAAAACGATGGACCTTTCACTATCTTCATAGATGTGAACAAAGTTTCTGAGCTTCATGAGTCAAGCTTGGGAGTTGAAGTAGTTCTTGGAGCAAATATCAAGATTACAGATGCAATAAATCTACTGACAACTGCTGATAACGAGGTATGTCAAGGAATAGCAAAGCATTTTAATAAGATTGCTGGTAATGGGATCAGAAACCAAGGATCATTGGCAGGAAACCTTATGATGAAAAACAGCCATATGGATTTTCCCTCAGATGTCTTTCTTGCTCTTGAAACAGCTGGAGCAATGGTTGAAATTGTAAGTTCTGATGGCCAACTGACTGTTCTTACTGTAGAGGAGTTCTTTGCCTTAGATATGGTTCAGAAGGTCATGGTGAGAATAAAGATTCCACTAGGAGCCAAATCTGCTCCTAAGAAAAGCTTGAACAAGCTCTGGGCACATGCAGGGCCTATTAATAGCAAAGCTAGCCAGGAATGGAAATTCAGATCCTACAAGATCATGCCCAGGAGTTCCAATGCTCATGCTTATGTGAATGCTGGATTCTTAGCACTTATTGATACTGGCGACAACTTCAGAATCATTGCAAAGCCAAGAATAATTTTTGGAGGGATAAATCCTGGCTTTGTTCATGCCAAAGCTACAGAGGAGTTCCTCATTGGGAGAAATATGAACAATCATGATATGTTTATGGAGGCTCTTTCAATCCTGGGTGAAGAGCTCACACCTGATGATGAACCAGTGCTTGCAACCTCACTTTATAGAAAACAGTTGGCAATGGGATTATTTTACAAGGTAATCATTGCACAATGCTTGAAACTAATTAGATGGACTAATTAAAAAAAATGATTTTTTTTCATTTAATTTTGTAGTTTTACCTGTATGTCTTGGGCAATACTGCATCAAGTGCTGTACAGTCGGGTGCATCTGACCTAGATAGAGGACTCTCTGAAAGTGTTCAGTCTTGGGAAACGGATGAAAGCCAATGGCCAGTCTCCCAACCTGTGGAGAAAACAGAGGCTAAAGTTCAGTGCTCTGGGGAAGCACAGTATGTAAATGATATTCCAAGTTCTACTGGTGAGGTTCATGCTGCCTTTGTCTTGTCCCAAAGGGGGAACTGTGATATTGATTCAGTTAAAACTGATGCTGCTTTGGTATGTATGTAAAAGCATATAAAACAACATCTTGTAAATTGACAAATATTTTAGGCAATGCCTGGAGTAATAGCTTATGTTGATGCAAATGATATTCCTGGAGTAAATGACTGGAAACCCCTTCCCATTCCTGAACCTGTCTTTAGTTCTGGAAGAATAGAATATGCCGGACAAGCTATTGGCCTAATTGTTGCAGAATCCAGAGAACTTGCCATAGAGGCTGCAAAAAGAGTTGAAATTACATATGCCAATTTAGGAGAGGTAGTGACTGACATGGAGAAAGCAATGGAACAGACAGAAAATGTTACAGCATTGGGGGCACCTGTAGCATATGGAGATGTTTCTGGTGCAATGGCATCTGCAGATTCAGTTATATCTGGAAGGTTCAAAACAGGATCACAATACCACTTTTACATGGAAACTCATGTAAGCATTGTGACTCCAACTGAGGATGGGTTTGATGTTGAGGTTCCTACTCAGGATATAAACAACACTTCAATTGCAGTTGCCAACGTAATGAACACATCAGTAAACAGGTTTGCTAAACTAAGCACTTTTAACTGGCACATATAATCTACTTATGTTTATTTTTTTATATAGTATCAACGTTTCTGTCAAAAGGCTCGGAGGAGGATTTGGTGGAAAGGTCTTCTTACAAAACTCCTGTGCAACTGCAGCTGCTGTAGCAGCACACAAGTTGAACAGACCTGTTAGGATTTGGCTTAGCCTTGAGGATAACATGAAGATGCTTGGGAAAAGAAATCCATACCTTTTCGAATACAAGGTTTAGTAAATTTGTATGTTTTTTACTTGTCACAAGTACTTCACAATAACTTTTTTTTAGATTGGGTTTGATAAGAACAGAAAGATTGTTGCTGTCCAGAGTGATTTTTACTGTGATGGTGGCTGGAACTTCAATGGTTGTGATAGTCCTTATGCAATATTTTTTGGCCAAAACTGTTATCACATTCCAAATCTTAGTTTCTCTGCATTTGGGGTTAAAACCCACACACAAGCCCATACTGCAATGAGAGGTCCGGGAATGTGTAATGCACATGCCATGCTAGAGAACATGATGGAACAAGCAGCTGCAGAGCTTGACATCAATCCATTGGAGTTGAGACTAAATAACCTTATGGAGCAAGGTTCTCCAGTTATACCACCTCCTAATATATTAGATGTCCCATGCCCAATCAAAGAGATTGTTGATCAGATTAAGGCCAGCTCTGCCTATGATCAGAGAATTGAGGCAGCCTCTGCCTTTAATGAGGTATGTCATGGACACAATTCTGGATTGATAATAATACCATTTTTTACCTTAGGCAAACAAATGGAAGAAAAGGGGTATATCTTTAGTGCCAATGCGATATTGGCATGATATGGAAGGATGGGGAGTCAAGTTTCACTGTCTGATATCTATATTTGCTGACGATGGAACTATTTCTGTCACTCATGGTGGAATTGAAATGGGTCAGGGTCTTAATACAAAGGTATTGATTAGCTAACCTTTCAGGGCTTTTAACTAATTTGGGATCTAGTTCTAAACATATTAAAGGCTTTCCAATGACCAGCAAGGTTCAAAAATGAAATAACTTCTTATGAAATCTAATGGGATTTAAAAATGTTTAGGTACACCAAGTAGTTGCAAAAGAACTAGGCGTTGATATGAGTTTAATCAAAATCAAGTCTACAATGAATGTAACTAATCCAAATGGTATCACTACAGGAGGAAGTGTTGGATCCGAGATGAACTGTGCAGTAAGTATTTTTATTTTTTACTTTTGATATGATCCAAGCCCTTATTCTTTTGTTTATAGGCTGCCATCAATGCATGTGCTATTCTCAATAGCAATTTAGCTCCTGTGAAAGAGAAACTTGGCAGTGGGGCAACCTGGAAAGATATTGTAGCTGAAGCTAACAGGAGTAACATAGACCTCTGTGCCAGAGTCATGTACAAAAACATTATTTAATGAAATTTTCATTATATTTAGTAAATGAAAACACCAAACCTTCATTTTAGGTATGCCCCTGACACAGATCCAGAGGTTAGAGGATACAGTGTGTGGGGTTGTACTGTTACTGAAGTAGAGGTGGATATTCTTACTGGGGAAATGTTTATTGTCCGATCAGACATTATTGAGGATGCTGGATTATCAACCTCACCACAGGTGGAACAAAATTTGATGCTCAAAAAATACATTATCTAAATTAAGACATTAAGGTGGATATCGGACAAGTTGAGGGTGCTTTTGTAATGGGATTAGGTCTCTGGACATCAGAGCAGATAAAATTTGATCCTGTTACTGGAGAACTACTGACTAAGAACTCATGGGTATGTTTGAATTATGTCATTGAAGGGGCTTAAATAAAATGTTTCTCATTTCCAGGAATACAAACCTCCCGCTGCTAAAGATATTCCTCAGGACTTCAGAGTAACCTTGTGGAAGAATTCTAGAAACCCTCTAGGGATCTTGTCATCAAAAGGTATGATATAAATGTTTTAAAAAGTTATATTGAGATTCCAAGGTGTCACAAATAGGATTTCTGTTAACAATGCCATAATTTAGCTACAGGAGAGCCTGCTTTGCTGATGGCTGTTAGTGTCTTCTTTGCCATCAAGGATGCTATCAGCCACAGTAGAAGGGAAGCTGGGCTTAATGGATGGTGGAAACTTGGTAAGAACATTGCCAAACATTTCTAACAATAGTTAGGTTTAATCTTATACCTAGAGTTAAATACCCCCAAAATAAAGCAACATATAACTGAGCAACTGGCCCTTAATGACTTGCAAAAGAATGAAAACTAAATGCCACTATTTTTGGTTATTTCTGGGCAAAAACATGTGGCTACACGGCTAAACGTGTGGCTAGGACTGGAATGAGTGGCTAATGGCCACGGGTTGATATGGTGCACACAGCACAAATTATTCATTATTTGTGGCTGTAATTTTAGATGCCCCTGCTACTGTTGAGATGATACATCAGCATTCTGGAGTGAATCCAGAACAGTTTGTATTCTAGAATATTTTTCATTTTCAAGACTATTCTGTGTCAAAATATTTATTGGAAAATGTCTTGTAATTATATGATTATTAAAATGGGGAAAATACATTTTTGCTTTGAATTTTTTTTACGGACTTCAACATTCCTTGTCTTTAAATAATCTTAAATATATCAAAAAATAATACATTTTGAATGAAGAAAGTATTTAAAACTTATGAATTATGTAATTTCCCAAATTTGAGGAAATGAGTATGGTTTGTAGTTATGGCAGTAGTAGGGTAACAATATGAAATTCACAAATGTATGTTGTACATAAAATGTTCAAACTAAAGATTCTGACATTGGTATAAAAGTAACTTCCTAAGGAAACCTGTTGAGAAAGGAAAATGTTTTATTAAGAATCTCTCTCCTATAAAAACAACAACCAGAAGAAAGCTCACAATGAGATGTTGATACGGGATTCCATCAAACATTTGGGAATTTTTCTAAACAGTTTCTTTTAAACTTATGTCTGTTCAAGGATGAATAATAAAGGTCTTTTTCTTAGAAAAACTGAATATTGTGGGTTGTTTTTTAATGATTTCCTCATTTTTACTTAGATTAGGATCCTGAGACATTTACTTTTTCAATGAATTGGCTTACGTTTACAGTAAGTTTAAAGGAATAAAAAGGTTAAAAATACAACACATTTTATTGAATTTTTTAACTAATTTTACTGCGGAAAATGCAATATAATAATAATAAATGTTTAAATTACATTTATTCTTTTAAATCATCTGATGATGCTCATGCATTGATCATACTGCATGTAACTAGCAGACTGGTTAACTGTTTCATATACTAATATATCAATACAGTACATTGACATGTTTACATGTTATTTTTTTCTGTTTACAATTTTGTATGCAACTGGTTAGAAAGCAAAATTTTAATTAGATTTTGCCATTAATGTATTGATGTGTAATTGTGTATGTCGAGAAATATGGTGGGGGAGCTAGATTTCTTAAGATAAGGATGGAAACTTTAAAATTTGATTTGAAATTTGATTTTTAATGTTTATTATGTCACAAGTGTACAGGCAACATGATTAACTGAAAGAATTGTAGATATGCCTAAAAAGTATGAACAATCTCTATCTTAATAACTAAATGAAGAAGCTGAACCGAAAAATTTAAAATGGGATATCCTAATCCCGTCCGGTTAATTAATCTGGAGATTGATAACAAGAAGATGAACACGCATTATTTAATTTGGTGATTTAGAAAAAGAGGAGATCCAGCATTGATTTCAAAATCCAACATTCTAAAATTTTCAGCTCAGACCACATGTAATAGTTCATAGTTAATTTTATCAACAATAATTGACGGCAAGAGAAATGTTCTGCTAGACTAATGAGTAATGACTGGACTAATTAGACTGAATGATGGGTTCTATGTGAGGAGGGTTTCCCGAATTTTCCTTTCCTTCTGAGGTTTCAACTGTTTTAGACTGATTCCCAACAAGAGAAATGGCTGCCACCCTTTCTTCATTCTCATCCTCAGCTTTTCCATTGATAGCTTTATCATCTTCGGATCTGGATATTTTTTCAGGATCTCTCATGTTCTTCAATTCTACATCCCCCTCGTTTCCTTTCAAATAATTAGAATAGAACTTCACTGCACAGCATTTCCAGAATCCAACAAAAAACAACAAGTTTTAATATTCGCATAGCAACTACTTTCCCATTAACCAAAAAATATGTTTCTACAAACTTAATTTAGATTTTGTTACATAACTTTAACATTACTTTATGAAATGCCTCTTATGTAAAGACAAACCATCTGGAACATTCTAATATTGTAACTTTATAAATGCAACTTAAAAATTCTCACATTTATCTAACTTAAAATATAAAAAATTCAATTTTCTTTAAACAAATTTCAAAAAAGCATCCCGTTATTTGAGCTATATATTAAAAGCTTTTTTAAATGTAAGATTATATTTTTAAATCTTTAATTTGAAATTGTGTATACTTTAGCTGTTACCTAGAAACGATTTGATTTCATCATCTTTTTCACCCACTTTATCTTTCTCTTCTTTGGATGAGTTTCTGCTTTTGTTCTAAAAATTGATACAGTGTGTCAAACTTGATCTATCAAAGTGGAAACTATATTTTTTCATTTTTCATAATTTTTTAGCTATTTTCTTACCCTTTTCACTATGTTTTTTTTCACCATAAATAGAGAAACAAAACTAGCGAATAAAATACTACACACAAAAGCAGATACACCGAAATACCAGAATGCCTGAAAAAAAATATAATAACGTCGAGTTGAATATATTACAAATAAAAAAATAACTTACATTCATATTTATTAATTTAATAAAAAACATTTTTTGAGCTTTTGGTTTAAAAATTAAACTTTTTGAAAAAAAATATTATTTACCTTGTGTGTGCTTTTTGTAGATTCAATAAGAACACCACCTATTAAAATAACACCATTATAACAACAAAACTAGAGATACAATTTGTAGCGATCAATTCCAAATTCAATCAGATTCTGCCAATACCCTCTCTTCATTTTTTTTCGCGAACACTCCCCTTAAACGTTGGATGACTCAGAAGTTTCAGGGCTGGAAAGTTTTAAGGCTTTAAACCTCAATGTAAAAGTTTGTGCAGTGAATATCGAGTGCAAAAGTTTCGTCCTCTTTGACTTAAAAACTTTACCTACAAGTCCCCCAAATCCTCTTCCAAATCCATCATGGCAACCTCCTTTAAGTCCACTAAGAGTCCCTAGAAGTCCTTCAGGGGCCCTGGTTCTAATAAACTCCGCAGCTCCGACCTAAAACGTTTATTGGAGTCTTTGTCACAAACTCATGTTCTTATCTAAATGTTATATTTTTACAACCTGATGATGTAAACCTTTGAGATTCCAAATTTAGATTATTTGATATATCAGAATTTTTAGTTTGAAATATCACAGGTATACAAGATTGGGTTGCAAAAATATAAAGATAAGAAGAGTAGAGTTTGTTGCAAAAACTCAATTCCTTTGTATTATCAGTACAACTTCACAAATGCATTTACTTGTAGAATTCAAAAACTGTATCAATCACACTGCAGAAGAATAAAAAGGAGAAAAGGTTTAACCCAGAACTCAGTTCCAACTATCTAGCCGCGTTGTTAACGGTTAGTTCCAACCCAGCAAGACATTAAATTAACATCAAATTGACATCTTTTTTTGAGTTTTATAACGTCATGTTGACGTCACGAAAGGACGTAAAATTATTGTAAAAACGAACCCCATTTAATGTCAATAGGACGTCATTTATGACGTTAGATTGATGTCAAATATCCTTAAATTATGTCATTTTGAATGTGTTGAGTCATCATAGGGTCAGTCCATTTGAAATCAGTCAATTTTTCCAAAAGTCAGTAGGCACCATCTTCGAATGTTTACAAACTTTAAATATTAAAAGACCAATGTAAGACATTACATAATCAGTAATTTTTAGACTTTGTTGACCTCCGTTTGCGGAGCACTGAGGTCATAAAGTTTTGACCTCTGCAAAGAGGTTGCTCTTTTCAAATTGCTATAACTTTTTTGCTATATATGAAAGCGACCTAGTTTTAACGTCTTTAAATAGGCAATGAATTAGGCTTTATTTTTTAAATAAAATAATCAATAAATTAATTTTAGCGGTTGATATTACCAAATAAAAACTTGATTCTCAAAAAAAAGACATTTATACTTCGATTTTTTTAAAAATTCACACAAAACACTCTTTTATATGTTGAAAATACTGTGTTAAAATGTCATGCTTGAGAAATTATTGGGTTATAAGATATTTTTGGTTTTGTGAGCGTAACTGGTATTCAGTGATTTCTGTCTAACCGGCGGAGATAAATAGCTCGTTCAAATTAAAATAAGAATAAATAATATCATTTGGTTTTCATTTAATTCATAGATAAAGTTCCTTAATACGTTAGGAATATACTATTGTTTGTAAGAGAATAATGTCAAAACTCGAATTTTTTTTGCAGTATATTGGTGGCCTTCTTAGAGTCTTTCTTTCAAATAAAAATAAAAATAAAAAAGGCAGCACAAGCCTGTCTTGTTTTCTTGGAAAAGAAAATGATTAGGCAGGCTCGTGGGGATGAAGCAATGTCACTGCTGCTTCCTTTTTTCCATTGCCTTTCTAGGTGACACATTGGCAAAAATACACTATATTAAAGAAAGACTCTAAGAAAAGAAAAGAAGTCAAATGCAATTTTATGCTAAAATAAAATTTACGAAATTTACTGTTTAAAAAAAATCCGTTCCCTTCTATTTTTAACCGTTAATGTTTTTTCAAAATCGACTAATATGTTCCGTTAATGTTTTAAAAATCAACGGTATTGCCGTTCTTTAACGCACACTTCCGTTAATTTTCGAAAACCTCCGTTCCGTTAACAGAACTTTGCCCAGACCTACTCTAAACCTACTGATAATGGAATTCTGCAGAGAGTTTTTTTTTCAATTGAATAATTATGTGAAGCTTCTAAAACCTGTTCCCGCATATTTCATGGCTATTTATTTATTTTTACAAGTAATGAGATATAGGTAAAATAATATAAACCCCATTGAAAAGTTGTCAAGACGACATTTTAAAAATTCCTTCGAAAGCTTTGCAAAGCTTTGGGTTAAAATGTAGTTTACCTGTAAGAAAAAGAAAGTGAAAACTTCAAGAGCCTCAAACGGAAAAGCATACCAGGCACAACGGACAAAGGAATAGCCGACATATCTGGAATAAACCACTTCATGATTTTTTTGATTAATTAAACCTTTTTAATATCAACGATAACGATATGTTATATATAAGACTTGGAACAGTTCCGTTAGCCCATGTTCTAGCCCCAGCGATCATCCCCAATCCAGTCTGCGGCGCCTCAGAATGCCTAACCTTTGGGAAGTTGCCGCTTGGGAAATTGCACATTTGGAAAGTTTCCACTTGGGAAGTCGCTTTGCGAAAATGCCATTTGGAAATTACCTAATACCAATTTAACAAAACGTACATTGACAGATTGAATGGAATATATCTACTAATGTGTCTGACCAGTTAATAATCATAAAATTTTATTTTAAATGATCGTCCTCTGATCGTTCAAGTCAACGCATTTCTTTCGTCAAATTTTTTAATACAAAGTGGAATTGGCACATTTCCCCTCAAATGACACAAAATTCTGAAGGGGGGACCACGCCTTAATATTTGAAGCTATTTTCTTGAGATTTTGCATGAAGATCAGATTAGTGAGTAACTCTAGGAATGCACTTCAAAATGTAAAAAATAAAAAATACAACAACATTGTTCTTGCATTTTTCGCGTTTTTTTTTGAAAAAAATATAGGTTTTCCTGATTTTAGGTACAAATTGGGCCTGTATTATGTTTATTAATATCCTTTCTGTTTTTTTTGATGAATTAGTTTTTTTTATTGATTTTTTCCTTCTTTTGTTTCCCGCCATATTTCCCTCAGAAATTGAATTTGCGGGCCTATCTTTTGAAGATTTTTGAAGATCATAATTGTGATTACCTTTCTGGACTGAAAACAATATGCCAAAAAAAATTTTCCAGGATTTTTTTTCATTAATTTCTTTGATTAAAAAACCGTTATGCATTGAAAATCAATAAAGCAAGACAAAAAATTATTTTGCTGTTAAAATTGCACCAAATGAAAAAAATATTTACCGCCAAAAAAAAAATCAGAAAAAAGTAGGCCCCATCTTTATTTTTCAAAATAATCTTTTTAAGATTTTGCAGTGAAACTTGAATATTGATTTAGGTCTGGAATAAGTTATTGAAAATCATAAAAATCTGAAACTTCCATTTTTGGCAAATTTTTGTATTTTTTAAATCTTATTTTTTTGCCTAATGTCACTTTATTATTGTCGGATATTTCATTTTTGCCTTTTAAAAAGGGACTGAATGAATACTTTCTTAATTTATTGTTTTATTAAGTTTGACGGGGTTAAAATATTCTAGTGTTTTCCTTCATTAAATCCCTTGTCAGCCCAATTTTTTTTTATAATTTTAGCAACCAAAACGAAAACTCTGATAGAAATTTGCGTCTTTTGAGGGGAAATGTGCCCAATCCCCTTTATCTTTATCAACATTTTTTCTCTCTTAATATCATTGTTGATAAAGCAAAGTATAGTAAATAATAATAATAATGATAATAATGAAAAACTGGATACCTGACAGCGTACATAAGAAGTGCAAAAACTATCACTCTATCACATCCAGCCTAAATTGTTTACAATTATAATCGACTTTTTAACAATTTATGGAAAACAAATTTTTGACGCTACGACATCTGCTCTAATTCCATTTGCTCTATGGCCATTTGCTCTAGTTCCATTTGCTCTATTAACCATTTGCTCTATAGCTCATAGGTCACGACGTTTGCTCTATATTTCATCTGCTCTATCCGTCAATTGATCTATGACATAACACGTCATTTCTCTATAAACATTTTTATGACTGTGATGGTCCAATTGCTCTACTCAACATTTGCTCTATGAGTAAACACGTCATTTGTTCTATAAACATATTTTACAAATATCTAATCATATTAAAACTATATTTTTACAATTTTACACTTTACAATTCTTCTTACAGTTTCATTATTCCGCCAACTTTCTGGAGATAGTTTTATCAAAGTTTTAGCCACGGCAGAACAATTCTGCCTTCTATATTCAAGACATCTCCAGTTCTGATAGACACCCTGTTTGTTTAGAGGAGAATAAATATAGTTTTCACCACATATTAGGTTTTTTTACCCCTCTTATTACTGAGCAGTCTCTCTGTCATGATGAACTTTGAAGAACTGATTAAAACTGCAATTTGCGAATTTTCTAAAAGAAATTCCCGCATTTCATAGTCAAGTTACGCTCAGGAATTCCAATAAAAGCTATTCTATAGTGTTTTTTAGGTTATAGAGCAAATGACGTGTTTAGTCATAGAGCAAATGAGGTATAGAGCAGATTTAATATAGAGCAAATGACTTGATAGATCTAATGGAACTAGAGAAAATGGCCATAGAGCAAATGCAAATAAAGCAGATGTCGTAGCGCCAAATGTTTTAATTCAATTTTGAGAGAATCGACGATTAACGGATTAACGGATGAAAACATCATGTTCATTTACTTTATCTCTTCATTTTAAGCATTTTTAGAAGTTGTAATACTTTTTTGCAGTTGCCTGTAAAACATGACATGTTTAGCCAGGCGTTAGAGGATAAACATAAAACGTACAAAACAATAACTGTGTAAAATAATTCATTAAAGAAATACATGACTATTACAATTTTTTATCAAAGAGCAATTTTTGTTTATTTTGTTTTGTAAAGGAATTGAGTCTTTGTCACAAACTCTGATTTTCTAATACCTATATCTGTGCAACCCAATCTCGTAAACCTTAGATATTTCAAACTATGAATTCTGTCAGATCAAATAATCAAGGGTTTCCACCCTCAGATTGCAAAGATATAAGGATTAGAAAATTTGAGTGTGTGGCAAAAAACTCAATTCCTTTCAGATCAATTTTATTCAGCTTTAATTATACATTTAAACATTGTAAACTTTTCATTTTAAAAAGAAAACTCACCTTTTTAACAATGTTATCTGAGTAGTAAAGGAACGGTATAGATACTACAGCTCCAGTAGTGATCGTTAATCCCAGTAGGAATATTGGAGCATGAAGATCCTCCTACAAATATACAGTTAAGCCCATAAAGTTGTGGAATATGGTTTTAGACCAAGAAACATTAAAAATCGGTAATTGTGCAGTATACTCAGACCCATTACACAAAACAAATTGATTTTCAACCTTCTAAACTCTTTGGGCAGTGTGGGATTTTATTGGTTCAAAGATGGGCACTGGACAGGCACTGCATTTCTGAGTTTTGACCTTATAATGTGTAACGGGACTGTCATTGAAATTTTATTTGACCAGCAAAATAATAAGTGGGCATGCCCGATGAACAATGGTACCTTCAACCTTTATCTGATCAATAATTTGGCGGATATCGTTGTTTTTTTTCTATCTTTAATTGTGATTAATTCTAACAATTTCCTCCAATGTTTCTGAGTCACTTTATAAAGAACCCACGATACAAATAATAAATATTCTAAAAGAAGATAATGGTGAATAAAAAATGAGCACCGTGTTGAATTGTAAATGCCACTCTTAAACCGAAGAATTATATGAAATTTACATCATCAGTCCCTTTATCTGCAGTATAAACTGTTCACCTTGAGAAAGACGAAGAGGAAAGTCTCGACGAACCCGTACATCACTCCGCAGACGAACATCATGACCAGGAAGAGAAGAATCTCCGGGTTGGTGAAGATAAACCTGATCCCGATCATGCTGTCCTCGTCCGTAGACAGCTCTAGGTCCATAGTAGTCTAGACAGTAACACTTCTATCTATCTATCTATCTATCTATCTATCTATCTATCTATCTATCTATCTATCTATCTATCTATCTATCTATCTATCTTTGTGTCTATTTACCTTGTATATAGAGATGACTGAGAACGCCAGGAGAATATTGTGAATAATGAAAGGCGCTAAATAATCCGGACTTCCCTAAATATTAAGATTCTAAAATTCAAATATGTCTTTTCTTTTAGAATAGGAGTTCAATACATTTGGACTGCCTTCTTAACTTTTAATGGTCAATGATGAAAATTGTATATTTAAGTAATTTCCAGATTGTTTGCCATCTCAATGTGGTTTCAAATGGAGAAAATTACATTTTCTCCATTTGAAACCACAAAAAGAGATTACAATGAATAGTTATTTGGGCATTTTTGATCCAAAGAATGTTTTCAATTAAAAATAAAATTATGTTGAATAAGAATAGTCACCATACTTATCATAGAAGTACACTTTGACCCCTAGAAGTGTGAATTTGCGGACTGTACAATTCTTGGTGATTTTGCGTACATAAGCTATCTATGTTTATTTATTTATCTATGATACTCACCTCCTTGGCCGAAATATAGTCCATAAGAGCTCCCACAGATGGTGAAATAACAGCCTAAGTACAAATTTAATCAGAATAGTAAACATATGATGTTAACGTTTTTCTTCTGTATAGGAACTGTGCAAATCCATTTGAATCTTTAACTTTGAATCGATGATTCATGAATTGAACCGGCTGTAGGTAGTTCATCGACCTCTCTGCTCGATGAAATACTCAACATCTATACCTAAAGCTTACACCACCAAGTTGCTGGGATTTAAAATAAAATATTGAGGTGAATGAACAATTGCTTTTAGGATATTTTGAAAATGGTTTTAATTGCTCCATTCAGAGCTAAATCTGACCGTAGCTAAGGTTTTAATTGCTCCATTCAGAGCTAAATCTGACCGTAGCAAAGGTTTTAATAGCTCCATTCAGAGCTAAATCTGACCGTAGCTAAGGTCCTGTAAAGAATATGATATGGGTTCTGTAAAGAATCTGACCTGTGCTAAGATTATGTAAAGAATTTAATCTGGGCTAGGGTTCTGTAAAACATCTGACGTGGGCTAGGGTTCTGTAAAGTATCTGACCTGTGGTAGGGTTTTTAAAGATTCTAACCTGCGCTGAGGTTCTGTAAAGAATCTGACCTATGCTAGGTTTCTGTAAAAAATTGAGCTTGTGATAGGGCTCTGTAAATAATCTGATCTGTGCTAAGGTTTTCTAAGGAATCTGACCTGTGCTAAAGTTCTGCATAGAATCTGACCTAAGCTAAGGTTCTGTAAAGAATCTGACCTGAGCTAAGGTTCTGTAAAGAATCTGACCTGAGCTAAGGTTCTGTAAAGAATCTGACCTGAGCTAAGGGTCTGTAAAGAATCTGACCTGAGCTAAGGTTCTGAAAATAATCTGAACTGAGCTAAGGTTCTGTAAAGAATCTGACCTGAGCTAAGATTCTGTAAAGAATCTGACCTGAGCTAAGGTTCTGTATAGAATCTGACCTGAGCTAAGGGTCTGTAAAGAATTTGGCCTGAGCTAAGGTTCTGTAAAGAATCTGACCTGAGCTAAGGTTCTGTGAAGAATCTGACCTGAGCTAAGGTTCTGTAAAGAATCTGACCTGAGCTAAGGTTCTGTAAATAATCTGACCTGAGCTAAGGTTCTGTAAAGAATCTGGCGACCATATGCTCCCTTTTTTCCGTGTTTTTCCTCCAGGTCACACATTCGAATAGTTTGAGCATCTTTAATATATATTTACTCATTCATTTATAGTAATCTTTGTTTGTTAGAGCGTCTGTTTGTATGGTTGTATGTTTGATCATAACTCATTTGCAGATTTTTCTCAAATTTTGATTGCGAACTCAATAGAACCAAGCCAGGGAATGTTGTCTAATTCGTGATTGCCTAGTTCGTAAATGCCTAGTTCGTAAATGCCTAGTTCTTAAATGCCTAGTTCGTGAATGCCTAGTTCGTGAATGCCTAGTTCGTAAATGCCTAGCTTGTAAATGCCTAATTAACGAATGCCTAGTTCGTGAATGCCTAGTTCGTGAATGTTCGTGAATGCCTAGTTCGTGAACGCATAGTTCGTGAATGCCTAGTTTTTAAATGCCTAGTTCGTGAATGCCTAGTTCGTAAATGCCTAGTTCGCAAATGCCTAGTTCGTAAATGTCTAGTTCGTGAATGCCTAGTTTTTAAATGCTAATTTCGTGAATGCCTAGTTCTAGAAATTCCTATTTCGTGAACGCCTAATTCGTGAATGACTAGTTTTTAAATGCCTAGTTCGTGAATGCCTCTTTCGTAAATGCCTAGTTCGAAAATGCCTAGTTCATAAATGCCTAGTTCGGGAATGCCTAGTTCGTGAATGCCTAGTTCGGGAATGTTCATGAATGCCTAGTTCGTGAATGCCAAGTTCGTAAATGCCTAGTTTGCGAATGCCTAGTTCGTGAATGCCTAGTTCGTGAATGCCTAGTTCGTGAATACCTAGTTTTATAGAAATGTTCCCTGATTGTACTTTTTTTCTCTCTTAAATATTTTTATATCTCGTTGTCTAGGCATTAACAAATCTAGGCATTGTGTTCTCTATGCATTATGAACAAGGCATTCAGAAATTTATGCAAAATGTTATTTAGGCATTCAGAAATATAGGCATAATGTTATCTAGACATTCATGAATGTAGGCATAGTGTTATCTTGGTATAACGTTATCTATGCATAGTGTTTTCTAGGTATAACATTATCTAGGCATTACGAACTAGGCATAGAGTGAGCTAGGCACAGTGAACTAGGCATTCACGAACTAGACATTCGCGAACTAAGCATTCGCGAACTAGACATGATGTTCCTGAGCCTTCAATTCTACGTTGAGCGAATTGACGATAGACAGAAAATTTTGTTTTCCAGGCAATGCTGGGTTCCCAATCTAGTTAGCGTTAAAAATGCATGAATGTAACCCTTAGAAATTAAAAAAATATTTTTTGGTCTCTGTTATTATTGAAAAAGAGATTTTAGTTTTTACGCCCCATGTCAAATTTCATTATATTAGCGTTACCCCCGATCTTTTTTTGGTTTGTACTAAGATTCTCAATGTTTTAGCCTTTCAACTCCCCCCTCCCTCTCCCCCTCCCCCTCTCTCCTCCTTTCCTCTTCATATTCTCTATTTTCTTTAACGGCGGGCTTTAAATGAGCATTAATTATTTGATAAATCCATTTATCTAAACCCACATGTTTTTGACAGTTTGCCATATCTCCATCTTCTTCACATTAACTATATCTTTATCAATATCTGATAATCTCTGCCCGGTTAATCTGGATTCAGGGTCCTAGTATATTACCCTGTGGTACCCCCTGATTTTATCTGATCTTAGAAACCTGTTTCAACAATACCCTACTCTAGTCCTATACATGGACATGTAATCATTTTCCTTTTAGATTCCATTCAGATCTAGTATCCTCCCAATCAGATCTAGTATCCTCCCATTCAGATCTAGTATCCTCCCAATCAGATCTAGTATCCTCCCAATCAGATCTAGTATCCTCCCAATCAGATCTAGTATCCTCCCATTTATAGGACTAAATTTACTTAATACACTCCCATACCATAATGTTTTTTACAACTCATCAGATTTCTACATTTCAAGAAATGTTCAAATTATTGGGCACTTTATCATTCACTAGCTTGAGAACCCAGGGTACTCATAGTTACTCCTGCCGTTTTCCCGCGCTTAGTCATAAATTACGATTTTAGCTATTTTTCCCTATACAAGTGAACCCTCTCAACTTAGAATCTCAAAACTAAACTAAAAACATTCCCGTGGGTCTCCCGGGTTCCCATTTAAAATTTGAAATAAATCGGTACAGGAGTTCCTGAGTTATGATCGGACATCCATACAAAAACCAAAAAACAGAGATTACAATTACGCATACAAATACTCATGGATAATGCTCAATTTTAGTTTGGTATTGTTAAAAAGTGCTATATCGGTGAACTGAATATTGTTGCAGAGGCTAGTGAAGCTTAATTAGTTTTTAAAAGATTTAGAATATGTCTAGAATATTTTTTTTAATTGATATGAAAATAAAATGTTTATATTATACAGCTTAAAAATGTCTGAACATTCTCGAAATGAGAAAAGTTCTTTCTAAAAACTTTAAAGCAAAGCGAACCAAATTAATAATGTTATAAATAGCTAATTTTCAATTTCAATGAAAATTAGATTAAATAAAAATAATGTTATAACTAACCTAGCAATGTAAAACAGCAAGCCAGGCACATGGAAGCCAACATCCTTGCAAAAAAATTTTAAATGTTATGATTGAGTTGATAAATATCTGAATCAATTTACAAAATATAAGTTTATTTATAAGGAAAATCTTTGACAAAATGATTTTCGTCTAAATTTCACCAATAGAGAAATTAATTAAGTTAAAAATGAGTGTTTATAATATTTCTGAAAATGACCTAAAATATCGGCTTCAAATTTAATACCACAAGTTCAATTTTAGTTTTGGTTTCTTATTCTTAAATGTAACGATTATATTTAAACCGCTAGATAATTGCAACCAACCAGTGTAAACCTTTTATATAAAAATTTATATAATTCTTAATTTGACCCAACAAAAGTCTCCAACATTAGGTTGCAAAGATATAGGGATTAGAAAATTGGAGTTTGCAAAATTCGCAAGTTAGGGGCTAATATTGTAGTAAATTTGGGAATTGCATAATGCCCCAAAAATTCCGTTTTGTGAAATAATCATTGAATCGGTAATTTTTTTTGAAAAACTATCTTAACGTTTTATTTTTTACTTATTTAGACTTGATTTTAATAAGTTAGATTGTAATACCTGAAAATGAAATAGATCCCGTTTGTAATTAATCTACTTCCCTTGTCCGTAGCCCCGCACTCTTCCACCAGATTGGTTCGAACCTAAATATATACTAGGTTGGTTCGAACCTAAACATAAACTAGGTTGGTTCGAACCTAAACATAAACTAGGTTGCTTCGAACCTAAATATAAACTAGGTTGGCTCAAACCTAAATATAAACTAGGATGGTTCGAACCTAAATATAAACTAGGTTGGTTCGAACCTAAATATAAACTAGCTGTTGGTTCAAACCTAAATATAAACTAGGTTGGTCCGAACCTAAATATAAACTAGGTTGGTTGGAACCTAAATATCAACTAGTTTGGTTCAAACTTAAATATAAACTAGGTTGGTTCGAACCTAAATATAAACTAGGTTGTTTCGAACCTAAATATAAACTAGGTTGAATAGAACTTAAATATAAACTACGTTGGTTTGAACCTAAATATAAACTAGGTTGGTTCGAACCTAAATATAAACTAGGTTGTTTCGAACCTAAATATAAACTAGGTTGGTTCGAACCTAAATATGAACAAGGTTGGTATGAACTAAATATAAACTAGGTTGTTTCGAACTTAAATATAAACTAGGTTGGTTCGAACTTAAATATAAACTAGGTTGGTTGGAAACTAAATATAAGCTAGGTTGTTTCGAACCTGAATATAAACTATGATGGTTCGAACCTAAATATAAACTAGGTTGGTTCGAACCTAAATATAAACTAGGTTTACTCGGAACTAAATATAAACCAGGTTGGTTCGAACTTAAATATAAACTAGGTTGAATAGAACTTAAATATAAACTAGGTTGGTTCGAACTTACATATAAACTAGGTTGGTTCGAACAAAAATATAAACTAGGTTGGTTGGAACCTAAATATAAACTAGGGTGGTTCGAACTTAAATATAAACTAGGTTGGTTCGAATCTAAATATAAACTAGGTTGGTTCGAACCTAAATATAAAGTAGGTTAGTTCGAACCTAAATATAAAGTAGGTTGGTTCGAACCTAAATATTAACTAGGTTGGTTCGAACTACATATAAACTAGGTTGGTTCGAACCTAAATATTTACTAGGTTGGTTCGAACCTAAATATAGAGTAGGTGGGATCGAATTGTGGATTCCAGTAAAATTCAAAAATAGTTGCTCGCAAACTGCGCATTTTAAAAACACTTTCTTTAGTATAAAAATGTTTCTGGCTTACAAGAAAATATGCAAACTGCACTTTTAGCATTTATACAATTTGCGTGAAAATATATATTGTGCACTGTACGTTGTACAATTACTTAAGGTTTGCGCAAAAATTCTCAATTCTGGGCAATGGTTTACGCAAGCTGCTATCAAATTTGCGCAAAATCGCAAAAATCGCAAAAGTTAGAAACGTGGAAAGCCTAGTACCTGACAATCCATTGAACAACTGTTCATTATACCCAGGGGCATCTCATCCTCTTTAAACAATACATTTCATTACTCTTGTACACAATAAAAGGTTTTTAAAGTGTTTTTGTATATAATAATATTTACAATTATTAAACAAAAAGACAAGGAAAAGATTTCAGTTTTAGTTTCAGAAGTTAGAGCCTGCGATTTAAAAATTTCGGCTTGAGCCGTAATTCCTTAAACCCAAGTTTAAGACCCAATCTTCGACATAACTGACTGCAGCTTATGTCACGTGATTGACAGATGCAAGATCTTTGGCTCGACTTTAGGAGTTAGGCCCAATAAAAATAAACCGACCGTGGTTGGTTAAAGTGGAGAATAAGGCTCAAGGTTGAGTGAGTTTCTCATAAAAAAACCGGAATGCATTAATTCCTACCATGAAAATCTGCCGAAAAAATATTAAACCGGTTTTTAAACTTAACTCTGTGGAAAATAAGATGCAGCTTGATTCCGACAGCTCAAGTCGTTAATAGGGCCCAACAACAGCTTAGACTTGAGCCGTATTTTCCCGAATTTTTTAAATCGCGGGCTCATATGTTTTGTGTTGTAAATCTCGTAATCAAGCATTGATTTCCATCTTTTCCTCCTTTAATTCAAAAGTACCGACATTTGATATCGAGATCATGTGTTTAAGATGAACGATCAAGGTACTAATGCAAGGAAAAGGTAATTGCGGTTGTGTATAATCTGCATACATATTGAAACCAGTTCTCTCTGGGCAGAATTTGTAAACAAGATAGGTGCATTAGTGTACGTCTAGTACCCGAGGAGCATTTAATTTTGATAATTTTAATAATTCACATATTAGTTCCCTATGACCAGAATATTTCATAGATTATTTTTGTGAAAATGAATCCCATGTCCGGCTGTGGAATCCGTCTTGTGTTTACTTTTCCGCCCAAAGACAGTACACTGCAGTACAAAAAATGCGTAAACCTCTGAAATAACTTTCCTTGCATTTGTACCTTGTGAACGATAAGCTCCACATCATAAGTTCCATTTTCAGAATTATTTGCTATTTGTCCGTAATTTTTTTTAAATACATAAAGATTGTAGTCGATAAAGATAATTTTTGTTTCTGAATTTAAAAAATTGGCAAACAACCTTTTTTTAAAAACTTTTTCAAACATTTTCTGACGAAAATAAAAAATATCAAATTAAAAGTGTTATATAGTGTTTATATGATATTAAATAGCTGAAAATTGTTAACATTTGTTTAGAATAAGACAATGTTCCTATATTGTTTGTAATACAAGGATCGGAGTCAGTGTAGAATGCAATATCTGCTCTTCCACATTCATAGTTCCCACTAGAATATCATTATTATCATTATCATTATTATCATTATTATTATTGTTATCATTATTATTATTATTATTATTATTATTATTATTAATATTATTATTATTATTATTATTAATATTATTATTAGTATTATTATTATTATTATTATTATTATTATTATTATTATTATTATTATTATTATTATTATTATTATTATTATTATTATTATTATTATTATTATTATTATTATTATTATTATTATTATTATTATTATTATTATTATTATTATTATTATTATTATTATTATTATTATTATTATTATTATTATTATTATTATTATTATTATTATTATTATTATTATTATTATTATTATTATTATTATTATTATTATTATTATTATTATTATTATTATTATTATTATTATTATTATTATTATTATTATTATTATTATTATTATTATTATTATTATTATTATTATTATTATTATTATTATTATTATTATTATTATTATTATTATTATTATTATTATTATTATTATTATTATTATTATTATTATTATTATTATTATTATTATTATTATTATTATTATTATTATTATTATTATTATTATTATTATTATTATTATTATTATTATTATTATTATTATTATTATTATTATTATTATTATTATTATTATTATTATTATTATTATTATTATTATTATTATTATTATTATTATTATTATTATTATTATTATTATTATTATTATTATTATTATTATTATTATTATTATTATTATTATTATTATTATTATTATTATTATTATTATTATTATTATTATTATTATTACTTTTAGAATCTCTATTATTATGATTATTTAGTTTTTACCTGACGTTTGAATTAATTCTGATAAATTCTATTCTGTTTGTTCCTGGCCAAACCTACAGTACACTTTACTCATGTAAAACAATAACAAACTACACAATAACGTGGCTTTGTTAATCTTTTTGTTCTGAGAAAACTGGACGAGAGGGTGATATTACTATTACAGCTTTGTGGCCTCGTAACTCCACTAGTTTTGATTTTACGCCAAAGTGTATTAAATGTTTTGTTTTTAAATCATAAATTCAAAACTTTTTATTCTACTCAAAATCTCTTTGGAAATATTGATAACATGAAAGATTTAAATTTAGCACGAAATTTACAAAGGATAAGACTTGCATTCATGGTTCGTTGTAGGCCCAAACTGGTTTATTTCTGTGCTTTATCATTTAGAAAACCAGCAAAAAACTCAATTAAAAGCAGAAACCAAAAGTCAAGCTTTAAATTGCCCTTTTTTAGAGGTTTTTGCTGTCTTTACAGTCTCATCCTTTGTGGGTAACCCTGAAGTAAATATGTAATTATATATCTTTGTCTATTTATAGAGTATTGTCGCAGAAATAGATTTTTAGAACATCCCTTTGAATTAAATTTTAAATTTTTTTTATTTTCCATTATTATCATGATTGTTTGATTTTTTTCCTTCAAAACAACAAAATGATTTTTAAATGATTTTTACATCAGTATTTTCCTTGCAGTGTTTTCTTCCAATATGATTGCAGATAACATCCTGAATTAAGCAAATTATTAGTGATGTTGATTTCAGTTTTGAATAGGTTTTAATGTTTAATGGATTAAAGGGATTGTGGGCGACATTTAAATTGACTCTCCAGTCAGTATCTCGGATTTACAACAAAAAAGGTTTAGACAAAAATTGGGAATATACAGGTTGTCCCACAAAACATGACAGTAGGTGAATAGTTTAAAATGTCTTCTTCCATGATTTGTTAGGTTGTTTGATACCAAAGATGAAAGAAGAAATACTAAATGGCAGTAATAGTAAAATTGATTTAAAACAAATATATGTTTGAGTAAAAGATTTTTTTAATGAAATAAACTGCAAAAAGTCTTAAATAAATAAAAAAAAGACATTGAAAACTATTCACCAACTGCCATGTTTCGTGGGACACCCTGTATCTGAAAAAAATTTGAATTATAAAATGTAATGGATCCAGGAGAAAGATACTACAAGACTTTCATCAAAATTCCTAGATAATCACCTCGATAGTCATGGATAGTCCGAGGAACTTGTACTCCTCCAGAGTTTTCTCAATATCATATTTAGAGTTGGTGCAATTATAGTTACAATGGTTTAGTTCAAAATAGATTGGAATAGGATCTTCATCTTCTTCTTCAGGGTTCCTTAACATCAGGGTTAAAGGGACTGTACACGTAATTTTAAGTGACAATCTGCAGTCCCTTCTGTATGCCGAGTCCATTAGCGCCTGATCCAATCAGGGTTAAACCATGTGTTTGTTGTCTATTCTGAACCAATAGAAATAGTATGGGGGTAACATCTATCTTTCTATCTATTTCATAATCCAATCAGAGTTATGAATCGGCGCTATCAGTAAATGGAAATATTTACTTCTACTGAAACTATAGTAAATGCAAAGAAGGCAATTCCCGATTTACAGTGGTACCCTGAAAAGCTCTGTCCGGTCATGTTCAAGAGGTATTCAGTTTCTTCTATTTAAAATGAAACGCGTTTTTGGCGATAATTCAACAACTGTTTGTTTTATACTTTTTCATTAAAAACGTGTGTGCCGACAAAAAATTACAAAAAAATAGGCTAAAAATTTATGTTTAATAGGTCAAATTGAAATCGAAAGTCACAGCTTTCTAGAATATTGACAGAACCGTTTAATCCACGTGCATTGATATCTTCAAATGTAAGGTCATTTAAAATCACGCTTACAGTCCCTTTAAGAGAGTATATATATTACTAATCATTTTCACTTTATGCTTTAAGCAATTAACACTTAGAATGTGCCATTTAAAGTTAACGCTTAACACTTATACAAGTTAACACTCAGAACTTAATTGTTAACAATTAACTATTGAAAATTTACGCTTAGCGACTATTGAAACTTCTTAAAGTTAGAGACATGTTGCGCGCTTAAAACACGAATTTAACAATTAACCTTTGATGGAAGATTGTTAAGGCTAATAATGCTTAACATTTAACCCATAACTTATAACCCTTACCAATTAATATCTTAATGCTTAGTACTTAATGAGCTTAATGCTTAATGTCAATGCTTATTGCTGAATTCGATAAGCACTTAACACTTATTACTTAACCCTATCTCTGCTGGGGTCATAGAGAATAGAATATATAGAGAGGAATTTACTAGAAAAAAGTGTAAAACGGCCATTTTGTTGTACTGTTTCCATACTGCAGGTGTACTTCACATATTTATGCAATATAACCTGTTGGGCCCTGGAATATCATTTTATAGAAAATCTAAAACCCCCCCCCCCGGCAGGAATAGGGTTAATGCTACAGACTAGATATACACAGACAGCTCATAAGCTCTCTCAACCTAGGCTAAGCAGGCCTGTAGTTGTACCGGCACGACATGCTACATTTCACGAAAGGTTTTTCGACTGCCATCAAACGGCCATTTGTTACATATAATACCCATTCAGGGGTTAAGTTTTACAATTTTTTAAAGAATTACTCCAACTTTTAACAAAAAACATAAGATTTATGGATTTAGTAAATTTTAAAGGTTTTGTATTTCGTATCCAGTAAGAATCCATACTCTAGTTGTACACAATGGAACCTACTGTGGAAAATATCGCATATGGTGAATATAAAGAAACTAAATGAAATAATATTTCATAACAAAAATATTGCTTTCCACAAAACTGCCTAACCCCATTCGTGAAACCCGGGTTCCAAAACTGCAGTTTTTATAATAATACCCTGTTTTCAGTTTTGGGCTCAGAGCCCAAAACTCAAGACAGAGTATCGTTAAAAAGCCAGTTTTATAACCTGGGTTTCAAGAATGGGGTTAGGCAGTTTTGTAGATATCAATATTTTCTTTATGAAATCCTATATTATTTAGTTTCTTCATATTCTCCTTTTTTTCGAATCTCTTAAATTTAAATCTTCTTACATGATAAGACCTCGAAATGGAAACTCGGGAGTTTCATTCAACAATACTCGTTTACATTTCGGGCTCTGTACTTTGAAGGAGATGTATGTACAATTGTACAGGTTATGTACATTGAAGGAGATGTGTGTACAATTGTACAGGTTATGTACATTGAAGGAGATGTATGTACAATTGTACAGGTTATGTACATTGAAGGAGATGTATGTACAATTGTACAGGTTATTTATTCATTTACCTGATATGCGTACAACCATTCCCCTTTCCTGCACATTTAGCCCAGGTTAGGTTTACGTTTCTTCCAACCATACTCAGGGTAGTGTTTGGATAATGAACCCTGAAATATGGTTTATATATATTCAATCCAACCATACTCAGGGTAGTGCTTGGATAATGAACCCTGAAATATGATTTATATATTCCATCCAACCATACTCAGGGTAGTGTTTGGATAATGAACCCTGAAATATGGTTTATATATTCCATCCAACCATACTCAGGGTAGTGTTTGGATGATGAACCCTGAAATATGGTTTATATATATTCCATCCAACCATACTCAGGGTAGTGTTTGGATGATGAACCCTGAAATATGATTTATATATTCCGTCCAACCATACTCAGGGTAGTGTTTGGATAATGAACCCTGAAATATGTTTTATGTATTCCATCCAACCATACTCAGGGTAGTGTTTAGATAATGAACCCTGAAATATGGTTTATGTATTCCATCCAACCATACTCAGAGTAGTGTTTGGATGATGAACCCTGAAATATGGTTTATATATATTCCATCCAACTATACTAGGGTAGTGTTTGGATAATGAACCCTGAAATATGGTTTATATATATATTCCATCCAACCATACTCAGGGTAGTGTTTGGATAATGAACCCTGAAATATGGTTTATATATTCCATCCAACCATACTCAGGGTAGTGTTTGGATGATGAACCCTGAAATAATTATTAAATATAATCAAATTCTAATAAACCTGAATATCATATTTCAACTAAAATTAGAACCATTTTGTTCTTCTGTTGTACCTATTAATAACCCTCGGATAATATAAAAAAGTTTTGGAAAAATATCAGCGTTATTTTTTAAAGGGCAGCGCAATTCATTTTTCATTTTCATCAAAATATGTTAATATATGTCTAATCAATGTTTGAAGGCAGATATTTTGATGTACACTGTACAGGGTTATTTACAAAGAATGAGACACAAGAGACGACCCTACGAATTTCTTCAAACTTTACCCTTACACTCTCATGGTTTCATGTAACTTAAAAATTAATTTTCTATTTTCAAAATTATTCTATAAAGTTGTAAACAGTCAAAATTTTAGCCAGAAGACTACATTTGACCTTAATATCGTTAAATTTAAAGCGATTTTTTGTCGTCCTGAAAGTCTCATCTTTTGTGGGTAACCCTGTGTTTGAAAACATTTTTCCCTGGCACACCTAGTGAATTGATCTTTACAAAAAAATGTAAAGCTCATAATAAATTCAAAAGTTAGACGAAAATAATTGGATATTTTTTGGTATTAGAGAAAATGTTAGTAATGGTGGAACAAGTTAATTTGAACTTTTTTATCATTAAAGTGGCAAATGCTCCCACCCTTAAAGAGACTGTATGTCTTATTTCAAGTGAACCTCAAAGCAAAGATGGCAATGCCCGATTTACAGCGGTATCGTTGAAACTTTAATCTGATCAAAATGTGGAAGATATCTTCGTTTTCTTCTGACGCAAAATGTGTTTATTTCTGGGAGTTATTCCATTGATTCTTATAATAAAGAAAGGCGAAAGTTACTTTGGTGGAAAAATGGAAATACTTGATATACTTAATATAGTTGATATACTTAATATAGTTGATATACTTAATATAGTTGATATACTTGATATACTTAATATAGTTGATGTACTTGATATACTTAATATTCATGATTGATATACTTGATATACTTGATATACTTAATATAGTTGATATACTTGATATACTTAATATACATGATATACTTGATATACTTGATATACTAGATATACTTGATATACTTGATATACTTGATATACTTGATATACTTGATATACTTGATATACTTGATATACTTGATATACTTGATATACTTGATATACTTAATCAGGCAAAACTTTCAATGGTACAGTTGTAAATCAGGCATTTCCATCTTTGCATAGATAATGGAGGGTCATTTTGAATTACGCTTACAGTCCCTTTAAAGGCCCATGTTTGGCGAAAAATGAAAGGGGAGTTATGCTGAATCCTCACTTTTTTCTGATCTGATCGAGTCCTTTACTATTTGACCTACCTATGAAGGTTGGTGGGAACAGCTAAGAGAAGAGTATGGAATACTGCACAGCCGACAATATTTAGGAGAAGAACCCGCATATAATTCCCTAACTTGTCAGCAAAGAACCCAACAATCGGGGGACCTACAGGAATGGAGTTGAGATAAAGTTAAAAAGATGACAATTTTATTCTTAGCACGTATAGAAATAAAAAAATTGCTTTTATTCAACAAAAAATTCAATCATTTTGTCAGTCATCCAACTTTTATTGACAAATCAGAGGGTTTTGTTGCTTATTTGGCAGCCATCCAACATTTTAATGAAAGATTTAATAAAAATTTTAATTTTCGAGTGTACTTGCTATATCTTTAGAAACTAATATTGCAAACCATTGTTTTTTTTTTGATTTTTAAATTCATAGTTTGAAGTACGACATCAATTTGCAAAGAAAAAGGAAAACAAAATTAGAATTATTGGCGAACGTTCTTTTTCTATTAAAAAATTTAAAGACCTCGACCGACATTATGGGTTGAATATTTGATTATCCAACTTTTTGAAGTGATTTATTTGCTATAATGTTTTAAAAGAAATTATAGTTTAAAAAAAATTTAATTTAAAAAAATAAATTCTAATTTGTTTCGCCTATGTTACCCATGGCTTCCCTCAAAATATCTTAGCCGTTGGGCCAGTTATGCTAACATATAAAATACAAAGGAAATGAGTCTTTGTCACAAACTTAAATTTTCCAATCCCTATATCTTTGCAACCTGATGTTGTAAGCCTGTGATATTTAATACTTAGATTACTTGATATATCAGAATTCATAGTTTCAGATATCTAAGGTTTACGACATAGGTTTGCAAAGATATACGAATTAAAAATCATAGTTTGTTAAAAAGACTCAATTCCTTTAAAAATGAATATATATATATATATATATATATGAGCGAAGAGCTTCATTATAAATGTTTTACCTATGAAAACTGAGAACGGTAGAATAGCATACATAAGAGCGATATCCACATCGTTTATTCCTATATCCTAAACATAAGAAATATCCAGATCATTCATATACTCTAAACATAGAAGATATATCCACATCATGTATTCCTATATATTCTAAACATAGAAGATATACCCACATCATATATTCATATATTCAAAACATAGAAGATATATCCACATCATATATTCCTATATCCTAAACATAGAAGAAATATCCACATCATATATTCTTATATTCTAAGCATAGAAGATATCCCCACATCATATATTCATATATTATAAACATAAAAATTATATCCACATCATATATTCTTATATCCTAAACATAAAAGATATATCCACATCATATATTCCTATATTCTAAAAATAGAAGATATATGCACATACATATGATATGGTTAGATAATTAGTTCTACCTTCATGTGTATAGTTAGATAATTAGTTCTACCTTCATGTGTATGGTAAGATAATTAGTTCTACCTTCATGTGTATGGTAAGATAATTAGTTCTACCTTCATGTGTATGGTAAGATAATTAGTTCTACCTTCATGTGCATGGTAAGATAATTAGTTCTATCTTCATGTGCATGGTAAGATAATTAGTTCTAACTTCATGTGTATGGTAAGATAATTAGTTCTACCTTCATGTGAATGGTAAGATAATTAGTTCTACCTTCATGTGTATGGTAAGATAATTAGTTCTACCTTCATGTGTATAGTTAGATAATTAGTTCTACCTTCATGTGCATGGTAAGATAATTAGTTCTACCTTCATGTGCGTGGTAAGATAATTAGTTCTACCTTCATGTGTATAGTTAGATAATTAGTTCTACCTTCATGTGTATGGTAAGATAATTAGTTCTACCTTCATGTGTATGGTAAGATAATTAATTCTACCTTCATGTGTATGGTAAGATAATTAGTTCTACCTTCATGTGTATGGTAAGATAACTAGTTCTACCTCCATGTGTATAGTTAGATAATTAGTTCTACCTTCATGTGTATTGTTAGATAATTAGTTCTACCTTCATGTGTATAGTTAGATAATTAGTTTTACCTTCATGTGAATGGTAAGATAATTAGTTCTACCTTCATTTGCATGGTAAGATAATAGTTCTACCTTCATGTGTATGGTAAGATAATTAGTTCTACCTTCATGTGTATAGTTAGATAATTAGTTCTACCTTCATGTGAATGGTAAGATAATTAGTTCTACCTTCATGTGTATGGTAAGATAAGGCTGAAGGGCGAAGGTTGCTCCGTTGAAGAGGAAGAGGGTAACCTTCAAGGGCAGGAGGTTCATGTTCGGCCTCATGATGGAGGGCAGGACGGTCCCTCGTCTACAATACAATATCTTTACAATTATCTGGCAGTAACGTACAAGGACATAGATCCAGCCAGCTTATATACAATATGTCGGCAGTATTTTACAGTGTACAGTCATTTGGCAGTACTGTACAAGGACTTTAGATTTAGCCAGTTTATGTACAATAAACCGGAAGAACTTTATAATAAGTCAGCAGTACTTTGTATACAATGGTACAATTAGGATATTAGGAAGATTAAGCCATTTTAAAGGGAGTGACCGGCTATGTAAGATAGTTGAACTGAGTATGTAGTGTGGAAAACTTCTTTCGGATTCATATGAGACATATTAAACTTCTTAAAGATCTGTAAATCCTGAGTTTGAGCGCAAATTCGACGTTCAAAACTCCTACTTTGGGGGTGGATCCTTTTTCAGAATTAGTTTTTTTAAACTAATAAATAACGACGACAATACAATGTAAAAAAGTTCTACAATAAACTACAAACGTCATGTATAGGAACATGTTGAGAAAATAAAAATTAAATTTATCATCGAAATTAAGTAATCTTGTTCAATTATTAGTTTCTATTTTCTTATTATTCTGGTTTCTCATTATTCACAAAGATTGTCTGCAGATTTTCTAGAATTATTATGGCAAAGACGACATTTGAAGAATTTGAAAAAATCTGCGAATAAATTCAAAGAAAATAAGAAATTCAATATAATGAAAACGAAATAATTGATTTTAGCATTGATTTATTGACAAATTTCTTTTGTGAAATATGTTCCTAACCATATACTGTATAATTTTTACTTGATTTTTCGTTGTCGTTATTTAATAATTAAAAAAAAAACTGATTGATATACTGAATGGTATACACTTTACAATATAGTATGGTTGAAGGTATACTGGTATACTGAATGGTATATACAGTATACAGTATAGTATGGTTAAAGGTTTACTGGTAAACTGAATGGTATATTCACTTTACAATATAGTATGGTTGAAGGTATACTGGCATACTGAATGGTATATACAGTATACAGTATAGTATGGTTAAAGGTTTACTGGTATACTGAATGGTATATACACTTTACAATATAGTATGGTGAAAGGTTTACTGGTATACTGAATGATATACACTTTACAGTATAGTATGGTTGAAGGTATAATGGTATACTGAATGGTATATACAGTATACAGTATAGTATGGTTAAAGGTATACTGGTATACTGAATGGTATATACAGTATACAGTATAGTATGGTTAAAGGTTTACTGGTATACTGAATGGTATTTACACTTTACAGTCCTGAATGGTATATACAGTATACAGTAGAGTATGGTTAAAGGTTTACTGGTATACTGAATGGTATACACTATACAGTATAGTATGGTTAAAAGTTTACTGGTATACTGAATGGTATACACTTTACAGTATAGTATGGTTAAAGGTATACTGGTATACTGAATGGTATACAGTATACAGTATAGTATGGTTAAAGGTATGCTGGTATACTGAATGGGATACACACTAATACTTTACAGTAAAGTATGTTATAAAGTTATCAAGTATTCTGAATTTTAATTGTATAAACACTATACAGTGGAGTATGGTTTGACAGGATCGACTGAAGTTGTATCTAAGCTAAAATACCAGTTGAAAAATATATAAAGGGCTTGAGGCGTTCAGAAATACTTTTTGAACCCCAAAGTACATTTTAAAAAATTAAAAATTCTAAAATTCAAATAAAAAATTCCGTTTTTGAAATATTTGCCAAATTTTAAAAAAAGTTCTTCTATCTATCCCTGAATTTTTATCTCTGAAAGAATCTGACAATATATTTATCGTCTCGGGCTGAAAGTTTAGGAAAGGATATGCAGAGCCAGTTTAGGGAGAAATGCAATGCCAAAATATCTAAGATAAAATTGTATTCAATGTTTTAATCAAATGTATGTACAATGAATAATTTTCGGAAATCCTATGAAAAAGTGTCAAATCATAAATATCATAAAGGAACTGTAGACGTCATTTTAGGTGACCCTCTATATAAAGAGTGACATGTCGGATTCACAGCGGTACTCCACTCTTTCCTAACTTCTTGTTTCACAATTGATAACAAACTATTTTTAGGTAGAAAATCAAAAATATCTTTTTATCTTTGATCAGACAAAGCTTGCGAATCTGGTATACCACTCTTTAATTGAAATTTAACACTGTAACAAAAATAAGGTGAAAGGATGACATTTTTAATAAGAATTTTAAATATTAAGACAAACACAAGGAAAAGCGGGAGAAGCGCCGCAAATTTCCAGCTACAGGAAGTCCCAATAAACATGAGCAATGAGAGACGACATGAATATCGTCTTCCGATACTACATTAAATGCGTCAAAAAAAGAATCAAAGTTTAATGAGCTTTCCAAAATGTGGTCTACCTTCTTTATAAATGACGGAGATATTAAGCATTTGATCAATTTTGTTGATTTTTAATAAACTGGAATCTGGACAAATTCCCTAATATCTCATTCAATTTTGATGGTATAAACAATTGGTAGACCATGAATTTTTGGGATCCAGAGACTGGTAGTTTTTGATGTTAAATGTTTTAACTGTGATATTACAAAATTATGTTCACAAATTAATAACGCAAGGAACAAAGACGATATAGAAGTTGTCATTTTATTCCCATGTTTATTGGGACACCCTGCATGATATTTTTATGTTTATTGGGACAATCTGTATGATATGTTTATGTTTATTGGGACACCCTGTATGATATGTTTATGTTTATTGGGACACCCTGTATGATATGTTTACCTAATGGCATCTGGATTAACCCGGGGCGAAGCATCCCTCTGAGATTTCGCCTTTTTCCCGCCAGAGGACTCTGTAGACTCCATTGTAAGATTTTTCTAAAAAGTAACAAATCAAGATAAAAATCTGAAACAGGTGTCAATTACGTACACAATTGCACTATGGACAGTATTTGACTACCAATTTAAAATATTCCACACATTTGAGATTAAAAATAAAAATTGTTGTAAAATTTCCAATAAAAAAAGTTTGTGAATTTTATTCATTGAATTATTGAAAAACTAAAGCTTTTAAAGAGACTAATATCAGCGTTTAAAAAAATTAAAGGGCTTGTATGTCTGAAAATAATATAAGCGTATTGTGAGCATCGCCTCACTGTACATAGTTCAAGTTATGTTGTACATAGGACAGTTAATATAGTACCCGGAGTTAAACCCAAGCTTGGGTTTATTGATCCATTAGTAAATCTAAAAATTGGACCAAGCCATGTCCTTTAATTTTTGGCGAAAGCTCCCTTTAAGACTGGGGTCGTTCAATATTTGTGCGATCCTTCGTTATTTATTAGAAAAATAAACGAAACAACAGGTTCATCGAGCACAGGGTTACCCACAAAGGATAAAACTTCAGAGACGACTGTACATAATTTAATCTGTCTATCTGCAACTTTAAACTGGTTTAGTTTAGTTTAGTTTAGTTTAGTTTAGTTTAGTTTAGTTTAGTTTAGTTTAGTTTAGTTTAATTATCAAGGTTTCCTTTCGTTAATGAAATTGATGACCTGTAACAAAATTGATTTAGAGAAGTTAACGTTAGTTATTGAAAATATTTGTTAACTGCCTTCACCGTTAACGGTTGGTAAGATCAACTTCGTTATAATAATGGACTTGAGCATAGATTATATCGATAACAATTCAGATAGAACACTTAATGTCGTCTGGTTTAAGATTTAGGGGGTTTTCGTTCACAATAACCCTCTCTGTCTTGTAATTTAACGCGGCATGCGCGTAACTCCTTTGGGCTTCTGCATCGGGATTATTGTGAACGCAAAACCCCTAAATTTTTAAAAGACAATATCTACAGTTCTATCTGTGTTGTTATTAATCTATGATCTTGAGGTTTAACTTAAAATACTTTAATATATAAGACATACATTAATTTGTTCATGATTTTCATGCAATTTTAATGGTCAAAATTAACCAAAAATGTCCTTTTTTCGTCAATTTTCGGTGCATTTTGTGCGCAAACGATTAGATAATTAACGTTTTTCCATTTGTTAATAAAATTTCCCATTGACTTTCAAATACTGTTGTTAATGTTATAACGGCATGTCGTTGCCCAGCCTTATTTTTGTGTATTGTCAAATTGATGGAAAAGCATTACATGTTGTTCACGATAATAACCACTTACTTTAAACATTTTTTAACAAACTGTTAAACAGAGTTATAGGAATCCACTTATTGAGTGACGGAACATTATACAGGGAGAACCAGAAAACGGTGGAATAGTATGAGGATACGAAAGCAATTGTTAATTGAATTTGATGTTCTTAAAAACCATATAGCTTCACTTTTTTACTTATTAAACCACTTTGAAACTGTGAAACTGTTCTGTTTACACTGCAAAATTGCTGAATCAATAACATGAGTCTTAAAGTCGTCTTCCTATTTCAGAGTCTTATGGTTCTCACTGTAATAATGTTTAGTTTCCTCCCATAAACTGGAGTACAATAAATTATTATTCGAATAAAATGAATGTTTTGAAACATGACAATTTAGAGACCACTTGAAGATCGTCTGTGATCTTTGATAGTTGCAAAATAGTTTCACGACTTAAAAACACTTCATAATTATATTATTGTTTACATCTTTTAAAATTAAAACAATTACGATTACAAAAACTTTATCGGAATTTCAAATTAGATGAAATTTGACAATAAGTTTGGTAATCAATGTATTAATCATCAACTTAGATTGGTCAAACACAATTTTAAGATTTCTTCTATACTGATAGTTAACCAGAAAACTCTGATAGTTAACCAGAAAACTCTGATAGTTAACCAGAAAACTCTGAAAATGGCAAAAAAAAGTTTAGACTCAATAATGACTTTAAAAAGTCCAAGGAACATGAAACACGGCAATTGTCCAGTGTAAACAAACCCATTCCACTTAATAAGTGTTTAAATAAGTCACAAGTAAAACTATTTGCTTTGTAACAACATCAAATACACTTAGCTATTGCTTTAATGTCGTCTTCCTATTACACAGTTTTTCTGGTCTTTACTGAAACAGTATCAGACTAATAAGTGATATAATTTTAAAGATAAGATTTATAATTTGCAAAAAGTTTGAAGAAAACAAAAACATAAGCATAATTTTAGACAATGTAAAGTTACTTAAAACAAATTTTGTTGAAAACCTGTTTTTGCAAACATGCAAATTATTTCTCTAATTGGGCAAAAAATCTTGCTATAGACACTGCACAACTTTAATTATTATTGAAATAAATTCAAGAAATGGTGATAGATGCGTAGATCATTGTACACTGTGGGTCTGTTTCGTTATCTTAAAAACCATCAGATCCTACAGGGAACATTTCAGGTTTTAACATCCCCCCCCCTCTGATATATAACTGCGAGCCTCATTTTTTCTTTACCGAGCCACATACACATTAAATCTTATATAGACTTATTAAGACAAGGACTTTGAGGTGAGTTGGAGGAAGGGGGCGGAAACATCATATGTGTGTGTGTCTATACCAAAAGAGTGTGTGTAAGTCGAACCGAAGGCGTGCATGGTGTAGGTATATATACACTGATCGCTTCACGTACGAACGAGGGTGTTAGAGCGTCGGGAAACCCGTTGGTCGCAGAGTGTGTGTAAGTATTAACGAACCGAAAGCGTGTACTGTAGGTATATACAGTACATAAGAATCTCGGTATTTGTAAAGTCTAGGAGAGTACATTTGTTTATTGTTAATTGTTTACTCTAAAATAAGTTTAATATAAATGTAATATATTATTTACATTATTAAGTCAACACTATAAGCCAAATTTTCATGCAAAGAATATAACTTGATTAAAGTTTACAATAAACTATACTCGTTATTCAAGCTTAATTATATTTTTCTTGACTTAGTCATGTTGTGTGTCTGTAACAAAAGAGTATGCGTGTGTAATAACGCACTCGTTTTCTCATGCCAGACCAGCGCCATCTCCCTTCCCTTTATTCCTATTCCCTGGTTGGAGGAGAAAATGAGGATATTGGGGCTCAGAGGTAGATAGGATCTGCCTCAGCTCCATCAACTGACTAGACCTTAGCTGACAAAAAATATCTGTTATAATAAGAATATATAGATATAAATATTTATTTCAACTTAAATATCTTTAAAACATAGATACACTGTATTTCCAATTGATTTGCTTTTAAATTACTTTTTTTTTAAATATAATGATTAAATTTTTTTTATAAATATACAAGTGATTTGTGAGCTGTGCTGGACAAAAATAAGTCAGTTAAAAAATATCCATATTTCCCAAAATATCCCATCCTTCTGACAGTTTTTTGAAAACTTTTAACACAGATTTTAATGATCGAGTTTTCTTAAATTTATGTGTTTTCTGACATGTTGTTACAATGCTCATTATCTAAAACTAAGAATATGTTAGATATTTCTATTACACAAAAGTTATTTTATTCAGTTTTGCTTTGCGTTTTTTTAGAGCTTTTAATTTTGATTATTAAAAACATCTAACAATATCTTAGATCATTCTTTGTCAATGTAGGGTTAGGTTGAAACCGATCTGTTGAAAAAGTCCTCCTCAGAATTGATGCAGCTCAGAAAATTTACAAAATGGCATTTCTAACAGTGTACCCTGTAAACATATATCCAGACAGCGATGAGGTAGATACCCTCATAAGCATAGTTGAAGATTGAATGCCGGAGACTGAAGGTTACAAAGGTGTAGAGGGTATCCCTGAAAATCGGACATGTCACTCTATAAATGGAAGGCACTTGAAATTACGCCCACAGTCCCTTTTAATACATACTTGATGATGACGAAGATGATGATAACAATGACGACGAAGACGAGGAGAGCAACGTTGATCTTGATCATCAACTTCCTCATGGAGCCCATATCCTCACTCTCAAAGCTACTCTTATGCCCATATATCTCAGAGAGATATCTAAAATAGAGATTTATCTAGAATAGAGATATATCTAGAATAGAGAGATATGTAGAATAGAGAGATATCTAGAATAGGGATATAACTAGAATAGAGAGATATCTAAAATAGAGATATATCTAGAACAGAGATCTATCTAAAATAGAGATATATCCAGAATAGAGATATATCTAGACAAGAGACATATCTGGAAAAGAGAGATATATCTATAATAGAGATATATCTAGACTAGAGTTATATATTTAGAATAGAGATATATCTAGAACAAAGATATAGCTAGAATAGGGATATATCTAAGATAGAGATATATATCTAGAATAGAGAAATCTCTATAAGATAGAGTTAGACTGTGCAAAATATTAGGAGTGACTGTGCTAACACAAAGTAAGGAATTACTAACATGTCTCTGGGCACAATGTTAAATATAAATAACCCAAATCTCTCTACCCTAATACTATTACTAGAGGGTTTAATGTACTAACCTAAGTCTCTCTACCCTAATAGTATTCCTAGAGGGTTTAGTGTATTAACCTAAGTCTCTCTACCCTACTCCTATTCCTAGAGGGTTTAATGTACTAAACTACGTCTCTCTACCCTACTCCTAGTACTAGAGGGTTTAATGTACTAACCAAAGTCTCTTTACCCTACTCATATTACTTGAAGGTTTAATTTACTAACCAAAGTCTCTCTACCCTACTCCTATTACTAGAGGGTTTAATGTACTAACCTAAGTCTCTCTACCCTAATACTATTCCTAGAGGGTTTAATGTACAAACCTAAGTCTCTCTACCCTAATAGTATTCCTAGAGGGTTTAGTGTATTAACCTAAGTCTCTTTACCCTACTCCTATTCCTAGAGGGTTTAATGTACTAACCTACGTCTCCCTACCCTACTACTAGTAATAGAGGGTTTAATGTACTAACCCACGTCTCTCTACCCTACTCCTAGTACTAGAGGGTTAATGTACTAACCTAAGTCTCTCTACCCTACTCCTATTACTTGAAGGTTTAATGTACTAACCTAAGTCTCTCTACCCTACTCCTATTACTTGAAGGTGTAATGTACTAACCTAAGTCTCTCTACTCTACTCCTAGTACTTAAAGGTTTAATGTACTAACCTAAGTCTCTCTACCCTACTCCTGTTGCGAGGGGGTTGAATGTATTTTCCAGGAGGAGGGGGAGGCAAGTTGTAGTATTTAATCAAGCGTAGTTCAGCACTAGTTAAAGAAATAGAAAATTATAAATTTTAAAGGGAAACATTTGGCTTACAAATTGTTTATTTATTTTAGTCTTTTCAGCTTTAAGTTTAAAGAAAACTAAATGCAAATATTTAATGATTAAAGGGATTGTAAGCGTAATTTCACAACTGTACCTAACTTTACTTTTGACTGGTTGTCGAGGACTGTATGAACTAAACGCGGATGATGTCACATTATTCCTGGCAACCCAATAATATTAATATTCTGATTCAACCGCAGTAATTTGAATGTTAATATTTATACAATGCCACTTGTAGGGTTGTTATTCGTTTACGATCGATATAAACGATAGTTTTTCGTTTCGTTTTTTGTTTTTCTTTTTAGAAAAACGACGGGTCACAACGAACAAACCGTTTCTTTTAAACTTTTTAAACAATCGATACAATCGTTTAATTAAAAAACGATTATTTAAAAAAAATTCTAATGAATATAGGATTTCATCCAATCCAAAAGTAAATTTAAAATTTCGCTTACTGTCCCTTTAACATCTTGAAGGTTCAATGCTCAAACAAACATTAATTTATATTGGTCCCTTTTTTTAAATTTGTTGAATATCTCTTTAAAGAAGGCACCTGGTCATGACTGGCTGCAGTTGACCCTCTTCACTAAGCTGATATTTAGCCCCAGCGCTGCCAGGGTCAGCTTGACCTTCATCCATCGTCTTATAGGTCTCACTATACATTATACAATAAACACACTGTAACCTTAAAATTCATTTCAAGTACCGTACCGACTTTATATGTACCGTACCGACTTTATATGTACCGCACCAACTTTATATGTACCGTACCGACTTTTTCACTGTTAAGACCGGTTTATTAAGAACCGGGCTGACATCTAACCATCTAGAGCGATCTGTACAGTACACATACAGGTTATATAAGACAAAACAGGACGGTACACCAAATAAAGCAGCTTCTTCCAGGGAAATTCTAGTGTTTTACCAGCTTAAGCTTCTAGTGAATTTTATCGAAAATGGGAAAAGACAGTAAGACATAAAATGAGACTGTGAAATTAGAAGACGACCTATATTTAATGATGTTATAAGCTAAAGAGTTTTATCAGTGTGTTCAACTTTTAAAGTAAATTGGATTGGTGTTCACATTGGAGTGTTACATGTAAAATCACCACTTGAATATCTAATATCATAAATATAAAGTTGTAATCTCTGTTTTGGTGTCTGTTTGTTTGTTTGCCCGATCATATCTCTGGAACCCCTGGACCGATTTGACTCAAATTTTGATTCTATGTTGAGTGGGTCTGGAAAAATAGCAAAAATCGTAATTTAAGACCAAGTGCGGGTAAACGGCGGAAGTAACTATGGTTAACCCGGGCAATGTTGGGTTCCAAAGCTAGTATAATATATTATTTTGTTTTACTACGAATTATATTACTTGACAGTTTTGACAATCTGACATTTAGTTGAAATATCAATCAATCGATATTTGGTAAATACCATGATTAACAAGTAAACTTGAAAATAAGGATTTTTTAAGTTTTTGCACTATTTGCAATTTTAAGGACTGATTTTGTTTTGGGCAAATTTGCATTTAAAAATAAAATTCGACAAATATTTTAATCGATTCTGTTAAAAGTCATCAATCGCAGAAATACAATTGAGAATTTAGATAAATTTGCACAATTAATTCTGTTTTTGTTTGTAATTAAAACAACTAAAAACATGTTCTATAATACAGTGATAACCAGAAAATAATGGAATAGGAAGACGACATTACAGCAATACTTAAGTGTATTTGATGATGTTACAAGGCAAATAGTTTTATCAGACACTTATAAAATTACTTTTTTTATGAAATGGGTCTGTTTCTGTTTACACAGCACAATTGCTGTTTTTCATGGTTATTGAAATTTTTAAAGTAAAAACTTGATTCTAAAAGTCGTCTTACTATTCCAGAGTTTTCTGGTTATCACTGTATTACAAACATACAGGCATATATCACAACATTTTATTTTATCCCTTCCCTAACATTATGTTATTATTTTCGTTTTTTTTTGTATTTTCTAAATGTTTTAGGAAAGATCGATATTTTAAAGAAACTATTAGAAAATACCTTGAATTGTTGAGAAACTGTTCTAACATTGCAGCTGTCTTCTTGGCTTGACCCTCTTCCCTAAAATAAAGTCTCTAATAACTATTTATATCACTGTTATTTTGGTTCGCAGTGTAATAAAGTTTTTGTACAGAAATTTCTCTTCATTGAGAAGGTTCAAGCCTTTTCAGTTTTAATTTTGTCCAGAGCTTTAGCTAGGGACAAAATTTAATCTAAAAATGTGAGAATCTAAAGGTTAACATTTAAAATGTGATCTTCATTATTTAAAGGGACTGTTAAAGAAAATGAAAGGGGGTATAGGCTGCTACCTATATCGCGACCTATATGAGTACTATGATACAATCTGATGTCCCTGTCTCAAGAATTTGATATTAAACTGTGTCAACGTTACACCAATACTTTTTTCTGATTTTCAGATTCGTTGCGTATTTGCTGAAAATGATCTGTTTAAAACTTTTATTCCGATACCACATCTCATTTATATCAGTTTTGGGATAACGTTGACACAGTTTTATATCAATTTTTCGAGACAGGAACATCAGATAGAACTCATAGGTTGCGATCAATTCGATCCAAAAGTGTTTCTGTTTCAGCCTTTACCCCTTTCATTTTTCCTTAACAGCTGCATCATTTTTTACGGAATAAGAAAAACTGAAAAACCACTGTGTTACAGTTAACACGAAAAAATTCAACGTAAAACAAAGACGACTTAAAAATTGTCTTTTTGTTTTGTTTTCTGTTAATATTGATTGACGTTATACTCAGAAATGGTGTTTGGTAGAGGACTGCCCATTATATTATCTCTCCTGTAGGCATCTCCTGAAATCAAATTGAAAAGTTTGAGATTAAAAAAAAAAAATTTTAAGTACTAGTCGTTCCGGGCGCTTCTCGCTCCTCTTCTAGCATTGATCAAAGCGTCTAAATGTTAATTTTCAAATCCATTTTTTTGTGAACATTAATAGATTTCTAAAAAATTTTAACTTGACATTTTTCTTGACAAAATATTTAACTTTTAATCTTCCATAAACCTTTAATGGTCGTGTAAGACTTGTCACACAAATTGTGGGTCTGATAGGTTCAGACATTTTGACGTTTAACAGTTAAACCCTAAATATTAAATACATCGAAAGAATTCATCAAATGTCGTATTCTTCACTTTCTGATAATTGAATGTTGCAGATATTTAGTTTTTTTAATTAAATATTTATATGGAACTCTTTAAAACTGTTCCCGCATATTCATGGCTATTTACCTACAGTGAAACCCTTAATAACGAATACATAGAAAGAATTCATCAAATGTCGTATTCTTCACCTTTTGATAATGGAATGTTGCAGATATTTAGTTTTTTAATTGAATGATTATATGGAGCTCTTTAAAACTTTTCCCGCATATTCATGGCTATTTATTTATTTTCGCAAATACTGAAATTTCCGTAATAAAGTATAAAACTCATTGAAAAATTGTCAAGACGACATTTGATAAATTCTTCCGATGTATTCGTTATTAAGGGTTTTACTGTATTTTCGCAAATATTAAGATTTACTTAAAATAGTGTAAAACCCATTGAAAAATTGTCAAGACGACATCTCATAAATTCTTTCGATGTATTTAATATTTAGGGTTTTACTGTAGATGAAACGTCATTTTTTATTTTAAATAGTGCGAAAAAATGCAATATTTTCGGTTGCATTCCGCAAACTTTTACGCAAAATTTCGCATTTTTTCACGGAAATTTCGCCGAAATTTTTCCGGGGACAAAAAATTCCGCGAAAACCATCAGTGTTATAGCTGCAACAATTAATTGCGCAACAAAACTTGTGGAATTCTCTGCTCTGATTCTAAGTCATATAATAATTTCTCTTCCTTTACTTTAATAAATGTTTGATGAAGAGAATTTGATTTCTCTAGAAACTTATTCTGTTCGTTCACATACGTTCACCCATGACTATTAGCCGCTCAGCCAGCCAATTATAAATTTTTTCACTTAATTTTCTTGTTTTTCACTTATATTCCGTTTTTTCACGAAATTTTCGCCTAATTTTACGTGAAATTTTCGCATTATTTTTTCCCGAAATTTCGCAGCTTTTCACGAAATTTTCGCATTTTCTATTTTAAGAAAATGTCTTTACTGCTAAATAAAAGTCGTCCTAATTTAACACTTTAATAAATAAAATGCAAAACTTTGATAAATAAAATTGTAAAACTTTGATAAATAAAAATGTAAAACTTTTATAATCATAAATGTAAAACTTTGATAAATATAAATGTAAAACTTTGATGAATTAAAATGTAAAACTTTGATAAATAAAAATGTAAAACTTTTATAAATAAAAATGTAAAACTTTGATAAATTAAAATGTAAAACTATGATAAAATAAAAATGTAAAACTTTGATAAATAAAAATGTAAAACTTTGATGAATAAAAATGTAAAACTTTAAGAAAAAAACTGTAAAACATTGTAAAAAAATGTAAAACTTTTATAAATTAAAATGTAAAACTTTGATGAATAAAAATGTAAAACATTTAAAATAAAAATCCAACCTTCCATATCAAATCCAATATGGTCAGCCATCCAATCTTTGGTATTCACCTGAAAAAAATGAAAAGGGAGTGTTCGCGAAAAATGAAAGGGGGTATAGGTTGACGTCGAACTGAATTCGATATCGATCGCTTCTAATCTTACTTCTATCTGTTGCGTCAATACGGAGAAAATTGTTAAAAACGACTAATACCGAAGAGTGTAGAATCAATACAAGTTCACGGAGTTGCATTATTCATCTTAAAAAAAAGTAAAAAGTTCAATTAAATTTAAAATTATAAATTGTTTTGAATTTTTAAAAAGACAAAAATGATACAAAAATGCTACTTTTCCTAATTATTAGTATTTTTTTAAAAATACAATGTGATTAATTTTAATGAATTATTTGAAGTAAACAATGGTTTTAGGTTTTACCTTTATGTAACAGGATAATATAATGCAAATTAGAAAACTTGGGTTTAAAGTTTTGATAATGACAACAACAAAAAATGGAATAAAACTTGTTGTTATTTTTATTTTACTTAAGAAATGTCACGTAGAATTTTGTAATTTAAGATTGTTGCAACTTCTACAACAATGACCAGAAAACTCTGGAATAGGAAGACGACTTATAAACATAAGTTAAAACTTGAAATAGTCCACTGAACATGAGACACAGCAATTATTCGTTGTAAGCGACCCCATTAACTTAATAAATAATTTAATAAGTATTAGTAACACTAGTTACTTAGTAAAAACATCAATTACACAAAAGCATTGTTATAATGTCGTCTTCCTATTCCACAGTTTTCTGGTTATCGCTGTAAACAAAAACAAAAAATGCCGGGACATTTTTGTAAGAAATAGTTTTGTTCTAAACACGAATTCATAAATTATGAAGATTTTACGAGAATTCCAATTCAAATTTATTAAATAACATCAAAAACTTTTTTGATACACTCTTTGTCATTTGTCAATTATCGAAAATCAAAGACGATTTAAAAGTCGTCTCTTAATTCCCATGTTTATTGGGACACCCTGTATTTTAAAAATAAACTTTTTTTACCACCTCATTTTCGTCGGTAGAGGGGGACAGAGCACTTCTAGAAATTTAATCTTTGATCAAAATGGATTGATTGATTGAATATAAAATCTATGTAATCGATATTATATAATCTGTAAGTTGTGAAGTGGAATAAAAAGATGATATTTCATTATGTAAAATGTTGTAAAATGGTTCAGTTGTTCATGTTTGTTGGACTATTTTAATCATAACTTGAGTCTAACAGTCGTCTTCCTATTCCAAGTTTTTTTTTGATTTTTATGATTTACTAGCTTTATCGGAAATATGGTTTTTTTTGCAAATTTCAAACCAAGTTACAGTAATATGCGATTATAATGAAGACGAATTTTTAATTTAAGTTTTGATTGTTAACAACAAAATTTCGAATTACAAGTTTACAAGTAATTTAGAATTAATTGACAGCTTCTCTTGACTTCTATGTTTAACATAAATAAAAATTGAAATCAAAAGTCGTCTTCATTATATTGATTTAATCGCCTGCCATTGTATAAGAACATGCATGGATTTATAACAAGTTCCTCAATCAAAATTTGAGGTAAATCGGTCAAGAGGTTCATGAGTTATGATCGGACATACTTTACTATCAAAAAACATTAAAATAGACAAACAGTCTTTACAATTTTATGTTTTTAGATACGCTTGATTTTGATTAATTCTCAAAAATAAAATATTTTGATCAACAAATTTTCCTGAACATTGGAGCCAAAGGACCCATAGCATTCTGACCAACTCCTACAAAAATCAAGAATAAATAATCATGTTATTTTCAATACCGCAATTACATGGCGAAGAATTAAGGTGTAATACGTGAAATCACACAAAAAAAGAATATTTACAAAAAAATCTAACAAAAAGCCAAAGAACTTGTAAGTTGTAACTTGCGGCCACAAACTGAACATTTTTAATCCCTTTATCTTTGCAACCTTTCACCCTCCATTCATTAAGTTGGATTCACAACGGAACCCTTTTAAAATTTTGTCTGACGACTGATGAATCATACTTAATCTTACTAAGAAATGATTATTTCAAATCACGGTTTCTCTGTAAAAGTGCGGATTCATGCATCAACATAAAATAAAGGGAATAATTATATCAACCACTCTGTATCTGTATCTGTATCTGTATCTGTATCTGTATCTGTATCTGTATCTGTATCTGTATCTGTATCTGTATCTGCATCTGCATCTGAACTTTTAAAAGTTTAAAAACCTGAAGTTGTCTCCATTGTCTTGAGAAGAACTGGAGCTGACAGCTCTGAGTAGGTTGCAGGTTTGGAGGACCCTCACAGCTCTGCGTAGGTTGCAGGGTTTGAGGACCCTCCATTAGTAACCTCCGAACCTCCATTTTCTTCTGTTCCGAGGTCCCAAGCTAAACAGGTTGGAGGAGGGGATTCTGGGGTTGGAGTTAAATTGGAGAAATTTTTCTCCGATTTCTGCATCTCGGATCTTGGATCTTGGATCGCTCTAAAAATGCAAAATATTGTAGTCTAAAAAAATGTTTTAATATATTTAAACTAACAACGTAAGAAAAACAGCGTACACACACGTAAATTTATTGACTCAAAGCTTAGCTAGATTTTCATTCCTTGATAGGGTTCTTTTTAAAAAAAATATTTCCATCGATAGCCTTAAACAGTTTTATTTCAAAAAACCTTAAATATTCTTGGCAGATTTACACTCTCTTTAGATACCATTGAGAGGTGTTTTTTTTACAGACATTCCCATGAAATACTTTTTAAGGTTTTCTTTCTTTAAGGTTTTCTTTTTAAGGTTTTCTTTGCGAACACTTTAAATTGAGGAGTTGTGCAGTGTGCACAAACTTATTTCACAATTGATGAGTGAATTTTCAAGATACTTCAGAGATACGAAATAACAATGGAATAGAAAGACGACATTACAGCAATACTTAAGTGTATTTGATGGTGTTACAAAGCAAATGGTTTTACCAGACGCTTATAAAATCACTTATTTTGTGAAATGGATCTTTTTACACTGCACAATTGCTGTGTTTCGTCGTCATTGAACTTTTTAAAGTTAAAACTTGATTCTTAAAAACGTCTTACTATTCCATGGTTATCACTGTATACTGTTAAAACTACTTTACTTATCGATTGCTTAAATGTCGTCTTCCCGTTCCCAAGTGTTTTAATTCTTTCCGAAACGTCTCTTTCTCTTAAATTCTGTAGTAGAACTGAATTGGACAAGTAGTCTGTACAGATCATATTAATAAATAATGCAACCTTTCAAAATTTGACATTTAAACCGCGGGGAGGATTTTAGACGGATAATCCGGAGGATTTTTTTTTCAATTTTGAACAGGTAGCTTTGTCTGATGAGGAATTGATTACTTGCCTCGATCTTAAATTTTTTAATCAAATTATGAATTATCTAACTATGTAAAAAGTAGTAATCTCTGTGTTTTTTCCTGTTTAGATATCAGATCACAACTTATGAACCCCAGGACCGAATTGTCTCAATTTTGAGACTTTTATAGGGAACTAGCTTGAGAACCCAACATTGCTCAGGCTGCTCATAGTTACTCCCACCGTTTACCCGCGCTAGGTCGTAGTTTGCGATTTTAGCTTTTTTTCCCTTAAAAAGTGGACCCACTTCAGTTAGAATCTTAAAACCTAGCTAAAAACATTCTCGTGGTTCTCCCAAGTTCCCCAATTGAGGAAAATCGGTCATGGAGTTCACAAGTTATACTCGGACAAACACACAATAATTGTTGAGGCAAATTGGTTTCCTTTATATCTAAATTGCAATAAACAGACCACGAATCAGGTCGAGGCACCAAATTTTAAACAAAAACATACAACTATACTACATGACAAAATACATATAAACACTCAATACTTTATTTGTCAAAAATCCTGATTATATAATTAGATTTATAAATCACACGCTTAAATCTTTAATGTCAAATGTCTGCACACACAATATTCCAGAGATTTCTAATTCATGTCCTTTATCAGTTCTTCTTAATCATTCTTAGTTCTTCGATGCAGGGTTTCTCTTTTGATATGGTTTGCATAGTTGGGCCCGAATAGGGTTTCCAACTAAATGGGGAAATCGGAATTCGAAAATTTTGCATTTTTTGCAAAAAAAATTGTTTTCGCTAAAAATTTCGCATTCTTTGCATTACGTTCGTAAAACAAAATGCAAAAATTCTACTCGGAAATTTTCGCATTTTTGTTTCTAGAAACAGATTAATGCAAAATTTAGCGAAAAAAGCAAAAAGAAATTTGGATTTTTTCGCGAATTTTTTGCATATTTCTTTTTCTCACAAAGTTTTCGATTTCTATTGCAAAATTCATTTTCATGAAAAAAAGCGAAATAAAAAAATTTTTCGCGAAATTTCGAATTTCTTTTGAAAGAGTTTTTGTTCGCTGGAAACCTTAGAACCGATGCACTCTTCAGAAAGGGGTTGGGTGGACTCCGGATTAAAAAGTTTTCGATTTCTATTGCAAAACTCATTTTCGTGAAAAAAGCGAAATAAAAAAGAAAATTTTCGCGAAATTTCGAATTTCTTTTGAAAGAGTTTTTGTTCGCTGGAAACCTTAGAACCGATGCACTCTTCAGAAAGGGGTTGGGTGGACTCCGGATTACCCTATGTCCTATACCCCTTTTTGTGTTTTCCTTTAAAAGAGATTAGAATGTTGAAAGTTGGACATGTAGCCCTGTATCCTGGGGAAATCCTGGAAAGGCATGTATGGGGAAGTTGGAGTAAGAGTAGCATTGATATTGGAACGAATTAGAAAAAAAAACCACAAAATGGGTCGTTGACAAACGATGAGCAAACAAATTGAAAAAAGCACCATCTCTAGACTGCATGGGGACGCCCGTAGGTCTTGGTTAAACATTCAATAAGACAAATGAAATACTTAAATACTATGTCTATATACTAATAAGGTTAAACACAATCACATATTATCATAATATCAGTTTTGTTCTGCTAAAATTCATTGATTTTTCATTTTTTTAAATATTTTAAGTTCCAAGCAAACAATAATATCTCAAATATTTTACAAAATTTGAGATGTGTCATTTTTAACTTACATTACATGAATAAAGCATTTGATGAGATATATTATACAGTTTTATCTAGTTATACAGTTAGGACAATGGTCAATAATATAAACCTTGTTGAAAAAAAACTTAGAGGTAGCCGTTGAACAAGCAGTTTAGATCTGGTTATGACTCTACGACGTAGTTCAGAAAAAGAAAAATGCTATTTTATTTTCTCTAAACAGAATTTTTTTTTTTTACCTCTGAAATTATAATTTTTAGGTCTTCCCTCAACTGCTGGGTTACACGTTTTTTTATATTCATTTGTTTATGAACATGTGTCAACAGCAGTAGAAGACCAAAAAAATGTCTAACTTTAACAGTTGAAGGGAAAAACTGTAAGATAAAAACTTGCGTTTTCAGCAGTTGACGGTAAAAGAGTTTTAGAAAAATTTGTAATTTTAGCGGTTGAAACAAAATTTTATAATAAATTATTAGTGTTTCCATTGGTTGAAGGTATTGATATTTTTTAATTATTCTTCATTTCTAATTCTAGTTTAACAAGGGTTTAAGCTGTGTTTCAACTCTCAACCGCTCTTTCATTTGCTACCACTGTTTTTTTTCTCCAAAGAAATCAGTACAGTTAGGATCAATTTAATTTTTATGTGCATCAGATCCTGATCTTGGATCTATCCTGTGGAAAATGGATCAGGATAAGGATCCAGATCATGAGTTATTTTTAAAGTTATGTTTATTTCCAAACACTTTAAATGAGTATTTTGATTTAAATCCTTAAATCTGCTAAATTTTGCAGATTGGGTTCCAGATTCATGGAATTGAAAATTAGCAGAATCCAATGGATCTGGATCCAGATCCTAAGTATTGAGCAGTAAGGTGTCCACCAATGATAACTTATTTAAAAAATGGCACAAGTGGCCTTGGCTGGTAGCTTAATCCATTGCACTATAATTTTTTATTTCATAAAATTGTTTTCTTACTTTTTGAAGGTTTTTAACATAACTTGCTTAATTTTGAATTTTGTCAAAACTTTCTTGCCAATGCCTTAGAAAATTCTAGATGACATAATAAATTCAAGAAAAACAGATTTGGAGTTCTGTAGGGCCTTTTTAAATTTTAGCAGTTATTATACCCTAAAGTTTTAAATATATGAGCTAAAAATATAGATAAGTGCTCACTTTACACTTTACAATCGGAAAAATTACCACTTTGAAAAGTTGGTCATACCAGGACAAATCACTGCACAAAATGTTAATTTTGATGTCTCAAGTGTGAATTCCCAACTGGTGTATTCTAGTTTACATCGATTAATCTCTCTTGAGATATCTGTGAAGAAAGAGATAGTAGAGAATCTCAAATCCACTTAACAAACAGAATCCATTGCAGAGACCAAAAGTCCCTCCAACCAGAGCTAGAATATAGTTTTTATAGCATACCTATACACTTTTAAATATAGAGCTACGGATCAGAATGTGAACGCTTACATTTGACTGGTTCTACAAGGAGTAGTTATGTTTAAAAGTGAAAGGGCTAGATACGCAAGATTTTTTCAGAATCAAAACCGAGTTTTTAAACAAATATGACATTCAAAATCGATTTAAACATATAATGTCTACATTGCTGGTTGAGACAATGTATTGAAGTGTCACCAGGTAGAATAACTGTGTACCTGATGTTGCATGTTCATAGGATCCAGATCTTGGTTACTTTCCCAAAGGCATTTTCCAGAGTGTCAACTTTCCCAGGGTATTTTTCCAAAGTGGCAACTTCTCAAATGTGCAATTACCTAACCATTGGGAAATTGCTACTTGGTAAATTTCACTTTTGGGAAGTTGTCACTTGGGAAGTTGCCCTTGGGAAGATACCTTTGGGAAAATACCTAACACCAAAAGATCCACACACATAAAGGTAAATACTTATTAAGATCCATACCTAGAATATCTACCCAACCAAACAGCTGATCCTTAGAGAACTTAGTCACACCCAGATCTTTAAAATAAACATGAACCAAGGAGTTCTTCAACAATTTCTTCTCAAATGTCCTAAAAATATCTAATTCTAGCTAATCCAAATAATTCTGGGATTTAATTATATATTTTCTTGTGTAGCCTCCTCCCCATATATATATTTTGACCTTAATTAGTCATGCTTGGGATAAGAAAGAAAAAGAAATTTTCCTTAGAAGGAAGAGCAATTTTTTAGATTTTTGAAATTTTAAAAAATGCCTCTAATTAAGATCTTTACTGTTAACAGAAAATGTTTCTTCTTCATGTCACTTCTTCTTCTTTTTAGACCATTTGTCCTCATTCTTAAATCTTTTCATCCAATGCTTGCTCATATTGGTATTGAGGGAAGGAAGAGGGGTAAGAATTTAAACCCCTGAGTAGCTCTATAGCAAAACAAACAGATGAAACCACTTTATTTTTATCCAATTCAGCAAACCAAAAGATTATTTCGATTTAAAATTGATTAGTTGCTTGCTGTGCTGAGCATGTTCGTAACAGATGTCCAATACTCAACCCATAAGTTGAACTGAATTCCATATTATAAATGAAATTGAATTACTTACTCATCAACGCAAGAGTCTCCATTGTAATATTTGGAAAAAGCATCGTACTCCTTCTTAAATAATTGGTTGGAGGTGGTACATTGTCCTTTCAGACAAAGTATCTTATTAAACCAGGCCTGAACATTGATAAACATTGATATTGTGTAACATTTACTCTGTTATTGTAAGCATTTATCCCTACAGGGTCAAAATCAACATTTTCCATACTTTCATGAAGTTATGGAATTTTAGAATTACATAAGAATAGGAAGCTTACTCAAAGTCAAGAATAAACATGGAATATCTTTTTAAAGGTTTAAAACATCCCCATATTCCCCAACTCTTGTGCTTGGGAAAAATTTCAAAAGGTATATGGAAGGATTTGTCCTTCATTCAGCGCTGGTCAAACATGGTCAAATATAGGGTCTTTATGGTTTCTGAACTTAAAAGAAAATCAGGTTTTTGAAATCTTGCCTGAATTGTAATCATTAGCATTTTTCTGTACACACAACAAAATTTGATGAATACATAATTTAAATATCATTAACTTTTAAGAATCTCAATTTATAATTTATTTTAAGACTCCTTTACCCAAACTGCAGAATAGAACAATTAAGAAACTGATAAATTTGCATAATTGAGTAAGATACAAAGACCCATAAAGTGATTTTAAATGTGTTTTGTGTATTTCTGCAGATCAAAATCTTAAATTTAACTTCAAAAATCTGTTATATCCTACTCAAATCTTAGAGTTTAACATTTACTTTAGTGTTTTCCTCTCCAGTTAAGGTAACGGAGACTTAAAATAGGTTTTATCTTCATATTATTTGTCTTAAAAGATAAGATATGCAAATAATTTGTATATTTTAAATAAAAGTGCGAGATTTAAAAAACTTTAACTCCTTCTTCAGCCCTTTATGAAATATACCATGAAAAAACAACACCTTATACTTAATTAATTAATTTAGATCAAGTCTAAAAACATAGAAGACTCTTTAATTGACTAGTGTCAGGGGAATACATTTTTAAGAAAGTAAAGAAAATTATTTCTGATCCGTTGGGGGGGAAAAAACTCGCAAGTTTTCCCTATTTTTAATACTATTTACACATAACTTATTGGTTTTTCCTGAAAAGTTATTTATTTTCCCATGTTCAGCAAAAAATGCCATACAAATTTTATTAAAATTAATACTAAGTAACCGAACACATAATTTTTAAGAAAACTTATACCCATGCCTTTATTAGTCTATTTTAAGAGAATTTTGATTTATGTTAGTTTGAATGTGACTGGTTTGTAATCCATTTTTTCAACTAAGCTTTAATTTACTTGACACTTCTGTAAAGTTGACAGATGAAAAACTTTTTTCTTATGAACTGAATTGAATTATAATTAGGAAGGTAATCAAAGGATTTCTCATGTATAAATAACATAGATTATACAATATACATATTTTAAAGCTTACATTATTGTTGTCCCTAAGAGGTGCTGAAGTGATCTCCTGAATAATTGTAATCTATTATTCTCTCTCAATAATTTTTATAATTCTTTTATACTTTTGTAAAGTTCACAACAAGTTAGAAAATAATTTGTATCTTTTAACTGACAATAAGTAGCAATCTGTGAGAATTGTGGAACAGAAACATTAAAATAAAATAGATCAAATCTTTGGAAACTGTTTAAAGGAATGTAGCAGAGACATTAACTGAAATTGATATTTGAAAATGTGACAAAAATCAAAGTTTAACATAAAGTTTAAAATTTAACCTTGGTGTACATCGTTTGATCACAGTCATCAGGACAATCACAGACTATACCATCTTGAACCCCCGGGTATTTGATGGTTGTTTTTCCAACATTTGCATTCAAAAACCCTGAAACAAATATTTATTTTCCAGTTTGCTCTTTTAGATATCCATTCTAGGTTATTCACCTGTTTTATTTACCAAGCACTGGAGCTGGTCAAAAGTGCATGCTGAGTTGTTTCCTTGCTTTAGATTAGCAGCAACAAACTTTTTAGGGAACTTTGGATAGTAGTACATCAAACAGTTACAGAGACTGAGAGTTGCTGCAGCCTGGCATTCAAGTAAGCAGTTTGCCTGGCATCATTAAAAATTACATTTGATATAGTTTTATGCAAGTTATTAATATGGATTATTGGTTTTGACCTAAGAACCAGCCACCTTGTAGGTTTCTAAAGGTTGTTGGTACCAAAAGCAATGAACAGCAAGAAAAAATTTCCCCTAAGCTATATTCCACAAGGTCCACCATCTGGATCTTTCTATCCTTTTATGTTTTCTTGCCAAAAACATTTAGTTCCACCTAAGGTAATTTACAACTTCTCCCTTTTCTCACCAAACTTTTAATACATTCTTTTTTCCAAATAATGTTGCATTTCAAATGAAATCTCCACATTATCCCCAGGTTAACCCTTTCACATCAAGAGGCCATTATAAGCTAGGCACTAGAAAGCCAAACATTGCTTTCCTGCTTTTCTGCATTTTTTTTGAAAGGGTGAAGAAGATTATATTTTGAATCAAAATTGTAACCTGACTGTAAGACTTAAATACATTGAGGTTCACATTTAAATCCGGCACATTGACTTCATTTTCCAAAAGACATGATCTTCTTGTCTGTGACATGCTTTGCACACTCTCTGTTCTGAAATGTGCATACATGAACAAGTATTAACAACTTATGGATGCTGTAAAGACACAAAACAACTCTGCTTCAAGTGATCTTTGTAAATATGTACAATTTTTAATTTTTTGATTAAATTAAATACTTACGATTTTGTGACTTGTGCAGACAATGCGATAAATGTCTCTGTTCCTTCATGGATTGGAATGGATTTTGCAGATACTTCGGGGAACTCATCAGGTGAATGAATCAAAACCTTTAGATCATTAAGAAATCTTAATTTGGAAAAAGAAAATAATTATTATACAAATTACTATAGTTAATATTGATCTATAAAATGGGAATTGGGTACTGGATAAATTCTTTTTACATAAAAACTAACATATAAAACAAAATAAAAAAATCATATAAGACATGACTCAAAGATATTTAGAGAGACATGATTTCTGATTACCTTGAATCCTGTAAAATAATCAGTTGAAGTATGTTCATCCCAAGTATTGACAAATTCATCAGCTAAGTTTGGATCAATATTAAAAGTAAAACCAAAATCAGGGCCAGCAAGGTTAGTGTTAAATATCACAGTCTCTTTCTTCTCCTGCTTTTTGGGTGGAACTGCAGGAGCTGGGGGAGCTTGACTTTCTCCAGTTGTAGATCCTAGAATTAGGAAAGAGTAAATTTTTCCGTTTTTGCTGTTTGACTGAAATATATTATCCTTTTCTCTGCTGCTCATTGGGCTAATTAGGGTGAGTTGTTTTTTTAATTCTTTTTCATTTGAAACACATCTGCTGGCAAAGTCAGAGCTTGATGGGAAAAGGACTAAACCGGGATACTTCTACTCTTTTAAATGGTGTATAATTTCCATAATGTCTTCTGTGTAAATATGACCACAGGAACATTTTTAGAAATTTAAAGTCTGTCAACTTATTCTTATTCTTAATATAATCTATCCAAAATTTGAAGTAAAATGTGGATTGGTCGACAATTTTGGAACTACCAAAATTAAAATTTCAGTAAAGCATTGTTGAAAAGTATTGTTAGTAAAGAGGCACTATAATTATTGTGACACTTAAAAGTAAATTAAAGTGAAAAAGATCATTAATTTACAGCCAACGTCTTCTAATTAAACAGTTAAAAGTCTTTTTGTGGATTTCTGAGAATGATGGAAGAGAAAAGACACAAGAAACAAAATCAATTCTTAAAAGGAAAAAAAATTTTCTATATTTCTTTTTTTACTTTTTGTGACTGACTGAGAAAAGGACAAAAGAACATAACTCAATTATGTTTGAAAATCCAGCTTTCTACAAGTCAATGGCAAATCAACGCTTCATGAGATTAACAAAAATCATATTATTAACCAAACCAAATAGTTAAGCCTAAGGAAAAAAAGGAAGCAAGATCAGTAAAATAAGTGTTCACTATGGTTTACAGGGTTACCCATAGTCAAGTTTTTAAGACAATGGCGCAACACAAAACGTTGGGGTGTATGACTTTTAATTAATCTTGAGCAGAACAAAATAATAGAAAGACTTTGATAACAAACTGGAAATAGATTTATTGATATTTCATTTTTATTTGTATGCTTGTATGCCCACAACCCTTATCCAAAAATAAATTATTAAAGTTAAAAAAGTTTATTAAAATAAACATTTGTAATTTTTTCTACCTGTTTCTGAACAGTTAGAAAAAATTTGCATGACAGGCAGACCCATTAGTTAACTATTTGAAAGTTAACTGTTTTTTTGTTAACAAAATTTCCTATTAGTTTTATTTACCTCTGCATATCAATAGAAATTTGAGCAACCTATTCTAATTGTCTTTTAATGGCTTTAAAAAAATGCCTTAGAAATTATATCCACTTATTGATAAAAATTTCTTATGAATTAAAGCAGTCACTTCAAGCCCCTGTATTTTTTAATACTGAAAATTCTTGATATGAAAGTGTTGTAAATTTAGGTCAAATTTTTATTTCATCACATCTTAAATTTCAAAATCTATGTATTTTCAAAATCTCAGAAACCTTTGTCCCTTTTCATCCGTTCTTTCATTTTCATTCAGATATCTTTCTATAACTATTGGTTGTTTTGTTGGTTAATGAATTAAAAATAAATTAAAAATGGCATTTTTCATCTATTTTTTAAACTACTGCTCCTTAGTGGAATTTTAAGAGGGTTTATAATAATTTACCTGGCTTATTAAGACACATATTGTCAGTATCCTTTTCATAACTATTAAATAATTTACATATTTTCAAAATATTATTTCTAATTATGTAATTTCTTAGTATGTAATTGAAAAATAATTTACCCTGCAATGACACCGGGATATCTTACTGTAGGCGCTGTTCCTAAAATCCAAATTTCAATGATAATTAGTGAATTAAATCTATATAATCAATGCTACTAGATTCATATATGTTTTAAAAAGAAACCATGTTGGACCATAAAACCAGGGCATTTGAATCCTGACATATTTTGTTACAATTTACCAAATTGGTTTTGATAAAATGGTGAATTTGATGAAAAATACTAAACATCTGTAAATTCGAATTTTGTTGGTAAAAACCTTATAATTTACCTTGAGTTGTTGTTTCCTCTTCTGCAGAATCAGTAGGATCCCCTGCTGCAGTCCCAACATTATAATCATAATCATCATTCTCTCCATACTCAACATAGTCATCATAATAATCTTCATCCTCAGAGCTGCCACTGGATTCCTGGAAAGTAACACCATTTGCTTATTCAAAGCTTTTGGATTTAGGAGGGAAAAAGATTTAGGATCAAAATAGTTTAATATAATATTTGATAAAATGTAATTGAGAGAATTTAGGAGTTTTATGAATTATTTAAAGGTATTTAAGAGTATTTGAGAGTATTTGAGAGTATTTGAGAGTATTTGAAGATTATGACAACTATAGAGGACTTCTCAAGAACCTTTGAAAGTTTTTAATATCAGTTAATAGTTATCATGAAAGTTTTTAGAGTTTTTTTTATGATATTTGATAGAAGTAACCTTATCAAATAATGAAATTTTTAATAAAAATGTGTGTTTCCTTTTCAAAGTTGTCCGCAATATTGATAGTGTTGAAGGAACAGCAAAATCCAGAATCCGTTTTTCTCAATTGAACTAAAAAATACTAAGGATGTAGAAAAGTTAAATTTCACTAAAGCTGGGATCATTCATGGGGGGGGAGGGGGACTTTCCTGTTCCAGGTTACCTTACATAGTCATGTAATTGTACTGTACAGCTTGCTCTAGCTGGTTCAAAGCCTGGCACTTGAAATGAACCGGAGTTTTTAAAGAAACAAAATAAAAATTTAAGAAAAAATAAAGACTTATTTACTCATAGAATGTTATGAACAAAACAGTTTTTTATGTCATCTTTTTGTGACCATCAAAAGCTGTAAACCTCAGATACCAAATTCTTAGATTTTGAAAACTAGTATACATTCAAAAAGTTTTAAAAATTGTACAGAAATTTTCTATTTTTAACCAAACTAGATTTTTAGCATATTTGTATGGTCATATCTTTAAAGTTAAAACCTTTCAAAATTATAAAAATTTTCAACTCACCAAAGTCTTTAACTTTCAAATTTACCAAAATCGTTATCAATGAAACTACCTTCAACAATCTTTAATTTCTAAACAGTAAGCACTTAAAATGCTTATATTTTGTAAACTATCAACATCTGTGAATTAAAACCTTTTATATTACATTCGGAATTATCCATTTTCCAAAAAAATATTAAAAAAATAAATTTACCAAAATCTTTACATTCTACTTGCTTCCCCTGCCATTTACAGTAGAGAAACATACGTTCACAGTTTGGTAAAATCTATATTATGATTTTTATTATCATTATTATTTTATTATTATTTTAATATTATTCTTATTATTATAAATACTATTACTATTATTATTATTGTTATTATATATTATATATTTATCATTATTATAGTTGGCCAAACGGCTGCACTGCATGGGCTGACATATTTTTTATTGAATTCTTGACTAGCTGGGGGGTAACAAAGTGTAAAAAAAGATTTTTTTAAATCATAATTTTTTTGTTTTAAGAATTAAAATAATTTTTTTTTTTAAATCATTATTATTTTTACATATCATTTTTATACGATCAACTTATTTCTTTTATTTTGTAAAAGTTCTGAAAAGGTTATTATATAGTTAACCTGGGACATTAATGAAGAAATGTTGACATCCTCTTTAACCATAATCTTCTCTGAACCTTCTGTTTTAACAATTAATTCCGGATCCGATTGAAACTTTACAAGGTTGGTTACCAACTAGATAAAAAGAAGAGTTTGAAAAGTTTTTAAACGTTAAATTTTTAAAATCCAAAATAATTGACAGATTTTTCTTGCGGAAAGTATGCACTATAAATAAATTACTACAGTTACATGAATTAATATTGAAGAAATTGTAAATTATTTGCATTTAATTTTAATTTTTTACTTTTCACAGACACACAAAAATAAGATAAGTTTTGTTCTCTACTATCCTGATGCAAATCATCCTTTTCATATTGTTTCCACGGAGTTTTCTAGGAATTCCACGTTTTCAACATTTAGATCTTCATAAGTCGAATTTAAAGAATTTAAACGGTGTATTTGATCAGTCAAAACCAGTTTCTATAGAGCGTTGGCTGAAATCTCAAAACACTAAATACAATTTCAAGTGGAACCAGCCATGTTTGAACCGCGTGTCATGATTGAGCCATGGCTTAAATTCTTTAGATTCGTCCTCAGGTTTTATCAGATGCTGAGAAGAGGCGAGATTTAGCTCCAGCAACTTAAATCGGTTTCCAAGGTATAGACTTTTGAAGCAATGGATTTAAGTTTAATTACATGAACATGTGTTTAACCAAGAGATAAGTTATAAATATTTACCTATTAGAGCGCTGTCACATAGATTCAGATTACTATTAAAAGTTGCATAAATTTGTAAGATTGGATCGACTTTGAAACGTCGCAAGGCCTTGACGCACAGTAACTTTTTAGTAGCCCAGATATATACATTTTAGAACTATGTAGCACTTGTTTTAGCTGTAGTTTTTAAGAGGTAACAGGCAAAAATCTAATCTATTTTTGTGTGAAAGCTTGAAACTTTTGGATCACTGTGCACTGAGACAAAAAAGTTTAGTCTGAAGAAATGAAAGATTATACCAGTATATATTAAAGCAGCCAAAAACCAGCTTAAATATTAAAACATTAAATACAACTTTAAGTGGAACCAACCATATTAGAGGCGCGTTTCAAATTTAAGCCGCGGCTCAAATTCTTTAATATGGCCTTAGAATATATTTAACATCTACATTTAGTTTTAATGTTGAAAATGCCCTTAATGGTTTTCTTGAAATTGTTGTTTGAAATCCTAAAATAAAATAATTAATGTTTTAATATTATTTGGGTTGAAATCCGTTTCCGGGTCTTTCTAGTTATCACTGTATATATTTTCAAAGTCTTTAGAGCAAATAATTGAAATGGATGACACAACATTTTTTTGTGTGGAATATTAGCGAGGGTAAGTGATAAATGATAAATAAATAGATAAATAAATGATAAATTTTTTTCTTGCATTTTATACAATTTTGCATAAAATTTTGAATGAGATCTTTGGGTGATAAATAAAATCCATTTGTTTTGTGTTAACGCAAATGATTTTAAACATCCCAAAATAAATGTTGTCAAACAAAATGCAATCAAAGTCTTCAGGCATGCTTTAAAGCTTGCTGTTTCATGACTAAACATAACAATTAAGAGACGACTTTAACATCTTCTCTGGTTTTTGAAATTTGAATGAAAAGATTGCATGAATCCCGGAGGATACTATCTTTGTAATAACTAATAAGCTGTTTCTAAACAAAGGAAATGAGTCTTTGCCACAAACTTTGATTTTCTATCTCTATATCTTTGCAACCTAGCATTCTGGGTGTCCCAATAAACATGGTAATTCAGTGACGAATTCGATATTTTAAATAATTTGTCTGCTATGTTTACAATTTGTTTGTTTATGTTTTGACTGCATACGGTTTTACTTAGTAAAAAAAGAAAATTACAGTATACAAACAGAGTAAACTTGTCCGTCTTCACTGTTCATCTTGCAGACACATTATAGACACATCTTTACAACCATTTACCGTTTTCATTAAATAAACTCTAGCAGACATAATAATATTATGGCTTTTGAAATTAGGTATTACAATGCTAATTCATAACAAAGACGATATCGAATTCGTCACTGAATTCCCATGTTTATTGGGACACCCTGTAGTAAACCTTAGATTCTTCAAACTATGAATTCTGTTAAATCAGATAATTTAAATCTAGAATATTAACCCCATTCCAACTGAGTGGCTGTCACACTAATCCAACCCTTTGTTTTTTAGCGATAACTCAAAAAGTATTGATCTGAGGCTGTTAACATTTTTTGACTTTTGTAGCTCACTTTATGCTAAAAGCTGGGCTTATATACCATTACCTACTACCTGAATCCTCAGGCATACTACCTGAATGCCTTATTTTACCTTATATCAGACTCAACCTAATGTAAGATATCTAGATCCGAGATAACATAATGATAACTCTACTCAAATTCTAATTAGAATCTAAATGACTCTATCTCTTGCCAAACTACTGGTTCTCTATCCTTAGCCAAAACTCAAGGCTAGTTACACGTCTGTATTAAACGACTAATCTCATTGAACTAATTTATTTTATATACAGGTGAAATTAAGCTGACCGTACTGGCCAGTAAGGGTCAACATGAAATATGATAAGATAGATAAACGAATATAGATAAATCAGATATTACTAGCATGGTTACATAATTCATTACAAATACCCCGGGCAGAAGTGATGAGAGTATGGTCTACAAAGCTGACTATCTCTTATTAAATTGTCATCAACATCATCATCCAGCATAACCTATAATGCGGTGTCGATCTGGGAAGACGCATCTAACGTTTGATCCTCTCGCCTCAGCATGTTGAAGTAGGTCATCTTTCATTGATATAGCATTTTTTCAATGTACTGAAACTAGTCTGGTATCTCTAATATTGGGAACATAGCACTCCCTTATACTAAGGACTCCTTGGTTTCTTGTTGTTAGGTTACACTCAATTTTATTGAAAGAAAATGATTCTCCCCCTGACATCATGTAGCTGTGCATCCTGGGTTTGAGTATGCCGGTTGGGATATACATCTGATGAGATGATTCGCTCCAATCTTTAACACCCTCCGTAACTGTGATGGAGAGGAACATGAATAGTAGCATTAACCCTATACGAAACAGAGAGCTACCCCATACCCTGTTGCACCTCCTTGTGTCCCTTGTTGACTGTCTGGTAGCTGGAGAGATAAGATTGCTCTGCACCACAGAAGTACCGTCCAATCCTGTCTGCACCGATAGTGTTGCGATCATTCCCGCCTGTCAATCACCGCTCCGAGATGACTGAATACTCCTTGATTTGCTGTGCAACTGACTAACAAGGTCTGTTGTATGATTTGAACTAGCCGCGGTTGCAGCTATGCTCAACACAGCAGCTGTTTTGCTGTACCGGCGTGTATTACTGCTACTAGGGCCCGGTATCAAGGCTGGATGTATCGCCCCGGCCGCGTCTCTGGTCCTGGCCTGCCTGCCCAGCTCTGCAACTGTGTTCGGAGGTAAAGGTACCACCAGGTCTCCTCTCTCGTCCCTGATTGGTTCACTCTCGCCTTTACATTCGCAGCTGGCCAATAAACAATTCGCCGCTCTTTTACACTTCTTTGATTGGTCCTCAAGGTTCCAGCTGCCATCGTATTCTTCATAACTCACCGGTGTAATGTCCCGTAAACCCCGCTTTATCCCTTCTCTCCTTCTCAATTTGCAGTTGCACGGGTTTTCTACGCACTCTGATTTTCCCGGTTTACTCCTGTAACCCTCTCCTGCATGTCTATCTCATTCTCTACACCCTCTGATTGCCCCCTCCCTGCTCCTGTTCCCCCCTCCTGCATATCTATCTCATTTTCACGGGCCAGGGTTGGCTGGGTCGGTTCATCTATACCTTCTAATCTATTGTTGTGCTGGGTCTCCGCCTCTCCACTGTCTCCGCCTTGCATTTCAACCTCTCTGTCTAAATCTAGTGTGGGGTGGGTTCCCCCCCCCTCCTTTTCACAGTTGGATGTTATCTGGGTCTCATGGTCAGTCTGTCTAACCTCCTGTGGTTCTGTCTGACCAGCTGTCTCCCTTCTGTCCTCTGGGTCTCGTCCTCTCTTGTCTGACTGTCTCTCTTGGTTCTTAAACCTTTCTGTTATCGGTTTCTCTAGCTCCGAGCTCGGAATTTCTGTAATCTCATCTCCCCCTTGAAATGCTGGGTGGGGAGGATCACTGGGTAATCCGTCCACGTTGTTCTCCCCCCTAAACTCCTTGAGAATGCCTAGACTCACTATCCTCGGTTTCCCTTGCTCATATACAGCCCTCACTTTGGCTAATGCTGGGGCCAACAATCTCGCAATTTTATGAGGCCCCGCCCAATAAGACCTGAGTTTGTCACAACTGCCTGGAATGATCTTGGGATCAAAGATCCATACCCACTGTCCTACGTTAAACTGGTTCAAGATTGGCTTGTAATATTGAGCATTTCTCCTCACCATTTGCTGTTGTCTCTCTCTCATCCCAGCATAAGCAGTTTGAAACCTTTCTTGTATAGTCTCCGTCCAGGCAGATACATCCCTCTCAGCATCCGGTCGTGGGATTGGGTAAACCCAGTGGATGGGAACTATCGCTTCCAAGAACGATGTCTGGCCTGTACTACTATGTACCATAGTATTATAGGCCAGACAAAGCCGCTTTGATTCCCAGGTCCCATTCATTTTGCATCTCCCTGCCCAAAGTCCTCAAAATACCCACTATTGTTCTATGCCATTGTTCCACAATATTAGAGGATGGGTTGTATGGGGGGGTTCTTGTATGCAAGATCTTTAATTCACTAAACAACTCAGTCCATAACTTAATTGCAAATTCGGCTCCATTATTGGAATGAATTTGGTTTGACAGGCCGAATGCACTGAAATGTTCACATATCAGAACTCTAGCCACAGTGCCTGTTTCCTTGTTGAAAATCGGATATGCACTTGCAAATCTGGTAAACCAATGTTCTCTGGAACTTGTCTAACGTTCTGGCCACGCCTCATGACAAATCTTAAACACTTCCTCTAACTTCACTGCTGGTAAACAAACAAGTAAAGCATCATATGGCTTGGCTGGATCTGTGTGACGGTTGTAACATAGGATTCCATTATGCATCACAAACAGGGTAGGATTGAATATCTGCCTCACTGATAGCACTTCCTGTATCCCTCCCCTCACTTCCTGCATCTTTGGTACTTTGCCACTCAAGATCCACTTGATCACTTCCTGCCAAACTACATCCTCTTCCTGTAACTTCCTCAGTTCATTTCCCTCTACTATCTCAAATCTTGTCTCCTCAATTAGGTTATGAATAGCAGGTAGATATCTGGCAAACTTCCGCCTCACTTTTCCTATTTCCACGGGGTTTCCTTCCAGTTCCGATGCAAAGGTTATCTTCATTTCTCCCACTTCATTTGCTTCTTGATATTCTTCGTTTTCTTCTGTTGTTGGCTCATCTAAATGCTTGGCTCTTGAAAAAGCATCTGCATTAACGTTCTCACTTCCTTTCTTGTGTATGACAATGAACTCAAACTGTGCCAGTTCCGTGTACCAGAGTTGAAAAATAGTTTCTTCTGATTTCAGATTCATGATATACTTTAAACTAGCAGCATCTGTGTAGACTAAAAAGGGGGGCCGGTGCTTCAGAATATGTTCCCACTTCTTCATACACTTCACCAAGGCGAGTAACTCACCCTTGGCGCTGGAGTAGTGTCTCTCATAACGATTACACTTCCGCCCCCAACAACCCAGAAAACGTTCTACTCCCTCTTGTTTCTGAGACAAAACCCCTGCAATGTTTAAGATGACCAGTCTGTAGTAAGGATGAATGGTTCATCTGAATCAAAATCTGGATAAGCTTGTATCCACCATGCTGAAAACTCCACCTTCAGCTCCAGGAAATCCTTCTCCATATCTTCCGTCCACACAAATTTCTCTGCCTTCTTGAGACTATTCATCCTGTTGGTCAAGGCTGAGTACTTAGGAATAAACCCCCTGTAATAACCCATGAAACCCAGGAATGACGACATCTCCTTACAACTGGTGGGGCGTGGCCAGCTCTGTATATCTTTCAAATATTGATCCAACATCTGTATTCCGCCCTGGCTCACTTTGTGTCCTAAATATTCGGTTTCTGTCTGAAATATCTTGGTCTTCTTAGGGTTGAATCTTGATCCCTGCCTTGGTGTGAGCTTCCACGATGCTCTTCAGATGCTTCAGGTGGTCCCAGGTGTCCATAGAATACACCAGGATGTCGTCAAGATATGATAACCAGTACTCCAAAGGTAAATGTGCCAGGGCTAGGTCCAACATCCGGCTGTAAACACTTCCTGCGTTTGACAGGCTGAAAGGCATCTGGATAAAACGAAATGTGCCGAAAGGACTGATAAAAGCTGTACAATCCCTGCTCCCTTTTCTATCTGTATCGCGTGATATGCCCCGCAGGCGTCAATTGAAGTGAAGATTTTTGCACCCTTCAACTTTTGCAGATTTTCCTGAATATTCGTCAGAGGATAAGCATCCTTGATTGTGACGTCTTTAAGCAGCCTCAGGTCAGTCACCCATCTCGTCCTCCCATCTTTCTTCTTCACCAGAACTAGTGGCAATGCCCAGGGACTATTTGCAGGTTCTATAATCCCTTGTTGGATCCACTCATCCAATTGTTCTTTCAAGTTTGCCCGCTGATCAGGATTCAATGGTCTCACCTTAGATCTCTTAGGTACTGCTCCAGGTTGTAATTCTATCTGCAGCTCCAGTAAATCTGTTTCCCCATAATGATTAGGATGAAGTGCTAACGTGGAAAAGTTCTCCAAGAAAAGATTGATTACTTCCTCTTTCAACTTTGCATCTTTTTTTCAGAATTTCGTTCTCATCTATCTTGAAACTGTCCTTGATAAACTTTCACTTACTCTCCTCCGTTTGGAAATCCGACTCCTGCAGAGAATTGACTGATTCTGAAGAATTACACACTTCCTCTTTGTCTAAATCTGATACCGTACTTCCCCTTAGTTCCTCCTTAATCCAGGCTTGTTTGTCTATACACATACTATGAATGGTGCCTAGCTTCTGTCCCACACACATCCTCTGCATGATTCTCTACATATATCCCTTGTACACTTCCTGATAGATTATAGGCATTTTCAGGAAGTAAAATTTTTCTCCCCTTCTCTTGATCTTCTAACAGTAACGATTCTACCACCCCAGCCCCAGTCCAGTTACCTTCAGTTCTAACTTTGACTAATTTAGCACTTCCTGCAGGTAAAGTTATCTTCTCTGCAGCCCATAACTTCCTCTCTACTACTTCCTCTACTGGATCTATGTGGTTCACTTCCGGTTCCTTTTTCTCTGCTTTCCACACCGCCGGAAGTATCTGGGTATACTTCTTGTTTTCATTATCTTCTCTCCGACCTTTAATCATGAAAGGGAAAGGTTTCCCATAAGCACTGCACAGTCTCGTTAACCTTTCCTGTCCCTTACTTCCGGTAACTAATTTCACTTCCTTCTCCGTACAGGATATTGACACTTCCTGTTGACGAAAAAACTCGATACCAAAATTCACTGCATGATTTAGTCCTTCTATCACAATCGGTTCTACTTCAAATCTCCGGTCCAGGCCATCCAAGTAGAATCTAATCTTTTCCCCTTTCCCTAGTACTCTCAATCCTTTCCTACCTTTCTCCGCTGTGTTTACTCTGGCATTACTCTCCTCCAACATTTTCCCTCCTATCATCTTCCAGAATTCACTAAACACTAAAGTACCTTTCACTAAATTGCCTGTATCTACTATGGCTAATCCATATATGTCCCTCTTAAATAACTTAAATTTCACATACGAGGTTTTTCGGTCATCTCTCTCCTCTAAATTAACATTGTTCGGATGTACAAGAATATTCTTTTCCCATTCTCTCAGTTCTGATCTTTATGACCGTTAGGCCTTAAACTACCCCTCACTTCCGGGTTAAAACTATTAGATACTTCTCTAACCTTGTGTTTAATATCTAATACTTCCGTTCTAACATTATTAACTTGCACTTCCGGTACTAATTCACACGAATTAAGGACATTTGGATTAAAAGAAATGTTCATTAAATGATTATTATTTACATTCAAATCATTATTTTCTGCAATCATAGGAGTTAACGACTGTCCGTCATTGTAACTCCCTAGGGAAAAACCGCCTCTGGAACCAGTTTCTTCAGAACTTCTTGCATTGCTGCCATAGATTTAGCCATATCCGCCATCTGTCTGTCCCCCATATCCGCCATTTCCTCTCCTTCCTTGATTTCCCCGTTCTCCTCTGCACTCTCGGGATATATGACCCTCTTTCACACAATTATAACACGAAATTGATGGGCGGGAATTATCACCTCAAGGGTTTCCCGTGGGTTTCTTATGGGTTTTTTTCTTTTTCCATTCTTCAAACTTCCTGCAGTCCCTCTTCTGATGACCAGTTTTCTTGAAAAAATAACACGTATCTCCATTCTGTAGAGCATTTACTCCTCCCTCATCCTCTAAATCCTCAACATCAGACACATCCTCCACCAACCCTGGCATGGCGTTGATGTCCATGGGCACCTGTCCCGTCTTCAACATCTCGTTGGCCTTGTTTGTCTCACTCCTATCATACCCATAAGTACTATGTAGACCAGACATATCTTGTGCTGGGGCCCTCGGGTCCATATTATAAGTCCTCAGGTTTACCAGTTGGTGGTCTAGAGCTGCTTTAATCTCTTTTTCATGTTTAATCTCTTTGGGCATAAAAGTAAGACAAGTTTTCCTCAACTCAGCGTTATACAGTCCTAGCAAAATATCAGTATTGAACTCTACTAGACTCCTCCGGGCTGGGGGGTAGGCTTGCATGAATAACCTCAGCTTGTCTGTGTAATACTGTCTAGCATCTTCATTTCTCGCCTGTCTCCACTGCATGTACTCCATCTTCCTGCCTTCTTCATCCTTCTCGTGGGTAAACTTATTTAATAACTCTTGAAAGAATTCGCCAATTTCGTAATTGTCGAAAGCCAATCCATCAGGTTTCAACAATATTATCTCAGACTGCTCTTTTCCCATTATGCAGTCTAGCAGCATCCTTTTTATTGCATCATTGGGGATCGTTTCACACTCATTTCTTGACAGATGCTTCTCTAATTCACCACACCAGTCAAACACTTTGGCAGGATTACCATCATAGGTCGGAGCTTTGCAGCAAATCCAACATCCTCTTCTTATACTCAGCCTCCGCCCTGCTCAGATCTCTCAACGTCTGCCTATCTCCTCTACCAGCTGCCTTTCCGTTTTCAGATAGGTCAAGTAAACTTCTTGAGCATCTTCCACCTTAGGGTGTTCTAGTATTGCAACTACTCTGCCGATAGGATCCTGTGTCTCTGGTGTAGCTGCCTCTTGCCATGTCTGGGCGAATGATTTATCCTTATCTCTCCGCTCCATACTGGCCAATTTATCTTTAGTCTCCGTCAGCTGAGCTTGCAGCATCTGAAACTGCTGCCTTATCTCCGCCATGCCATCTATAACTGGGTGAGATGGTCTCTCCATCTCTACTTCCGATCCAGAATCGTCACTGGGTAGACTAGGATATCCTTGAAAGGTAGCCACTGTGTTTCCTGTAGCCCCACTTGATTCTCTCACAGGCAAATCCTCTCCTGTTAGAACTTCTCTGGCTAATCTGTTAAACCAGGTTTTCACTTTACTCTTTTTCTGGAATACTTTCGTAGTCTTGGGCATCTAGATTTGGGTTCAAGGTTATCCCACCGCTGCCACCACTTTTGTAAGATATCTAGATCCGAGATAACGTAATGATAACTCTACTCAAAGTCTAATTAGAATCTAAATGACTCTATCTCTCGCCAAACTACTGGTTCTCTATTCTTAGCCAAAACTCAAGGCTAGTTACACGTCCGTATTAAACGACTAATCTCATTGAACTAATTTATTTTATATACAGGTGAAATTAAGCTGACCATACTGGCCAGTAAGGGTCAACATGAAATATGATAAGATAGATAAACGAATATAGATAAATCAGATATTACTAGCATGGTTACATAATTCATTACACTAACTTAGATCTTCTTCCAGTTATTGGATTTATAGCTCTTTGGAAAGCCTACAACACAAGGAAGCAGATTTCACAATTTGTGCTAAGAAATTTTGCGTAGAAAAGTGATTTAAATATAGTAAACCTTAGATTCTTCAAACTCAGAATTCTGCAAGATCAAATAAATTAAATTTAAAACATTAAAGGATCAGACCATCTGGTTGCAAAGATATAGGGATAAGAAAATTTGAGTTTGTTACAAAGGCTCAATTCCTTTACAGCGATCAAAGATCAAAGATCAAAGATCATAGATCATAGATCGAAGATCAAAGATCAAAGATCAAAGATCAAAGATCAAAGATCAAAGATCAAATAAAAGATAAAAGATCAAAAATCAAAGATCAAAGATCAAAGATCAAAGATCAAAGATCATCTTTAAAAACCTGAAGTTTGAGCAGACGGTTACTCCTGGGAACTTGATGTTAGCAATATTATAGTTGGTTGTCTCAACACTGATGATGATCGGAGAATCAGAATACTAAAAATTAGAATTAAAGGAACTGTACTGCACGTAATTCCAAGTGACCCTGCATTTATAAAGTGTCAAACCCGATTTTCAACCTTGAATTGACTAAAAAAAGAGATTTTATTTTTAAAATTATTATTTTTATTTGAGGTTTCTCTAAAGTTCAGTCAATTAAAATGACGTCCCCAGTACCTTAAAGAAATCAAATCTCTTTATCTTAAATTTGAAAATGCACCAGAGCTGAAAACTTTAGAATGAGATATCCTTAATCCCGATTTACTTAATCTGAGTATCCAATGGACACCCTTTTGATTTTTTTCTTAAACCGTTCTTTCTTGTATATAGAAGAAAAAAATCAAAAAACTTTTTTTTAAATTAGAGAGTCCCGCCCGTTTCTGTATATTAATCTTAAATGCCGCGCAAAATTTTTAATTTCTCGGCTTCATATAAGCGACTCTAATTGGTTGAATTTTATACACTTTTCAGGATACAAGTACATTATTACGTTAGTCTCGATATTAAGACAAAGAAAGGATCAAGCAACAATCTCGATATCCACCATTCTAAAGTTTTCAGCTCAGTTTAAAAACAAAAACCGGCGAAAATTTGATAACAATTAAAGATGGCGGCTTTTGAGCAACAAACAATAGCTACAAATTAAAGCTACAAACAACAGCTACAAACAATAGCTACAAATTAAAGCATCTAAAAGCTCAAAGTACAATATTTGAGAATTGTACAAAAATATTAATGATTAATTGGTTCAACCGAAATGGTAAAAAATGTAGCATTGTATCAATCATACCTTTACTTGTTCATTTAATATTTAATGTTTCACTTCATACTTTGTTCCAACAATAGATTTACAAATAATTTATTGCTAAACTTTGTGTGTTTACTATGGTTTATTTGGTTACCCATGGTCAAGTTTTTCAGACAACGCAACGGACCGAAACAAAACGTTGAGGTACATGACTTTTAATCGATCTTGAGCAAAACAAAATAATAGAATTAGACCTTGATAACAAACTGGAAATAGATTTATTAATAAATCGTTTTATTTGTATGCTTGAGCTTGTGCTCACACCCCTTATTCAAAATAAATTATCAACGTAAAATATTGATAAAAATTGTCAAAAGGAATCGAAATTGTGAACTTGGAATAGGATTGTAGGAAGACGACTTTTCCAATTTTAGCTTTAAAATATATTCTAATTTACGGCTAATTAGCTGAATTGTGTAGCGTTGCCCGTGGAATCTTTAAAAACGCTGGGCAGAAAATAACTTGTTGTGCTCAAACGGGTTATCTGAAGGACATTCCATCTTTCCTACAGGGTTACCTACAAAGGAATAGACTTTAAAAGACGACCTAAAGCTCTTTAAATCTATTAATTAAAGACTTAACTTAAAAAGTTTTTTAATGGTATACTAAATGAAAATTAAAAGCCTTATGGATAACCCACCCTGTACATTAGAATGAAAGTATTTGTTAATGTTAAAACTCTCCAACACTATTTTAAATAAACTTCAACCTCGTGGCATCAGTCAGATGAGAGCGTGAACATTACCCTGGTGCTATGAAGAGTAACATTGGAATTAAAAAATCACATAAACATAAGAATGATTCAATGTCGTCTTCCTATTCCAAAGTTTTAAGGGGCAAACTTTATGTAAACAAACAGTATTTACATTACATTGTACCAACCACCAATCAATTACACATTTTGACTTTTTTATTTCAGGGAAATTTAGGAATGCAAAATAAGAAAATGTGGCAAAAGGTCAAACAAAAATTACTGTTCATACACTTTATATTTCTAATGAAAAAAATGAATAGTCACTTTACCTTCTGTAGAATAGGAAGCAGCATATAGATGAAGAAATGAATAATACTTTATGTAGAAGAAGAAATGAAAATATACTTTACCTTCTGCAGAATAGGGAGCAGCATGTAGATGAAGAAATGAAAATACACTTTACCTTCTGTAGAATAGGGAGCAGCATGTAGAAGAAGAAATGAAAATATACTTTACCTTCTGCAGAATAGGGAGCAGCATGTAGAAGAAGAAATGAAAATATACTTTTCCTTCTGTAGAATAGGGAGCAGCATGTAGATGAAGAAATGAAAATATACTTTACCTTCTGTAGAATAGGGAGCAGCATGTAGATCAAGAAATGAAAATATACTTTACCTTCTGCAGAATAGGAAGCAGCATGTAGATGAAGAAAATGGAAATCAGAATCTGTAGTACAACCCAGAGAACTTTTCCACTCCAATGTATTCCATCCTAAGAAAAATTAAATTCAAAAATGAATATTTTGAATTACTTTTGTACAGTTAACCTATCAAATCTATCAAATCTATCAAATCTATCAAATCTATCAAATGACATTGCATGGGAAGGTTTATAGATGCTTAGAATTACAAAATGTTGTAGCCAAAAGCATTTGATTTTTGTGAAAATTTAGAAATATATACGAACTGAAAAATTGAAAACTTCAATTGTTAATATTGATATCATTAATCCATCATATGAGAATTTATAGTGTAGGTCCCACTCATGGATTAATTCACAATTACAGATAGGACACTAGATGTCGTCTTTTCAAGATTCAAGATTATCTTTAGTTCACAATAACCCTGAGGAGTTACGCGCAGGTAGCTCGACATGCTCTCTCTATATGTCTTTTATTCAACACTGCCTGTGCAGACCTCCTTTGGGCTTCTGCCTCACGGATAGTGACCGAAACCCCCTAAATCTTAAAAAAGACGGTATCTAGTGTCCTTTCTGTTATTGTTAATTAATCTATGGTTCAAATCTCAAAACAAAATTACCTCAACTATAAATCTGAGACAAGCTATGGTAGCATTAGCCATATAATCTTCAAACTAAATACAGAATCATTTTTTATCAGAAAAGCTCAAAACAAAAATCATATTTTTTCGTAAACTCGAAAAGCCAAAAACATTTTAAAAGTGCAAAATATTAAAAACTAGGAAATAGGGAACAATCCTGGCTCTTTCACACCAAGATGTTAAATGTTCTTAATTTTAGAATTTTTTTAAGTTCACATTTTTTTTACCCAGAAAGGATGATACTTCAAAGAGGATTGTACGAAATTATTTAATAGTCCGTTTTCTTTTTTTTTGTCATATTTTAGAGTTTTGGGTCGTCTTTACAGTCTCATCCTTTGTGGGTAACCCTGTATATCTAACGGTAAATTTACTCTGTTTCCTAGGCACAAACTTTTTTTCTCAGCTTTTAAAATATTTTACAAAAAACTGTTTAATAAGAAAATATTAAATTGGCGAGAAAATTACTTCAGCCTTGGCCACAGCTCCCATTCCAGGTTTCTTATCCGTATCATCATCCTCAACATCAAGATCAAAAACCTTTCTGGACTTCTCAGTTGGAACAACAACCGACATTTTTACCTGAAAACTCATTCGCGCATTTTACCCAATTTTATATTTTAACAATGGTTTTAATAGTTATAGTTTGTCGCATTAGGTAGTACAAAGATATAGGGATTGAAAATTAAAGTTTGTGGTAAGAACTCAATTCCTTTGGTAACTATGAATGTATATAAAAATATATGTGTCAAAACTCCAAAGTCGTCTTTGAGTAATTATTCTTTGTGAGTGTGCCTTAAATGTAAAAACATGGCGGCCACAATGTTGGAATTAGTTAATAATTATTTCTCTGTGTCATGTTTTTCTGACCATGATATATTCTCCTAATCAATTGTAAAATAGAAATTTAAAAATTGAGATTTTTTTGTCCCCAGGACATGATCGGGTTGTTACGATCAAATCTCGGAATTTTTCTATTGCGAAAGTTTGGTGTTGTCTGGGTTTTTATCTACCAGGGGTTGTAATCTGGCAGCACATTCATCCATCCACGCTTCATTCATCCTGAGAAGAGGGTTGACAAGATTCCAGCTGCCTAAGATTCTTCTTAGGCCTGAGAATATAGAGTGCAGGAATCCTTCTGATAAACTGGAATGAGGCCCGGGTGCCATACTGATAGGAAACATCACACTAATTGCTCCCTAACATCTGTAAGCCTGGATTTGATACCCCTGCAGGTACCTATAGCTGGCAACCATAGACTCTCCCTGCTTGTCCACCATTCCCTCTCTTCATCATCATTCACTTGGATCAATCCCACTTGAAGCTTCTTTCTTGTTGAGTAGAAAGCACATACCCTTTCGCTGCGAGAGTTGTTGACAACCACCCCTCTGTCCTCCTACATCCGTCAGGTGGTCATAACTGCTAAACCAGATGTCGGCTTCAGATGTTTTTGAAACCACAGGTTTGTGTAGAGTACGGGAATCGAAACCGTGAACACCAGTCTGGACACCAATCCAGTTACTGGCTGTGGACAAGTGTGCATAACTTCAGTGATCTAAAGAGAACTGGTGTGACACACTCTCCACCCCACCCCACAAAAAAAATAGAAATTAATAATAAGAATTTTTGCAACATTTTTAGTAATATATTAATAGGACTGGGCTAAGTTCCGTTAACAAAACGGAGGTTTTTGTAAATTAACGTAAGAGTTCGTAAACTAACGGCAAAAACCGTTAATTGTAAAGCGTTAACGAAACGAATCAGGCGTTTTTGAAAAAAATTAACGGTTGAAAACAAAAACGAAACGGATTTTTTAAACTGTTAATTTAATTTTTTCCAAAAAATTTGCATGAAACGTTTTTAAAGAATAAAATTTGTTTACGTGTTTTGATGTTTTTAAATGTCGTCTTCTGTGTTTATAACCCGTTTACGATTTTTTTTCGCCATTAACAATACTACAATAGATGTTAACGGCTGTGCCGTTAACGATTTCAGTGACTGTTAAAAAATTAATTTTGTACCATTAACGGCTAGAGCGTTAACGGACGTTGAAAATTTTCCGTTAACGCCATTAATGAGATTGAGATCGTAAACTAACGGCAATTAAAAAAAAAGCGGAAAATGCCCTTAACGAAACGAACATTCCGTCCATACCTTTAAAAACAGATATTTTTCTTTTTTTACGGTTGAAACTAAGCGTTTCCGAATCCCCTAGAAAAAGTTGGAACGTGCCTAGCCCTATGAGTCTATATATATTTTGCTTGTCTGTTTATTAACTAACGGTAACTTAAAAAACGGAATATACCCTATAAAACTAACGGCTACCTGAGATTTATTTTATAAACGGTTGAAACTAACCTATAACGGCTTTAAAAAGCTGGATCTTAACGTGACGACTTGACTATGGAATTCCAATTGGAAACCCTAGGGGGAACCCTACATTTTAGAACTGTGCAATAAGGTGTCATACGGATGAACAATTTTAGAAAAAAGATACGCATCGGTGCACGGTAATTTTTCCCATTGCAATATATATGCACCGAGACCCTAATATGAAATGTTAGCTCAATATCCTTAGCACTCATGTACGCCGCGTCCATTAGCGCCTGATCCAATCAGGGTTTAGTCATGTGTTTGTGACTATTCTGAACTAATAGCTATAGTATGGTGGTAACATCTATCTTTCTATCTATCTCATTATCCAATAAATCGGCGTTATCAGTAAATGAAAATATTTACTTCTACTAAAACTATAATGAGAACTATAAGAAATATAATCAAAAAGCCATCCATTGCTCAAAAATAAATTTTTTATTTTATCATGCCACATAACATTTTTTTCGTAATTATTCAGTCAAACTAAATCGTTGAAATTTTGAAAATATCGAAAAATTGATCGAGTTATGTTCAGAACCCCTAAAAAAGGCACTTTTAAAAAAAATGTACTATTATCACGGTTTTTAAAGTCTAAGCTTTTCAGTTCGTTTTAAACTTTCTCTCACAATTTTATCGAATTCGAATTCCTCAAATAAAAACAAAAAAATTGATATGTAACATACAATAATTTCCTTTCACGAAAGAAAGTTTTAAAACATACACAAAAATCGTACTTAGTTATAGAGTATAAAACGTACTTTTTCTTATAATTCCTAAGTTTATCTAAATATAAACTGTTTACGTACAATGTAACCATGTCCTATTTATAATACTGAAGGCTCAATTGTGTCCGTAAATCTTTACATTTTTGTCTCATAAAGAAAAATGGTGTTTATGGGCATGCAGTTAATGTAGAACTGCCCAGCCATTTAAAAACGGACAAGACATTATTTATTTAGTGCTTTTTATTATCTATAATTGGTTCGCTCGTTTCACCCAAACAGTAGCAACAACAAAACAACATTAGGTACAACCAATGAGGACGGGAGGGCTAATTCCCTTAGTTTTCTTAAAGGGACCGTTCACTTATTTGGGTAATTTCAGGGTAAACTAAACAGCCTCTTCGCTGATGATTGGTATTAGTCTTATCTTTTCAAAGACAATTGTGGCCGGAGAAAAACCGATTTTTCGTTCAGAATTTGAGCGAATAATAAGACTATTACCAATCAACAGCGAAAAGGCTGTTTAGTTTACCATGAAATTACCCAAATAAGTGAACGGTCCCTTTAAAGGAGGCAACGCCCCCTCTCTAAAATAAAATAAGAAAATTTACAGGATAAAAACAATGGAAAATTGTAAAAAATGTACTACTAGATTTTACCATGCTGTGTTACTCGTCCAAAAAATCACGAAAATAGAAAATTTACAACATTAACGTTTTATCTCTAAAAAAAGAAAGTTAGACAACAAAATCTAAACAAATAATAATAATAATAATAATAATATTATCAAAAAATACAAAATAAAATTACTAAACTCATAAAAATAGCCATCACCATAGTAATAATACACAACATTAATATTAGCATTAACAACCAGGAAATCCACATTCTTTCCACTTATCAGAATATTCAGCAAAAAATCTAAAACATCGAATTTATTTTATTGTACATTACGTAAAATTGTATGGCAAAAAAAATAACACTTTGCAGGTTCACAAAAACCTCAATGGATTACGCAATTTGAAAATGTCACTCCCTTTAATGAGATTTCATGATTTATAAATTATCAGGTACAAACCAAACATTTCTTGGTGGCATCTAAAGAGAAAAGACAAAGCGAAGAAAACAATCATTTTAATTTATATATTCTGTTAAAAGAAATTCAATTTTTAGAGATATGTTGTGTTGAAACCAAGTTTTAAAAAAAATATTGAGTTTTTTCACATTTAAATCATATTTATTAGATTTTATGTGTTTTTATATTTATTGTGTTATTATTACGACGAATCATGAAATCTAAAAGACTGAAAATAAAATTTTAAATAATTCCAAAAGTAAAACAATGTTCAAAAATGTTATAAAAGTATCCAAAGATGCATCCAAAGTCATTTGTTTGTCCATTTGTTTTAGTCTTGATTTTTAAAAAAATATTTTAATGGCCTTGCAAGATGATTTGTCTGCCCATATTGATGTATTTTGAAGAATTTTATTTCGCTCACATATTTGTGAATTATTCAACCTATAAATTTCATTTTAAAGCCGGCCAACATTACTTCAATGTGCTAAAACACAATTTTTTCTAAATCTTTTAATGATCCAAATTAATCCTATGCACATAGTACATACTAGAGATGTCAACGTTTTGATTTTTCTAGATTTTAGCTTTCGTTACAAGAATATATCCAAACGTTACACATTATTGTAACGTAACGTACAAAAACGTACATTTTACGTTACGTTACACTATCGTTGACATCTCTAGTACATACAGGTATAAAGAGATTAATCAGACCCTAAAAAGTGTTTAAGGACGAGAAGTCCTTCCCCCCTCCCTCTAATCCTCATAGTCCTTTTTTTCGCTAGCGTCCTCTATTCCTCTATAGTCCTCAATAGTCCTCTAATCATCTATTGTCCTCTGTTCAAATATAGTCCTCTAGTTCTCAAAAGTCCTCTAGTCCCCTGTAGTCCTCTAGTCTTCTGTAGTCCTCTGAAGTCCTGAAGTCCTTTAGTCCTCTAGTCCTATTGTTCACTGTAGTCCTCTAGTCCACTGTACTCCTCTTGTCCCCTGTAGTCCTCTAGTCCACTTAGTCCTCTAGTCTTCTGTAGTCTTCTGAAGTCCTGAAGTCCTGTAGTCCTCTAGTCCTCTGGTTCACTGTAGTCCTCTAGTCCTCTAGTCCCCTGGGTTCTGTTAAAATCTGACAATGGATTAATTATCTAAACAATAGTAGCTGATGGATAATAATAGCACTCTTACTCAAATAACGTAATCATGTTTAGAAACCTAGCAGCTCACACACACATGAACATATACATATTGCATTTTATCTTCGACATTTTGGTTTTTATCCACTGAACTATTTGGTAAATTTAGTTTCTGCAAATATTTACTCCTTTTTCACAATTTCTACTAATATTGATCAAACATATTTGTTGGTTTGTTCCTCCTTGCATGGTCTGTTAAACCATAGTACAGGCTTCCG